AAATTGTATACCAGAAAAATTGCAACCAATGATCAACCAGAAAGCACATTGTTGTGACCCAGAACAAAAAACTAGGGAACAATCACCGCCTATTAGTAAAGGGAAAGTATTTTAACCTGTGATCCAAGACCAGATTTTAAATCTCGCAAGTGTCGTGCTTCCTTACCACTTATAAACGCACCCAATTGCGATTATAGTCCTGTCAACAGTGCAAATTTAACTGTAATAGTGTGCAAGAAGATCCCACAATTAGTCAAGTAATATCTACAAACACAATCCCGGTCCGAATCACCAGTCGCTGCGATAAGCGTAAAGGAAGGAAGAAACATGGCTACAAAAAGAAAAACCATACCCGTTTTTTTCGACATACGAGAAATCACAGCCGCCCCCCTGGATGGAAAGAGAAATGGAATGCTTATTTGGACTTCGTTCACACAAGTTTGCATCCCGATCACCCGAGTATGTCTCACCGATTACATCCCGATTACGCACGATTACACCACGACCTCCCGGAAAAGATATTCATATAAATTCCATTCCGCCCTCCCAGTCACCTCTGACAGGAAAGGAGTCACGATGTGTCACCTATGTTCCCCCCATTATGTTGGCCAACATCATGTCCCTGGTTCCTAAGATTGATGAGCTAGCGTATGTAATTGACAAACATAATCTTGTTTTTATAACGGAAACCTGGTTGAAATCTAACATTCCGGACAGTGTAATTAACATTGATAACTATAGCTTGCTCAGACTTGATAGAACCGAAAGAGAACACGGTGGAGTGTTCATATATGTAAAAGAAAAACGTACAGTTAATATTGAAATGCAAAACGAATACGGCCTTGAGGTCCTTTGGGTTGTTGTTAATCCACGTCGCCTACCCAGAGGTTTTTCTAGGCTTATCATCGCTGCACTATATCACCCTCCATGGGATCTTGTGATCACTCCTGAATTCAGTTGTGAAGAAAACCTAGATACTCTAACCAACATTATCAACTATGGATTAGACACTCTGGCGCCACTAAAAAGCGTTAAGATACGGGAAAATGACCGACCGTGGTTGAATTGTAATCTCAAATCGCTGATCGATAAAAGGCAAAGAGCTTTTGCACAGAATAACGATATTTTATACAAACAGTTGCGAAATAAAGTTAATAGAATGAGGAAAAAGTGTCGGAACTCGGAAAGCATATTACGAAGCTAAAGTAAAGGATATAAAGCAAAGTAAGCCTAAAGATTGGTGGTACGAGGTAAAACGTTTGTGTGGTCTTCCGTCAGGATCAGGATGTAATTCCATATTTTCAAACTTAGAACACGATATTCAGGATCCTGTCACACTAAGTAATACGATTAACAGTACTTTCTTGGAACCCATGCAAGGATATCTCCCTTTGACACCCATGACAGAGAACAACGCTACGATTGTTGTGACTGAAAAGGAAGTGTGGACACACTTACACAGCATCAAATCGGGTAAATCAAGTGGTCCTGATAACTTACCAAACTGGGTTCTGCGGAAATTTGCAACTGTATTGGCATCTCCTATTGCAACAATCTTGAATGGTTCTTTTAAAGATGGCCGGTTGCCTTTGGTTTGGAAATTGGAAAATGTTTGTTCGATCCCCAAAAGTAAACAAGTGTTAGACATTAACAAAGATCTTAGGCCCATCTCATTGACCTCAACTTTGTGTAAAATTGCAGAGGATTTTGTAATCACGAGGGATCTTCAACCGACGTTAAATATATTGATCCTAATCAATACGGGTTTATACCAGGATCAAGTACCACCCTTGCATTGATTTCTTTGATCCATCGTTGGTCAGAGAGAATGGACAAGGCGGGCGGGTCTGTGCGAACACCTCTAAAGGACTGTCGTAAAGCGTTTGATCCTATAGATCATAATATACTTTATGAGAAGTTACGACGACTTGATTTGAAACCATCGGTTCTAAATTGGATTGTCGATTTTCTACGTGGAAGATTCCAAATAGTGAAGCTTAATTCAAACTGTTTTTCTACGTGGAAACCAGTTAATGCTGGGGTTCCACAAGGGATGAAGCTTGGTCCGTGGTTATTTCTAGTAATGATTAATGACCTCTCGATCTCAGATGACCAGTTCATGGGTGACATGATTAAATATGCTGATGACACCAGCATTTGGGAGAATCTCACTTATCAAGTTAATACCAACTCTATCCAAGAAGTGACAGATTCTATTGTGGATTGGTCCCAACGCAACAAGTTTGACAACTTAATCCGTCCAAATGCAAGGAAATGGTAATTAATTTCCAACAGAGCGAGCCTGATTTTGCCCTATTTTGATACAAGAACAAATCACTGCTCGAGTAGAAGAGGCAACAATACTGGGCGTTTTGATAAGCCAAGATCTAAAATGGAATGGACATGTTGATAAAATAACGACGAAAGCCGCCAAGCGTCTTTATCTATTAAAGCAACTCAAGAAGTCTGGTCTTGACAGTAACGATTTAAAATGTTTTTACATTGCATCGATCAGGACATTGCATCGATCAGGTCGATTCTCGAATATGCTTGTTAGGTCTTTCATTACGGCCTGACAAAATACCTCTCAGACATAATCGAAAGAATCCAAAAAAGAGCAATGCGTATCATTTTTCCTGATCTATCAGTCGTATGAAGATGCTTTGGCTACTCTTGATATGAAGCATTTGTGGGTGAGAAGAGAAGACTTGTGCAAAAAACTTTTTAAATTTATAGTTAACGATGAAAACTATAAATTCCATCATCTTTTACCTATGAAAGTTCCGGATATGTACAATCTTAGAAGTTCGAAACAATTTTACATTCCTAACTATCGTACAAACAGATATAGGGACACGTTTATAATATCCAGTCTCTTAAATGAATAGTAAATTATATAGATGTTTTTTACTAGTAGTGTACAGTAAAATTTTTATAATGTTTTTAAATTGTTGTATAGCCTCATGCAATTCAGCCGATTGGCTGCCATATGAGTATTATTAAACGGTTTATCTATCCATCTATCTTAATGAATCTTAATGTTATTGCGATAGTCATAGCGGTTTTGAACCAAACAAAATCTTAGTCACAACATAAACGCAAACAACTTCAATTTCGATATTCTGTGGGAAAAAACTACCCAGTATGTAGCTACAAAAAATTAATGCAAAAGTGCATATTTACTGCATAATTATACAAACCTTTCTGGATATTACAAAATGTCCTCCATTTTTTAAGAAGTTATGTGCGTTAATCCTATATATTTTAGTGGCATGCACCAACAGGCATGTATGATAATATTATCATATACTTCGAATCTAGAAGTTTCGTGAATCAGTCGATTGCGTACTTACATACATACGTTTCCCCTATCATAAAATCTGAAGGAACACTTAAGGTCTAAGAGACAGCCTGGCAGACTCAAGTTACGACTGAGAACTCTTTTCATTAGAACGCCAATTTATGAAAACGTTCACTTCATTATAGAAGAGCAAACGTTCTTGAAATTCTGAAAACTGCACAAATACCTAAGGCTATATAAGGCTAAGCCACATGTCATGACATAAGTGGCTCAGATTTAGCGCTATAATCCTGCTTGACATATAATTATAAATAAAAGTAGATGCATGGTATTTATTTGTATTTTAACCATGCTTGTGGCTAGTGTAGCCTGGGGGAAAGAGGCGGCTAAGGTTAAAAAGCACCGATACAAAGAGTCTATAAACATACATTAGTGAGTTTTTCGGCCCGAGTTGCAACTGGAGCTGAATTCTGAAATTCATGGTTTGAACATTTCTATGGAATTCTAAAATTCCAGAATAACGGCGATTCCGGTTTATACCGTAATATTGGGTGCAGTATTTACTCAGATTTAGGTGACATGTGATATTCGTGGCCATTGGGAATCATTATAAAACCAGGAATGAAAAATCGTGGAAGGGAATAGGGAAGTGGGGAAGGTTAAAACGTGCATGGAATGAAAAAAGCCGGAATCTTTAAAACAAGGAATGAGAAAACCCGGAATCTTTAAAACTAGAAATGGCAAAAGGCGGAATCTTTAAAAAAAAGGAATGAGAAAAGCCGAAATCAGTAAAAAAACTAAGGAATGAGAAAAGCATATAGATTAACATTACATTTACGGAATGTAGGTATGAGTTAGTGACAGAGAAATATAACGATGGCAATTAAAACAGGTCGACTCGAATATTGGTAAGATAGTATATTTAGCAGTTAATTACAGTGGTAAGATAGTATATTTTACAGTATGGGTCAACTATATGGTAAAAACTGGCAATGCTAAAGTTTGCCTTTCAATTAAAAAATATCAAAAATAGACTGAATCGTTGTATATAATTGCTTTCAATAAGAATACCTGTAGAGACGCAGCAGCTATCAACAGCACTAGAAAGAAAATCTACAATCATTTTCAAAGTTGTTAGGGCACCTATATTATTTAGCATTATTTCTAACAAAAATCTACTTAATGATGACTGTCGTACATCTTTAACCCCTTCCTTCACACTGCTCAACTTATACTACCCCCAAGAAAGAAATGTTTAAAACCGCCTCTTTTCTATATGGAGTGTAGCCAGGATTGAACTCTGCTATCTCTGCTATCTCTTATATAGAATAAAGGGACAGTAAGTAGCCGCCGATAGACCATTGCAAGTGTTTCCGAGATTATATAAATTAACAGTCATTTATATAAATACAGCAATCTAGATAATTAAAGGAAACATACACGCCTTATACAACGCCGGATAGTGAGAAGATCGAATGTATAATGTTAATGTTAAAGAATACGAGAGTTGGATCTAAAGACTACGTTGCGTGTTACGGGAGCTCATCTCGTTACATAAGATATAAGCTGCATAGTGAGGAAACGCTTGCTTCGTTATTTGTTCAGTGTTTCTACCTGGAAAGCTTTGCCGCCGATTAGCAATTCTAATAAATTCTGGGAAGCTCTATAGTCTCTTAAGTATATGACGTCAATGCAACGGATCTTTGGACGGCGTGTTATTCATTCAAAGTTGCATGATATATCATAGTCTTCGTGACGAATTAACCAAGCCAATTGGAAAGAGATTTATAATACTTGTAAAAATGAGTGCTGCTGCAAGGAATGCCTCAAAAGGTAGGCAAAATTGATTAAATGTGAAAACTAATATGTAATTGCTTGTATATATCGGTATCTGCATGTCTAAGCGTGTTAATCAGATCGGCGCTTGCTTACTTTTATTATAGCTAAAGTCCTGGCTATAGGCGGCCTATATTATAGAATAATTATGTCTCACTGGTTTCGCCTGGCTATAAGTCAGCAAAATACAATTCGAGCTTATAGTATAATTGTTAAACTGATATACAAGCTTTTGGCCCCTGACTGTCTTCAGCTCGAAGGCGAGTGGTTCTCTCCTCGTGGCGAGAAAAAAGTAATTATATTGTGGAGAATATCCAACTATACTTTGGTGGAGTAAAAAGAAACTTTTACAGATCCAAGGAGTGAACGCAGAACCTATCCAACGAAAGCTGTTTCCGGCCTTGTATTCTGAAAGCCTTGCCTCAGATGGAGCTATGGCCACTAATCAATTGAATATTAGGGGTGAAACAGGTAGTTCTTCTCGGTTTATCTGCAGTGATCTATCGGCTTATCTAGAAGAATTTAAACACGATATGTCTATTGCTAAATCAAATCCGGCGAGAAAGAGCTTTTAACTCAGTTAAAGCAGACATAAACAAAATGCAAAGTGGTCTCGAATCGATAATTACTGCAGTTAATATAGCTTGACAAAGGACAAATTTAACTCGACTCTCGAGGTTGGACAAGCGGGCCGCAAAGCGTCATGGGTTCGAGTAGATAATTCCACGTGCGACCAATCTTATTGACTCTGACTGTCGTGGAGAGGATATCTCTTTCACTAAAAATATCGAAGTTTTCGAAGTGGCAACCACCTTTTTAATTTCATAGAAAGTGCTGCTAATTAATGTAATATAATCTATTTGAGGAAAAGAATTGTGATAATAGTATATGTTATCGTAAACTCGCCTCCAAATCAGTATTCACAATACTCACAAATCTCATTTCACAACACAAAATCTCAAATTCTCTCTCTCCTCTAAAATGTACAACCTCATGCTTTTTTGATTGACATTTCCCTCTCTCTATCGGCATGCACCTTAATAATAATGTTGTAATAAATTAACTTATTTAAGTCAATCTCCATCATATGTTATCTACTAAGGAAAAAAAGTAAACCACTGCAAAAAATTGCTTTAGTTAACCCAAATTGTAAATATTCCCTCAATAAACTTATTGTAAGAATGAAAAAATGTTTATTTTTATTGTTATTGCATTGATCAAAACTCCACAATTGACCATAACAAAAAAGATGGCGAATGTACATTTTACCAGAATGCATTGCGGTCGGAAATCGTTTAAGAAAGCGAACTGACGTCTTTTATTAAAGGACACGCATAAAACAGGAAGTTATTTTCTTCGCTGTTAAAATTTCACGTCATTAGGAGTTTTTCTTGCCATCTTTTTTCAGTCAACCATTGCCGCGATCTTTTTCGTTACGGTCAATTGTGATATATGTTGAATGATACATAGTAATACACACTAAAAAATTGGCCCATGTCAGAAATGATTTGTGATTTGTGAAAATCATGATTATCCTCACTCTAAGTATGAACATTTCTAAAAGGCTGTAGCATTGCCACATACTACATATCTTTGCATGTATGTGATGCTTGTAGAAATGATAGACACATAATTTTTATGATTATGCTCAATTAAGAACTCCAAAACATGTTTATAATATAACATTTATAGTACGCGCGTGCTGATTGGTCGAGAAGCGTGTTTCTATAACTGTATAGAAACACGGGAATTTTCCCGCCGAACTTGACAAGCGAAGCGATGTAATGAGAATTTGTAATTTAATCAAATCATAATATTTGTACAAAATCTTTTTTTTGAGTTATATTATAAAAGAAATAGAAAACATTTTTTCCTGTGTTTCTATACAGTTATAGAAACACTTGTGGGAGTTTGGGAGAACTCGAAATAACGTGGAAAAACTCGCCCTACGGGCTCGTTTTCCCACTGATTATTTCTCGTTCTCCCAAACTCCCACGCGTGTTTCTATAACTGTACAGGGTGTATCAAAAAAAAGGTAATCCAACTTTGGTGCGCTATTGTACGTGAACTACTCATTCTATTAACGAATTTTTTTTCACATTCCGAAAGGTTATGCTTTTAACTATCGAATGACATACACTGAGTAGTTCACGTACAATAGCTTGTTGAAGTTGGATTACCTTTTTTTTGATACACCCTGTATAGAAACACGGAAAATGTTTTCTATTTCTTAAATATAATTGATAATGTTAACAATTCATTAGCTACCATACAATTGTCTATGTTCTGTCCATGCAGTATTCTGTGAAGACATTATATTCAAATGGACTTCATTATATTAAAATGGGCTAGTCTTGTTAGCACACTAAAGTTGACCATGTTGAGGAATAATTGTTGATCATGCAACAAAAATCCCAGGACACGTATTAAACGATCCAGTCGCTCATCACCAAAAACTGCAATGTAATATAAGTTCTAAAAAACATTAAAAAAACTTGTAACTCTCCGAAATGATATTATAAAAGCAATTTGATACTTTAAAAAAAATATTGAAAATAGCACAAGCTAGAGGGGCAATTTTTCTCAAAAGTATTGACACCATTTTCGCGAACGTGGATTTGACATCAGTCAATTCAATGGCCAATATCTCGGAAAATGCCTGGGGATCACCGAGATCATTCCAGCAGATTTAAAGCTTTTGTGATTGTCTTTCGCATCACCAAGAATGAAGAAAATCGAACCATGGGAATTCTAGATATTTCATTTTAAACATTGTAAACAGATTTACACCTGAGTCAGCCATTCGCGGGGAGTCGACCAAGTTCAAGTCTCAATATAAGATAGAATATAACATTTACCTCTGAGATTTTTGCAGAAACCACTAGATCTTTACTTCTTCTGTAAGTACACTTATTATATTTATTATATTTAGATATTATTATATAATATTTATAATTTTCTCTATTTATTTCGCGGACGAATGCAAAAATTTTAGCCAAAATTTTTCTGAAACGCGATGAGAAAATAGAGCCATCTGACGATCTCATTGGTCGAGAGCTCACGTGACAACTTGCTAGCTGCTTGCCAACAGCTCCTCTGGAATACTGCGAATACAAACGAGGAGGAATTAATAGCGCGTTAAAGCAGGACGAGAACAGGCTACTTTCTAACACTTTGGAGGTTCTGACAATTGAGTTGGCTAAGCGCAAACCTACGGTTAACCTAGATGTATAGATAAAGCTAAGTATAGAAAAAGCGGTGACTCCATATGCAAATTCGCAGGCAGCAACAACCCTTTCCCTTACCATGCATCAATAGGAATCGGTCAACCGATTAATCAAATGGCGGCCTTTACGTTTATTAAGATATACATATACAGGGTGTCCCAAAAAAAAGTCCCCTCTATTGAAATCAAGCCTTTGTTAGAATCTGATTGCCTTATTATTATTATGATAAACCCAATTGAAAGCAAGACGCTTTATTTGAATGCCTCAACCTAATAACTATGCTGTTTACACACTACTGCGTTGATCATGCATTCAAATCAACAAAGGCTTCATTTCAATAGGGGGGACTTTTTTTTGGGACACCCTGTATACAATCACTCGATTGTATATATGTATATCTTAATGGACGTAAACGACTATACAAATTCACAGGCAGTATCAACATCCCCGTCACCGACAAGTCGCGAATGGATCAATTAAACCGACCAACAAATCCCTCAACTAAAAGAAGTGCATCGTTACCCACTACAAGCCCATTATGCGAAGTAAAAAAGTCTGGGCCTTCTTTTGATGTACAAATGCAAGAATATATATAAGCGGTTCATATAAGCGGTGCAAGAATATAAACAAAAACTGGTTGAAATATTATGAATTAGTTGATTTATATACTTCCTAGGTTACGTTTATTAATATTTTGATGATCACTCGATTGTATATAATGTATGTCTTAATAGTTATAAAGTTTTATTAGTATAATGTTTCATGCTCTAGGCATATTTTTTAATATATAATATAAATACAAATTAACATATATTGTTGCCACTATATACTCGTTTTCTCGTTATTTGTTTTCTCTCGTAACTTAGCAGTATTTTCAAATTAGCTTTTCTCACGATGACGAATATGCCGCCATTTTTGGGGTACTTTCTTTCAAAACCAAGAGTATAAGACCTCGTAACGGCGATTATCTTTATTTTTAGGCTGATTTTTTAGTCTGTTGATTCTAAAAAAATTGCAGTTACTACAGTCACTCAAAAGATATATCATACACTCGTGAAAAAATAGAAAACCGGTAAAACTCGTAGTGATGTAGTCGTTGGGCTTTCGAGTACGAAACTTACCAACAAACTCGTACTCAAAAGCCCGGGAACTACGTTGTACAACTACGAGTTTTGGCTGATGACGTAAGCATTCAACGCGCGAGAATGACGACGAATCTCGTACTCGTACTCATACTCGTAGTCGCTGCTGAAAAACTCCCTAAAACCTGCTCAAGCCAACAAACAAATTACATACAAACTTTTTCCGTTTCTTAGTGCTTTCGAGGTATCTTCTCAACCAATCAGTCAAGTGGTACAATGAGCTTGGATCTGTAATGACCGTGACTAGCTGGGACCAAGTTAAAGGCTCCTTCAAAGGAAAGTACAACTCTGGCGTTGGTGAGGCCAAGAAGGAATATGACCTTGTTGGCAGGTTCGACACTGATGGAGACACATTAGGATGGGTTGTATCGTACCAAAACAAGCATCTTAATGCTCATTCCACCTGCGCTTGGTCCGGACACATGAACGAGCATTGCGAAAAACCAGTCATTCTGACTACGTGGCTGCTGACCCGCCAAACGCCTCCCGAAGATGATTGGGAATCAACCTTCGTTGGGTCCGATACCTTCACTCAAGATCCTCCAGATGAAGAAACCATCGCAAGAGCCAAACTCCGTCGCCAGTGCAGCCATCCAAAAGCTTAGAAAAATAAGGCGGAATGTTAGCTACGATGATTTTTAAGACAAGTTATATGTAATTGTTTGGTTTCAATAAAATTGCATTGACGGGAATTCGAATACGTCATTTTTATAATTCTCACTCAAACATGCAATGTACGTATATGCAAGCGCCGTCTTGTTGAAGGAAATGACCGTAATAAACAATATTTACATATTACTTTCCAAAACCGAAGCGTCAAAGCCAAGTGCGTGGATCATGTTTACCACGACGTTTACCTCAATTAAAAGGAGTGAGCATGTCTTTTACCTCACTTGGCCCGACTTCCCAGAATGCGGGGGAACGATATGAAAAACATGGGGCAACTTTGAGTAGGGTCACGTTAGGGGTGTGTCAGAGGTATGACACCCCAAATTTTGTGAAATTAGCCCGAAAAGCATGTAAGAGGCAAATGGTCAGTCCCGCTGCACATATATACACTTCTCAACGAAATAAAAAGCTTTTGATGAAAAATCCTAGACTATATTTGGCATAAGCTACTCCGACTACATCATCGCTAATAAGGCTTAGCAACGGTTGACATACTTATCTTTGAATTATAATATACTTATACTATCTATATATCAGCTCACAAATGACGAGACTGAGAGAAAAGAGTTTGTTTCTGGCTAATTTCGGAATGATCACAAGCTATGACAATTAATAAGTTAATCTCCCTTTCTCAGCGGGGATGAAATATCGTTGGCCATATATGGCGGTATTAATTCGAGCTGTAGTAGATATCGATATAAGATAGTGCAATGGTGCAGTCAGTCGCTTTTGAAGGGATTGCCCAGTTTTATTAGTGCTTAGGCTACCGTTACAAAGGCTGAGCGCTGATGAAATTGGTATGGGTAACCATTTAAGCCGTGCAGTGCCAACAAATTGACACTAGTGACTAGTGTACGTAAACGGGGCTATAAACCATAAGCTCTAAACCATTTGAAGGAAATTTGATATTTGTCATTGGCGGGATTGCTCAGCAAGCATCCGAAAACGACGTACACCTCACTCCAAATTTTCCCCTTAAGTTTAGCTGAAACTCTAGAGTAAATTGGTAGACTCGATGAGAGGTATATATATATGTATATATAATATATCCTGAACATTGAATCAAAACACAATTACTTATACATATAATTGAGTGTATACGGAATGTCTATAAAGTTTCTATCGCCGTGCACTTTCATTAATTTGAATTTCATAAACTTTTCGCAACGCCTCGTTCTGTCTAAACAATGCAGAAAATGTTATATTTTACTGTGTACGCAATTCATGTAGCAGAATACTAGCTGTAGCTAGCACTTAATCGTTGTACTTTTTCACTCTGTATAGGGAATATATTACCGGGCATGAGCGAGGCTATTGAAGTATTTGTTGTAATCCATGCTTCGGTAACTGGGCGAATTCTGTCAGAACATTTCAACTTCTCGTTTGGCAAGGTCAGTCCCAAACTTCATTTGTGTCAATTCCGCGAACAAAGAATTTGAGACATGTTTGCGGCTGGTAGAAATGTTCAGTCACTCGGGTGACTGGATATTTGAGGTTAATTTACCCGAAGGTATGTCATTTATCTCATAAATATAAAATACTAAACGAAGTTTTTGTTCGAATGATGCATATATACCACGCTTCCCGCCCGGTACACTATTGAACCTTTATGTCATCTTTGTCAAATATTTTTCTTGCAGCTGGCGGTGTTGCAGCAGTCACGATTGAGCGCAATTGCCTCATTACTCCGGCGTCAGCGACGGAGTTGAAAATTCACCTAGGTTTTGTTTTGTTTTTAGTTTTTTTTGTTTTATATTATTCTTCGTCGTCGCAATTGTGTGTTGGCGCAAAATATAGTGGCATTCGTGCGAAGTATGGCATTATAGTTTGGTCCAATACCTAAACGCCTTCCGAATAATCTTCCCAGATTGCCCCTATGATAAAGCAATGGACCGTGCCGGGGTGACGACGCCTTTTATACGAAGAGAGAAGATTTGTAAGAGATTCTTTGAACGAAGGTGTATCGATTCAACACACAAATTGCGCACTCCATTGTTCCACCAAATTATAATACATCTTACTCTCTTCGCAGTGGTAATGATAAACTCTTAATACCTAAGTGTCGAACTGTCAAATTTGCCAACAGTTTTGTAATCGCTGGAAGTAGAGCTTTAAATATTTGTAATAAATCCTAAATCCAATTTGATGGTATACCCACTTTTTAAATGTAAGCGAGAAAAATGAGCCGCATTAATTGTTCATATCATCCGTTAGTTCCGCAATTGTAGAACTCTGCGATGGTCCACACATACACGTATTTCATCCGGATTTTTTGGTTTAGGCACAATCACAGCTCCACTGACCCACTCGGTACTTTTATTAACAACAGGTTCAATCAAATCATTATCCTGGGACTCTTGAAGCCACTTCTCTAACTGCGACACTTTGCACAAGTTGCGACACTTTGTATCTATCGATGTTCTGTCACAAATTTATTATGCAATTATTATTTATTCATTCCTTACATATGCTGTATTAATCTGAGGAAATACCTATATTACAAATATAAACTCTTTAGTTGTCTTACAAAAGAAAGCATTACGTATAATAATTTGGCTGGTCAGCAGCCACGTAGTCAGAATGACTGGCTTCCTGCACTGCACCTCCATATGCCCGGACCAAGCAGTTGTGGAATAAGCAATGAGAAACTCGTTTTGCCAAGATACGACCAATCCTAACGTGTCTCCATCAGTGTCGACATCTGTGTATTCCTTCTTAGTTTCCCCAACAGCAGAATTGCATGTTCCTTTGAAAAAGCCTTAATCGCAGTCCCAACTTGTTATGATCATTACGGATCCAAGTTCACTGTGCCACTTGAATGACTTGTTGAGTAACTGTTTGCATGGAAAGCGCTGCAAAACAGAGAAAAATTTTACTTGGAATTTGTATTTTCGCTTAAGCGGTTTTTGACTTATGACCCGGGTATAAGTGCAGACTCGTTCCCAGTTCTCATAGGCTGTTTGAATACATTCTATTAGCCATTTCCCAATCGAGCAGGGTACTGGGTCTAGTCGCGAACCTCAAAGCATCTATGGACTGTTTGCAGGGACAAATGTACTCATACGCGTCCTAATTAGTAAGAGTCCTATAATTTTGACTTCGAGTGGAATTCGTGCATGCATATTCACATGCATCTCAAATTCAAGCCAGGAAGGATCAAGTGGGAAAAAAATGGTAATTTAGGTAGACTATAACTCAATCGTAAAACTAAGTTGCTAAATAAGGCCGCTTTTTTACGCATTCAATCAGTTCTATCAAGAAAATAGGAAGAGAAATATAGTGTGAAATGGTTTAGAATTTATAGCTCGCGTTCCGCCTTCCAAAGCGACTGCATCATTGCACTCTCTTAGATCGAATTCATCGAAAAGTATTAGCTTGAATTGATACCAGCTGCCCTATTGCATGCAGAGAAAGTTTGTGTTGGTTGAGTTGGTTAAACAAAGAAAATTAACGTTGTATAGCTCAGTTGTCATATTTAACATTTGTACCATAGCTCGATCGAGACTCTTTGGTATTCAACTAGTAGACAACGAGCCGAGGGTATAATTGTGTGATTATTAATAACCAGAATTTTAGGTATAAAAATGACCAAACTTTTATTAAAATAAATTCTCATCGCAATTTCAATTCCATGCATTACTGGCTGTTTGCATACATATGCATGCAGCTGATATATACAGTAAGTCTATTAAAATTCAAAGATATATTTATAGATAGGCTTATAAACTTGTGCCGGATGAGCGATGACGTACTCCGAATGGCTTATGCCAAATACAGTCCGGGAATTTTCCTATTTAAAGACGTATATAATACAAACGTATATATACGCGTTATATATATTTTACTTTTCAAGTCCTTTGCGTCTTTTGTATTGTTAGATGTCTCGGCTGGTAAAGCTCCATCGATTGTCGTTATGTACTCAAGAGTTTCCCAAAATATAATTGATTTGATATTGGTTTTAAAAATTTTGAGAACCGTTTTGATGTCTGCGTTGGTCTACGTCATATATTGTGACTCTTTTCAGCCCCTTGCCTTTTGCATTGTTAGACGTTTCGCTGGCCAATAATAGTTTTAATTAATTGTTTGTCGAATAATAACCAGAACTTCACAATAAAATAAAAATGAGCAAATGCATGCAAAATGATTAATTTCTCATCACAAATTCAACTGTATATTATGGGGCCAGGCTGCTTTCACTACAAACCGTATGTATGCATGCTGATATATGTACAGTATAAGTTTATTATAATTTAAAGAAAAGATATATATGCACGTGAAACTGTGAGGCCGCGGATTAGGGATGACGTATACTTCTGAGTGGCTTATGACAAATACAGCAAACAAAGTCGGATAGTTAAAGATCAGTCGTGTAATAATTTTGAAACATTATTTGCTTTGAGACATTGGTTTAACGCTTGGTCAATTCGTCAGGAAAAACTATAGTATCATATTATATATAGGGCAAGTTATTGTCCTATAAAGATTCCGGCATTGATTCACATCGTATGCTTAACTCAAGAGTTTTCGAAAATTGATTAGAATTATTATTCGGGGCAAAGCTTCCAATGCAGGTATAGACAAAAGCAAATAATGCCGGAAACAAAAGTTTCCTCTCCAGTTAATATTTTTGAATTTTGCAATAAGTCTAAATTTATATTACTTTAATATGTCCTGTTGTAACGAAATATGCAAAGGGTTGACTGAGTCTGGGATAAGAACAAATGCTCAGTAAAAATTGCTTTGATGAAAGTGTTAATATTTCGTCATGTGTCTTTTGTTTTTCTTGGCAACATACGTCTCAATACGAAAGCAGAGGTTTAATAGTGGGGGTAGAGGTATCCCTTCTCTGAGGGTCAAATATATTTCACTGCATGCTTGATTTAACCCGCGAGGCATTTGTGGTCCAACCAGCTGTGTATCGATGATGAAACATTTGATTCATCTCCATTGTACACTTTGTCATCTTGTTCATAATATGATGAACCATACCTATTTGTTAAATGTTATTCAGCAAGATCCACATATAATTACAGGTATAAGTGGTAATTTTCTTAAAATTAAATATGATTTTCAAGAGTAATACTATGTAACAAATATTCAAATGTTTAGGATTATATTTACAGTTGCATCATTTTTAAAATTAAATAATACATATAATTATTACTAGATTTTTTGCACTGTACAGCTGTACACTTTACATTCCATTTTTCAACCTTTGAAGACTGATATATATTGAAGTGTCCAAATATTACCCAAATTTCAGATATTTTCAATTCGTTAGACATGAATAAGCGGTTTTTGACTAATAATCTGGGTTAATTTACATGCATCAGAGATTCAGTATTCGAAAAAAAAACTCAACACTGCAAAAACGCGAAAGAAATGGTAAAATTTTTTATTTATTATGTCGTTTCATGCAGAAAAATATAATGGTGTTATAGGCCTAATGTTAGTCTATATATAGGGTTAACTCCTTTCACGTCATTGTCATATTTTCGGCTAGAGCATGCACGAAAGTAGTCAGATTGTTAGGTAATATATAGATAGTTTTTATTACATAATAGAGGTTGTCAGCTTAACTTATTAGATAGATTTATATTCCAATAGATTTAGCACCATTGTATTTAAAGATTCTTCTAAGAAATCCGCGTTCTTAGGTTTTCAGTGGTAATATTATAAATCTGTTTCACGATTCCGAAGATCGATCATAGGAGGAATTACCTTTATGAATCATCGACGAAATAATTGCTTTAAATTATCACTATATTTTAGTATTATTACTTACTTTATGTACCTATATAAATGGATTTATAGTATAAGTCGATTTGCCTAACTTTATTTCGCACCTACTGTAAATTTAAGAGTTAAGCATACTGCTGTATGGTTATAAACTGCTTAACAATCAGTATAAATTTAAAATTACTGCAAAATCACCATGCAAATACCATATATGTTTAAACACGAATATATGGTTTATTATACGGCCTGCAATACATAGGTGACATTAGATGACATTCCACATATGCATGTCTGAATGTATATTTAACAAATATATATACTCTGAGACTGAGCTCAAGTCGTATATTTCAGCTGATATAGCCAACGGAGGCAAAACCAATGGTATAATTCTTTTATAGTATAATATAATATAATGTAATATAATGCAATATAATATGATATAATAAACTTATATATGAAACTCCCATGCATCACCTATAATTATATCCCAATTGTATTACTTGCATGGCTGTTTTCACTACTCACCGTATTACGTATATGATATGCAGTAAGTTGATGGCAATATCAACCCTTAATGCATGGTTTAATGTACTCAACTGCTATTTCAAGGATTTAATAATAGATTTATACGGGGGGGGGGGGGGGGCAAAGCTTCCCATGCCGGCAGACAATAACAAATAGCGAAACAAAAGTTTCCTTTCCAGCAATTTATACTGTACAATGAATCTTAAATTTACTGATTACGTTAATATGTTTCTATATATAGCCTATATTGTAGCTAATTTGTAACGAATTGTGTAAAACTGTGTTGCTGAAAGAAGGCTTTTCTATTTACATTCAATAAATTTACAATCAATCAAGAATATAGCAAAAGTATAATGGTGCATGTCAAATGGTTTAGAGCTTACAGTTTATAGCCCCGTTTACATGCACTAATGTCATTTTGTTAACATGGCACGGTATACTAATTTTATGTGGGCCGTGTCAATAAATTGAATGTAGTGTAAACTGGCTCATTTGTCATAATAAATAGCTCATTTGTCATAATTATTTAACATATACCAGGACTGAAACTGCTGAGAAACTCTCGTGTGGGTCGTGTTAAGACAAGAAGTAAACTTTATTGGTTGTATTAAGAGGGAGGGGGCAGATATCATATATTTGTGCCACCTTCCTATTTTAATGCAGAAATAACGCGCGCTGATGTTGATCGATGCTACCAACGAGGCGATACCAATGGGCAATGGTATATCAGATTTATTAAATTTTTGGAATTTAGAATCTTACTCCGTGCCGCCGACCTGATTAACATGCACGCTTCGACTGTCCACCAAAGTCGCATTAAATAGCGACTATAGTTAGATTTAGATTACGTATCAGTCTCGACATTTAATAATTTAATTATTTAAGCCACATATTAACGTAATATAAATTTAAGAGTCATTGTAAGATACAGTATATTAGCTGGAAAGGAAACTTTTGTGTCGCTATTTGTTATTGTCTGCCGGCATGGGAAGCTTTGCCCCAATAACAATATTTGAAAATCCTTGACGGCAGCCGAAACGTCTAACAATACAAAAGCCGGCAAAGGGCTAAAAAAGCAAAAAAAAATTATATAACGACAGCCAGAAGCGGGTTCTAAAAATTCCTAAAAATAAATATTATGAGAAACTCCTGGGATATGACGTTATCAATGGGTCTTTATAAGGCGAGTTATTCATTCAAACTTGTATGATATATGATTAGTCTTCGTGGCGAATCGACCAAATATAAGCCTTGGATAATTTGCTTATACCTTGTTGAAAATAAGTGCCGCAGCAAAGGATCGTTCAAAAGGTATGCAAAATTATTAAATGTCACGACTGATATGTAATCTAACTATAGTTTGTAGTATGCGACTTTGCCGGACAGTCGAAGCGTGTTAATCCGATAGGTGCAAAATAAGATTGTTTTCTAAATTCAATAAGTTTCCATTCAATAAGTTCTAATTCTGTTTAAATTACTCGATAGCCATTACCAAAAACGGAGGGTTAAGATCGAGAAGTAAAAATATGTAGGGTGCATGTAAAGCAAGAGTTATTACTATTATTAAATCCTTAAAAAAGCAGTTGAGTATATTGCATTTAAGGTTGCTGCTACGATAAACGTACTGCATATCATTTAGACATATAGCTACAGTGAGTAGTGAAAAAAGCCAGTATACATATATAATACAGTTGGAATAGGTGATGCATGGGAATTTCATATTGGGACTCATGGGAACTTATGTTTATTATATTATATTATAAAATAATTACACCATTGGTTTTGCCTCGTTAGCTATATCAGCTAAAATCAGTATACAACTTGAGCTCATATATAGTTGTTAAATATACATTCAGACATAATGTAGAATGTCATCTAATGTCACCTATTTATTGCAGGCCGAATGTAATAGACCATAATCCATATATTCGTTGTTAAACAAATATGGTATTTGCATGGTGATTTTGCAGTAATATTAAATTTATAGAGATTGTTAAGCAGTTTATAACCATACAGCAGCATGCCTAAATAGATATATATCGTACACTTCTGACACGTATATAGTCTTACAATGTCTTTAAAGTTAGGCAAATCGACTTACTATAAATCCATTTATAGCCTATAGGTACATAAAATAATTAATAATACTAATAGTGATAATTTAAAGCAATTATTTCATCGATGGAATATAAAGGTAATTCTTCCTAAGATCTTCGGAATCGTGAAACGGATTTATAATATTACCACTGAAAACCTAAGAACGCGGACTTTTTAGAAGAATCTTTAAATACAATGGTGGTATATATATCCATTGGAATACAAATCTATCTGCTGAGTTAAGCTGACAACCTCTATTATATTTCTATATATTACCTAACAACCTGACTACTTTCGTGCATGCTCTAGCCAAAAATATGACAAAGACGTCAAAGGAGTTATACCTTATATATATAGACTAACATTAGGCCTATAACATTATTTTACACAAAGCATGCAATCAGAGTTTTTCTGCATGAAACAACATAATAAATAATAAATTTTACCATTTCTATCGCGTTTGTGCTGAATCTTTGATGCATGTAAATTAACCCGGATTATTAGTCAAAAATCGCTTATTCATGTCTAATGAATTGGAAATATCTGAAATTTGGGTAATATTTGGACACCTAAATAAGGTTTATCATATTATAAACAAGATGACCCGGTGCATAACGAGACCACAAATGCCTCGCTGGTTAAACAAAGCATACAGTGGCCCTAAGAAAAGGAATACCTCTACCCCACTACTAAACCTCATTTGTGCACATATTATATCAATAATTTAATTCGTAACTTGTGGAAGATTTGATCTTTAAGGTTTTTTAGACTAAGTCCTTCATTGGAATAATAATGTCAATGGTTTCAACAGCATGCCCATAAACGTTTCGTACTTTCTGCATTAATTCATGTAAAAATTAGATTAGTATTCCGACGGAGTTTAGAATGTTTAATAATTTCCCTCGTTTGCATATATTTTATTATTCTTTCTTTCTTTCTTTTACAGTTTTTTTGAGAACATAGTTTTAGTTCCTGTTCTTAAATGTACACGATTTATATCGCTGAAATGTTACTAAAGTGCAATTATATGCCAAAAAGGCTAACTGCGGCAGCGTCCATTTCTACGGTAGCGTCCATTAGACTAATCTAATCCGGACGTTATTCCCATAACGTTTCACTAAAATCATGTATCCAAGAATAGGGATGAATGTTATCATGAGAACGGATCGGAGCATATATTTGCAATTGTTAATTAAAAGAACCGGCCTAACCGGGTTTCATGCTTTCGTTTCGTTCTCATCATTCTAAAAGTTGCTTCTGTATAACATCAAAGCGTGACGGGCACTTTCTTTCGCTGCTTTCCGTCTTATCAGTGAGACGTATGTTTCCAAGTAAAAAAAAGAGACACATGACGAAGTATTATCACTTTAATTTCATCCAAGCAATTTTTGTAGAGCATTAGTTCTTATCCTAAACTTAGTCAATTGATAACCCTTTGCACATTTATAATTCGTAGCAAGAGGACATATTAAAGTAATGTAAATTTAGACTTATTGTAAAACACAAAAATATTAACTGGAGAGGAAACTTTTGTTTTCGGCATTATTTGCTTTTGTCTATATACCTGCATTGGAAGCTTTGCCCCCGAATTCTAACTCTAATTCTAATCAATTTTCGAAAACTCTTGGGTTAAGCATACGATGTGAATCAATGCCGAGATCTTTATAGGACAATAACTCGTCCTACATATCATATGATACTATAATCTTTCGTGACGAATTGTCCCATCGTTAAACTAATGTCTCAAAGCAAAGAATGTCTCAAAATTGTTACACGAATGATATGTAACTATCCGACTTTGTTTGCTGTATTTGTCACAAGCCACTCAGAAGTATATGTCATCCCTAATCCGCGGCCTTACAATTTGACATGCGTATGTATCTTTTCTTTAAATTATATCGATCAGCATGCGGTTTGAGGTGAAAGAAGCCTGGCCCCGTAAGACAGTTGATTTTGTGATGAGAAATTAATTAGAGTTTGGCATTTGCTCATTTTTTTGGTCGCTTGTTTTCAGAAATAACTTTGATCTTTCCTCCAATGGCGACTCACTTTCTTCTCTGCCTCTTCTTCTCTTCTGGTAAGTCGGACTGAAATGCTGTGCGTTTATTTCTTAATTATGCATGTCTTTATTGATAACTCATGTTGCTAAAGCCTGCGAATCAGGTTTCGGCGCATCATGTCCATGGGCGTCAATCGAACGTTAAGTGGGGGGGGGGGGGGGGGCATAGTAATATATTCTCCTTTGCTGAGCAGACAATGAAGCAAATTTAATATGAAGCAAAATTGAATATCAAGCATTCGAGTACTTGATTTTAAATTTAAAAAAAGAAATCAATTCTCTACCCTAAGTCTAGAGATATCAACGGATGAATTAATATTGAACTATGTGCATGTCATCATCTCTCAAAATATTCTTTACAGGAATGCTTGCTAATATTAAAGCAACAATTCAGAAGGATTGGGAAAGCAAATATCAGGTAGAACAATCTTGGGAGGATCAGAATTTTCGAGGTAAAACTATTGAATAAATGACTATTGAACAAATTTTCTTATTACATATTTCATTATTTTTATGAGACGAAACGCGACGAAAGGTTGGGCGATTTTGCTATGCCGTGGCAGAACGCACAAAGCGACGCTATCTCGATCAGCACGCACAGAGAGCACGATACTATCCTAAGTGCTTGCGCGAATTTGAATATCAACGTTAAAATTAACTGTGCATGCACTTTATATTATGTGAAAGCTAGAGCATATATATACTAATTTGCTATCACTAAATATATTCACTTTCAAATACCCTATTTTGATGAGTTATTATTGATCACCTTATTTTTCTACTTATTGAAAATAGAGCATATTGAAGTAAAATAAACCAATATTGGTTCTCCAACCGAAACGATTGGTTTATAAATATATATATCGTTCATTTCCAACTTAGCGCAATCAGCTAAAAATAAAAGATAATTTTAACCTTTATATTTGGGTTGTAACCCATTCAATTGGGTAAAATGATAATAGTTGTAACTTTTTAAATAGGTTATATTAACATTAACCTACCAGTTTTTACAGTGTATATACGTTTATATTATATACGTCTTTAAATAGGAAACTTTCTCTGCATGCAATAGGGCAGCCGGTATCAATTCGAGCTAATACTATTCAATCTATCCATGCACTAATTCCACTCGAAGTCAAAATTAAGACTCTTCAACTCTTTAAACATTTCGTCACAATATATATTATAGCGACATAACAACGTAATATAAATATAGACTTTATTATGTAAAATACAGAAGTGTTAGCTGAAGGGCAAACGTTCCGTTATTTGTTATTGTCCTCCTGGGAAGCTTACACCCCCCCCCCAATAACAATTCTAATCAATATTTTGAAACTCTTGATTATATAAAAAGAGGCAAAGAGCTATAAAAAGTAAAACCAATATTAAATCAATTTTCGCAAACTCTTGAGTATATGACGTCATCAGTAAGGCGAGTTATCATTCTAACTTGTATAATATATGATTGGTCTTCGTGACGAATTGACAAAACCTGACATAATTAAATTATTAAATGTCAAGACTGACATGCAATCTATATCTAAGTATAGTTTGCTATTTAATGCGACTTTGGTGGACAGTCGAAGCGTGCATGTTAATCAGGTCGGCGGCACAAAATAAGATTCTAAATTCCATTAGTAAATTTATGTTAATTACTGGACCTAGTCGAATAATCAACAATATAACAAAGACAGAGTAACATGCATGTACAACGTGCAAGAATTCTTCAAGAGATTCGTAAAGGCTCGTTTACACTTTTTGCTGCGATTTTATGTGCGATTTTCTTCTTTTGATAGATGTGAAGTTCTGGCAGAATATATTATATTATAAAATAATTATATCTTTGGTTTCGCCTGGTTGGCTATCAGCTAAAATACGATTTTTGAGCTCATAGTATACATTCAGACATATATGAAGGATGCAAGTTTTATTATCGCATGTCACCTATATTTCAGGGCGTAGGGCGTATAATAGAACATGTATTCAAAGAGCCTAGGAACTGGGAACGAGGCATCATGTATATCCGGCATAAGTCAAAAAAGACCTTATGAGCGAAAATACAAATTCCATGTAAAAATTTTCCTTTTTTTCAGCGCTTTCCAAACAGTTCTTCAAAACGTCAACCAAGTGGTACAATGAACTTGGATCCGAAATGATCATAACAAGTTTGGACAGGAACAACGGCTCTTTCGAAGGAACATACAACTCTGGTGTTGGACAAGCTGAGAAGGAATATTACCTGGTTGGCAGGTTCGACACTAATGGGTCTACAATAGGATGGGTCGTATCTTGGCAAAACAAGTTTCTCATTTCTCATTCCACAACTGCTTGGTCCGGACAGATGCAGTTCCAGAACCCAGAGAAACCAGTCATTCTGACTACGTGGCTGCTGACCCGCCAAACGGAGCCCAAGGATGACTGGGAATCAACCATAGTTGGATTTGATACCTTCACTCAAGACCCTCCAAGTCAAGAAACCATCGAAAGAGCCAAACTCCGTCGCCGGGTTCAGCCATCCACAAAATAAAGGGAAATAAGAGGCTTCTGTATATTTTGTATACAACTTTTGCTACTAAGTAAATGCTGTATGCGTAATATTTTGGTTTCATTTGCAATAAAGTTGATGACAACTAGACTCCTTTTTTAATTTAACCTTTACGAACTAACCCACAGTTAGATCGTAACTCATGGGACAGAACAGACTAACTTCACATAAAACCTCACGTGCATGGTAGACATGCTGGAGTTCGATCAGCATCAGCGCGCATTATTTCTGCATTAGAATAGGAAGGTGGTGCAAACATATCTGCCCCCTCCCTCTTAATACAACCAATAAAGTTCAATTCTTGGTTTAACACGACCCCCACGAGAGTTTCTCAGCAATCTCAGTGTTACCAATTCAAGATACTCATAGGTCGGTAAGATATAGGAATGGTGCATGCACTCCCTTTGGAAGGAATCCGAGTTATTAACTCTAAACGCCAACTGAATTGGTTGTACATTTTCTTTTTGGACTGACTCTGAGATATCGAAAAACTTACAACAAATATCATCGCTCAATTCTTTTGTAATCATAGACGTACGGGCCAGGGAGGCAAAATATTTGTATTTTCTGGCGCAAACATGCACAAAATCATGTTCTATATTCTATAGACATCATGCCCTCGTCACGAGAAAGTTTCCATTATAGCTTAAGGATCACACAGACAGCGCGATTTTCAAAGTTTTTTACTTTAAAAACAACATACAACCTACCTCCTTCGCAGATCCTTTTCGGGCAAATATGGCGGGCGGTGATATTTTTGCGGGTAGAAATACATACAACAGACGTCAAGACAACAAGAGTCATATAAAAGGATTTACTTATTAATCAGAATTTGAAAACTTTTACAGGTACTGTTGTGTGCCAGATATTATGGAAATTAGCTAAATATTTTCATTCACATCGCAATTTAAAGACAACGCTATATGTAATCCCACACATGCAATTTTTACACGGCTTTTTATCTTCATTCTGATTTTTACGCTTGATATTGCCAACAATCGTGTGTATGTACAAAATTTGAAGCACAGACACAACTAGAAACTAAGAAAAGTACAACCCGTTCCGTAAAAAAGCTCTTATCGATAGTGAATTTCATCCGAAGTTTCGAGGACTACATTGATCACTATAGCTTAGCTGTGATTGATTTAATAGTTGATGAATCTGTTCCTGTATTGGAAGAGTCTTCGGGTGATAGATCTTTTAGGCTGCAGCTTTCTTTGGTGGAGGTCTTAAAATGAACGGTAAAGTGCTGTATTTTAAAGGAAGAATGTTTTTATCGTTTGTTGCTATATTCTATTGACAATATTAACAAAGTTCTCACGGGTTGAAACACACAATAATAAAAAAGCCAACTTTTAATCAGTGTAAATATTCATTAGATAAGAGCCATTCCATTCCATTCCAATCCAACTCAATACAAATTCCTTGCTCATTACCAGAAATTTGGGACAAGATGGCGTCTTGCATTCGGATAAAAACAAACATGGCGGCCAAATTTCATGCGAAACAATATGGCTTAATCACAAAACTTTAAATTACGCTTCCTATGTGTGTTTTTTTCTTAGTTCGGAGTTCGAATTCTGTAAATCGCTCAGAAAGGAAGAGTTATAACAAAAAATATTCACTCACTAGCAAATCCTCTAGGTTCCTGAGTGCGATTTATATACAAGTCCAATTTGAATGATTCGGCTATATAAACCATAGTAATATCGGTAAACATGCTCTACAATCTGGTCAAATACACCACTTTCCTTTTGGACGATGCAAAGTTCGGAGTTGGAAATGTCTTTGGTTGTGATATAGCTACCGATATAACTCATAAATATCTTCGTATTTTTTACCGCCACGGTTCCCACAGCGTTTGAAATTTCATGATTTTTCAGTGTGTTAAGCATCCGGCCATATACATTTGAAGCATAATTATAATTGCATAATTATACCATCGAGCCATTTTATGAAATTTTCACCAATTCCTTAGGTCAAGAAGCGGACGCTGCCCACGAACGCGGACGCAAAATGTCTCAAATTTCTGGTAATGCTTTCAGCGAAAAAGTGAAAGTGTATATTTGCTGTACCTGTAAATTCCAACGACAACAGCATGATCTCTTTCGTAAGATTCCAGGGTGAGCTGTTCTTGAGGTTTCATTTTCTCTGCTTGCATTTCATTCACTTAAATGGAAAAAAGGAACAGCAATTAAAAGCACATCTACAGGATGTGTAGTCAGGTGACGACATCTTGTTATTGCGATATAGTCATAGTGGTTTTGTACAGAACAAAATCTTTGTTACCAAAAAAACGCAAACAAGTTCAACTTCGATATTCTGTGAAAAACAATTATCCAGTATGTATATTTACTGCGTATACAAACTTTATGCATTCCGCCCTGATGAGCTTGGCAATTAATACAACGTCGCAATAATGCTCTATTTTCATACCATGATGTTGCATTTCCTCAGCTTGTTACTGAGCATGAATTTGGTAATCACGAATAAGACTCCTTACATGAGTTTGGGATATTTTGGGCCAAAAGTTTTGTAATCGCTGGAAGTAGAGCTTTTAATATTTGTAAAATTTCCCCTAGCCAGTTTATTATTCAAAATATTTTAAATTTTAACAAAATTTCATTATATGTATTAATGGACCACTTTATAATAGACCAACTTCAGATCTAGGAAACAAGCAGGAAATATATCACAACAGCTAAAAAGAACATACCAAAATTAGTAAAATTGCCAAGTTTGGTTGCAAAATGTAAAGTAGTACGGAAGATATAGCCATGCGAAGTTGCCAATTTTGTATACTTTTTTACTACGGCTGGAAGCGTGTAACTAATTTAGTTACACGCGTCCGGCCGTAATACAAAAGTATACAAAATTCGCCAACTTCGCATGGCTATATCTGCGGCACTTTACAATATTTCACAGCAAAACTTGGCAATTTTACTAAGTTTTGTATGCTCTTTTAGGAAATTCCCTTTTTGTCACCTAAATCAAAAGTTGGTCTATTATGCAAGTGGTCCATTGTTCATCTGCGTCAATAGTGTGTTTCCCAGTAAGGTGAGGGCACAAATTGCCAGGGGCGCCGGAATATCGATAATAACGGGGGCAGATATTCATATATTCGTGTTCTGCATTATTGACTCCTTTTGAAATCGATTGTTTTTATGATCTGCGAACACGAATATATGAATATCTGCCCCGTTATTATCGATATTCCGGCGCCCCTGCTGAAATTGCGCCAGAAAGCATGTTAACCAGAGGTTGGAGCTTTACTGGCGTTGGAAGTGGATTTGGCTGAGTGGTCAACGTTGGCGTGCTTATGCGTAGGGCGACGAAAAGTACATTGATTATGGCTATGGGACCCTTTGCATTACATGCATGTTGAAAATCAAAATTTTTCCGCGCAAAATTGACCACGGTGGAATTTGAAACAAAAACCTGCGGGGATTGACGTGGGCTCAGATTTACGATTCGTTCGGTTAACATTTTGCACCGCGGAAGGCGTTATTGCCTTACTAGCATACTGGGAGCGGAGCCACAATTTCCCGTGAATGAAACCCCACGGCACCCCATTCAGTTGAGTTTGCCGCAAGTATATCTAAAATTCTCGTCATATTTTGGCCGCAGCCAGCTAAACCCCTAATACTTTGCCCGTATTTCATGAGGGTTGGGGCCTCATGCGGGTATTTTTTACTATAAACGTCAACGAAAACGTAAGGCAAAAAGACGTCGAAAGTCCGGTCTCAGACGGTTGCAAGGAAATTTGATATTTGTGATTGGCGGGATTGCTCAGCAAGCATCCGAAATCGACGTACTCCTCACTTCCCCTTAAGTTTAGCTGTAACTCTAGAGTAAATTGGTAGACTCGATGAGAGGAAAACCTGGATTGGAATTACACTAGGATTATCTACATTAACAGTAGGCAATGATTGGGGCTGACCTGTAATTTGCGAGTGAGCCGCAGTTATTGCGTCGTTCACCATATTTGAAGCATGACTTGCAGACAACTGCATTGGCGATGCATGTGGTAGGGCGTGCAGATTTTGCGCCAGTTGTTTAGTCACCTCAGCTGTCACCGTCGAGACTATGGAATCGACAAGGCCGGGCGGTAGCTGGACTAGAGCACTTGGTGTTGGAGCTGTTGGTAGTTCTGCGACGTGTTGCGGTATCCGTGGCTGGGCATTATTATCGCCTTGAGAAGCCAAAGAAGTATGTACGTTGAATGGTGTCGACTACGTCGTGTAGACGGACCTTCGTCAACAGAAGTGGACGGCCCAGCATTGTGGCCACGTTTACGAGTCGAGGATCGCTTTGGTGGCATTCTCAACGAAAAATCTGCGCCCAGCGAAGAATAGAAAAAACATAACAAACGTATACTGATTAAAATTTCGCGCATGTAGGAAACACACTTAAACTGTAAATTGAAATTTCACAGGATCAGGCAATAGCAGACAGTGGAATGTCGCCGCGTATCCTGTCCTGAGTGGCCAAACATCTAAACTGCAAGCCAACAGAGGTTGGTAAAAACACCTCAAAGGTGGAATAATTGTAAATATCCCATAATTGGGGAAGAAATCCTCCGAAGAGGACGAAATATCCTCGATATGTCGGCAATAATATAATAATTAGCAACATTAAAATTGACACTCTATGTATAACATGTTATAACATGCGTTGTGCGCGTAATATAGCACCTCGATAGCTGCGATAGAGCCTATATTGACCCGTTCTCGGCGTTCTGTTGAAATGGACCCCGTCCGGTAGAAAGGGGGACACAGATGGTTGCGCAAAACCCGTATGCTTCCAACAATCGGCTCAGGCACAACGCGCATATATTGATTAAGGAGCGCGGCTTTATCGTTAAATTTGCATTGGGTATATGCTTGGCGTTTCATCTTACTCTCTTCGTAGTGGTAATGATAAACTCTTAATACCTAAGTGTGGAACTCACAAATTTGCCAAAAGTTTTGTAATCGCTGGAAGTAGAGCTTTTAATATTTGTAATAAATCCTAAATCCAATTTGATGGTACCCACTTTTTAAATGTAAGCGAGAAAAATGAGCCGCATTATTCATATCATCCGTTAGTTCCGCAATTGTAGGTATTGGGTGATGTTCCCTAGCTCCTGATGGCCTCATTAACTCTGCGATGGTCCCCACATACACGTACAGTACTGTGCAAAAGTTTTAGGCCCCCAGTCAAATTGTCACTTGTTAGTAAAATTCATGGTATTGCAAGACATGCTTGGTAGAAAGACTTGTAGTGGTCTTGCACTTGGTACAGCTACCATGAGAGACCATTATTGCGGCACAATGCCCACTCATTGACCTAACAAGCTTGTTTGTTACATCTGGATCAACAGCCTCACGTGATGCGAAAATGGTCTCTTGTATTCTTCCAGATGTCGAGATGGTCTTCTATCTGACCTCTTCCTCACTTATTCCCAAAAATGTTCAATGATGTTTACGTCAGCAATCACTTATAGCCCTGGGCTGGTCAATATCTCTTTCTTTCAAGCTCTCTTCTGAATGACATGGTGCCCCATCTTACTGGAAGATATAATCTCCACCACAAAGCCATCTCATCTATTAGGAAAGTTCTAGATACAAGCCAAACATACTATTTTCCGTATCTAGTCGAAAATTTACGATCTTGGGACTTTCTAAAAGGTGGAGAGAGCTTTGCGGTTGAGACTTTATCTTTGAACAAGATAGGGCACCATGTGACAGAGAAAAAGCCCCACAGAAAGAAATATCAATCAGTTCAGGGCAACGAAAGAATTCTGACCTAAACCTGTTCGAATATCTCTGGGAATAAGTGAAGAAGAGGTCAGATAGAAGACCATCTCGACATCTGGAAGAATCAAAGAGACCATTTTCGCATCACGTGAGGCTGTTGATCCAGATGTAACAAACAAGCTTGTTAGGTCAATGACTGGGCATTGTGCCGCAATAGTGGTCTCTCATGGTGGCTGTACCAAGTGCAAGACCACTACAAGTCTTTCTACCAAGCATGTCTTGCAATACCATGAATTTTACTAACAAGTGACAATTTGACTGGGGGCCTAAAACTTTTGCATAGTACTGTTTTTCATCCGGATTTTTTGGCTTAGGCACAAGTTGTATTTTAACTGGTAGCCAACGAGCCGAGGGTATAATTGTGTGATTATTAATAACCAGAATTTTAGTTATAAAAATGACCAAACGTTTATTAAAAAAAATTCTCATTGCAATTTCAATTCCATGCATTATACTGTCTGTTAGCATATATGCATGCAGCTGATATATACAGTAAGTATATCAAAATTTATATATATATATATATATATATATATATATATATATACGTATATAATATATATATATATATATATATATATATATATATATATATATATATATATATATATATATATATATATATATATATATATATATATTAGGATGAGGATGGTACTCGGGAAAGGGTATGATTTGTAGTAGGATGACACCGAGTGGCAACTTTTACAGTAAAATATAAAGTAAAACACACTCGGTGTCATCCTACTACAAATCATATATATATATATATATATATATATATATATATATATATATATATATATTATATATATATATATATATATATATATATATATAGGAAACAATTGTAACTACCACGGCCAGAAGTAAAACTAAAAGATTTTATTAAAAATATACTAAGCTTAAATTTTCGGCCACATGCCGCAGCCTTCTTCAGAAATTTCTGAATTTCTGAAGAAGGCTGCGGCATGTGGCCGAAAATTTAAGCTTAGTATATTTTTAATAAAATCTTTTAGTTTTACTTCTGGCCGTGGTAGTTACAATTGTTTCCTATATGTCTTTACTACCGAGCAGTGTGGGAATACTTGTTGGTTATATATATATATATAGGCTTAGAAACTTGTGCCGGATGAGCGACGTACTCCGAATGGCTTATGCCAAATATAGTCCGGGAATATATACACGTTATAACGTATATATACACGTTATATATTTTACTTTTCAAGTCCTTCGCGTCTTTTGTATTGTTAGATGTTTCGGCTGGTAAAGCTCCATCGATTGTCGCTATGTACTCAAGAGTTTCCCAAAATTGATTTGATATTGGTTTTAAAAATTTTGAGAACTGTTTTGATGTGTGCGTTGGTCTACGTCATATTTTGTCACTCTTTTTAGCCCTTTGTATTTTGCATTGTTAGACGTTTCGCTGGCCAGTAATAGTTTTAATTAATTGTTTGTCGAATAATAACCAGAACTTCACAATAAAATAAAAATGAGCAAATGCAAAATTATTAATTTCTCATCACAAATTCAACTGTATTATATGGGCCAGGCTGCTTTCACTACAAACCGTATGTATGCACCCTGATGTATGTACGGTATAAGTTTATTATAATTTAAAGAAAAGATATAATTATATGCATGTGAAATTGTGAGGCCGCGGATTAGGGATGACGTATACTTCTGAGTGGCTTATGACAAATACAGCAAACAAAGTCGGATAGTTAAAGATCAGTCGTGTAATAATTTTGAAACATTATTTGCTTTGAGACATTGGTTTAACGCTTGGTCAATCGTCAGGAAAAACTAGTATCATATTATATATAGGGCAAGTTATTGTCCTATAAAGATTCCGGCATTGATTCACATCGTATGCTTAACTCAAGAGTTTTCGAAAATTGATTAGAATTATTATTCGGGGCAGAGCTTCCCATTCAGGTATAGACAAAAGCAAATAATGCCGGAAACAAAAGTTTCCTCTCCAGTTAATATTTTTGTATTTTGCAATAAGTCTAAATTTTATTACTTTAATATGTCCTGTTGTGACGAAATATGCAAAGGGGTTGACTGAGTCTGGGATAAGAACAAATGATCAGTAAAAATTGCTTGGATGAAAGTGATGATATTTCGTCAGGTGTCTTTTGTTTTTACTTGGCAACATACGTCTCAATACGAAAGCAGAGGTTTAGTAGTGGGGGTAGAGGTATCCCCTCTCTGAGGATCAAATATATATCAGTTTCACTGCATGCTTGGTTTAACCCGCGAGGCATTTGTGGTCCAACCAGCTCTGGATCGATGATGAAACATTTGATTCATCTCCATTGTACACTTTGTTATCTTGTTTATAACATGATGAACCTTACCTAAATTTATTTTCCCTGACATGCAAGGCATGCCATATAATAGCCGAAACTGACTTCGTGTGATCACTGCCAAGCCGGCATGCCCATGTTACTCAGCAAGATCCACATATAATTACAGGCATAAGTGGTAATTTTCCTAAAATTAAATATGATTTTCAAGAGTAATACTACACTGCAAAAAATAAAATGCTTGAAACAAGAAAAAAAAACTTGTTTTGAGAAAATATTTCTTGAATCAAGAAATATTTTCTTGTCCCGTGGGTAAGAAAATTATTCTCGTCTAGATTTTCGCAAGAAGAAATATTTTCTTAAAATAAGACAAATTATCTTGTGTTACAAGATAAATAATCTTGTTAAGAAAATTTTACTTTTTGTCCCGTACGCAAGAAAATAATTCTTACTAAGAAACGCTTTCTTGTTTTAAGGGAAAAAATCTGGTCAAACAAGATAAATAATCTTGCTAAGAAAATTCTACTTTTTGTCCCGTACGCAAGAAAATAATTCTTACCAAGAAACGCTTTCTTGTTTTAAGGGAAAAAATCTGGTCAAACAAGATAAATAATCTTGCTAAGAAAATTCTACTTTTTGTCCCGTACGCAAGAAAATAATTCTTATTAAGAAACGCTTTCTTGATTTAAGGGAAAAATCTGGTCAAACAAGATAAATAATCTTGCTAAGAAAATAATACTTTTATTGTTTCATACACACGAAAATATTTCTTTTTTTCTTATTAATTTACAGAAAAATATCGTTAATCAAGATAAAATTATTTTTCTTATTGTTTTACGCTGTGGCATACACAAGAAAATATTTTTAAAAACGCTGTAAGGAAAGAACAAGGGAAATTTTTCTTAAATAATATAAATGAGCGGTTTCCCTTCTTAAACAATAACATATAAAGTTTTGGTCATAAAAAAACTATGTTCCACACCAAAAACAAATGCTTTAACATCATGTTCTTATAGAGCAAAAACGCAATTTACTGCACGTGTTTCTTGGCTAAATCCAATTTTAAACAACATGCTGGACATGCATGTGCTCATAAGGTGCGTTTTTATTTCTACATAAACGTGATTTCAAAGCGCAAACTTAGGGTTGCAAACAAAATAAAAAAATTACTACAGTTCAGATAATATGTAGTAAAAATGTTCTAAACTGGCGTATATATGAACTTGCCGTCTCCACAAAACGTTATGCTCGGTCATGATACATTTCAAAGTCTTTTAGAACTTTAGCAACTTCGCCTTGACAACTGGGATGCACTTGATTGTCCTGGAAGATAATTTTCTGCAAGACAGAAAATGGTACCAATGACCTAAAAGGGTAGTCCAAATCTAGGAGGTAGAAGGAAGCTAGGAAGGCTACGACCGCTTTCGCTAATTCCGTATCCCCGAAGCGCAAGAAAACATCCTTTCCAAAGAGAATCATTGCGCCGTTTTCTTTCGTCATTATTAGGCCCGGAGAATTACCATGGCGTGTTTGCTGCCACACGTCTGGAAGTTCGTTATCCTATAAAAAGGAAATCAAACAATGTTAATTTGCAAGAATTAAATGCAGGGGCGAAATTAGAGCTCTACTTCGGAGAGGGTGAATTCTCATATACATTCTGTTCTGTCCAACGGAATTCGTTTGTGCGAATACGTGTTTTCAAAGAAATCCGTCGGGCAGAACAGAATATTATATGAAAATGAACCCCACCCCGAATTAACGCTCTAGTTTCGTCCCTGATTAAAAGTCTACATCGAAACCAGGCATTATAAATTTCACACATACATTTCTAAAACTTAAGACAAGACTATAGGGAATATTAAAGGGGAAATTACGAGCTTTTTACCGGCGAAACAAACAGCACTGAAATATAACTATAATTATATAGAGTAAACTTTTACCTCCGGGATAAAAATTGAATCATGCACGATAAGCTTCTTAGATTTAGGCTTTCCTTTAACAAATGCACTATCTTTTGGTCTAAAGAAAAATATAATAAAAATTGACAGTAGAATTAACACGTGTTAACGCTGTAAGGGTGGATTTCCACTTGCAGCGAAATATTTGCGTGTTTTCTTTTGAATTTTAACAGCATAAATCAATTAGTTCAACTTGACTGTTCTCAATTCAAAGCAAAATATTAAACTATTTCGCAAGCGAACTATTTCGCTACAAGTGGAAATCCACCCTTACTATAACAACCTTATTTGGCAGTATTGCCTTCAGCATTTCACCGTGGCTAACGCACCAGACACTTTACCTTTCAATTGCTGACCTCCTGGCAAGGGATTAATAAGCAGCGTTTGTAGAGTTGGATAGAATTAACATACATAAATACTGCAGTGGCGTCGCTAGGGGGGGAACTGGGGGGGACTCGTCCCCCCACTTATTCTAAAGACCACTTTTGGGATTTTTCTAAATCTGAAGAGAAAAGGGGGGGGGGGGGTACAATGATTCTAATTTCCAACAGCAGAGTAAAATAATAAAGAAATTTTCGAAATTAACATTACTTTTGATCACGTAAAGAATAGCATTAGAATAACATAGTCAGCATATAGAAAGAGACATTGCTGATAAAATTGAGTTGGATGCTCTTGTTGACACATTTAGATTAGGCTGATTAGCTAACAACAAAAAGTTCCCCTTGTAAAAACTGTTTGTTTATAACAAAAATCTCCGATCTGTGGCTTTCGGATTGTCATAAAACTTGGCTGAAAATGCGGGAAATAGCGTTTTAGAGACCCTAGAAATAAAAATTTTCTCGGGGGTGAATGCCCCCGAACCCCCCTAGAGGTCTTGCGCTTTGGTGCCTCGTCCCCCCCAGTCTGAGCAACCTGGCGACGCCACTGATAAATAGAGTACATGCACTAATACAACTCACCAACTGACTGGCTCATAGGTGGTTGTATAGCACTTTTTGAGATCCCGTAGTATATCATCTGATCGACTTTCTTCTCCAGAAGACTTACACGGCTAGTCATGTACGATTCAGGATTACCAGTCTCCTTCAATTTCAGACATCGTCTTACTTCTTCAACAACCTGCAAAGCAAAAACATGTACTGTATATTTCAAAACAGGCAATATTTTTTTTTATATTATTTTAGACGAAACATTAATGGATGCAAAACATTTAATACGGACACAATTAATTAAATGGTTAACAAATATTTTCAGCAACACAAATGTCATGTGTATTCAAACCTGGACAACAGGCTAAGATACATTTCTGCAACTACATTTACCTCATTAGGATCTTTAAAACATGGGTAGAGCTCCAGTATTTTGCTTGGCCTCTCATCTTTCTTCGTCTCTTGAATCAATTGCCTTCTAGACGAGAACTCTAGATTCAAATATTTGTTAATCACCTTTGGGTTAGGTTTACCCTGGTAGAAATCCTAGTTAGGATCTTATATAAGATCTTATTAAGATCTTGCATAAGATCTTGCATAAGATCTTACAATACAATCCTATAGGATCCTATAAGATCTTATAGGATCTTACATTAAGATCCTATAGGATCCTATAAGATCCTATAAGATCTTAAAGGATCTTAAATAAGATCTTAAGTAGGATTTTAAAGATTCCTATAGGATCCTACAAGTATCTTAATTAGGATCCTAAGCAGGATCTTATAATTTCCTAAATATTCTTTTAGGATCCTAGGCAGGATCTTATAATTTCCTAGATATTTTTTTCAGATCCTAGGCAGGATCTTATAAATTCCTAAATATTCTTTTAGGATCCTAGGCAGGATCTTATAAGTTCCTAAAGATCCTTTTAGGATTCTAGGAATGCAGGATCAAAGCTTGATCTTAAACAAAATATCTAAATTGATTAGATAAAAAACACAACACAAACATGGTAAATTGTATTAAATAATGTTTATTTTTGCGTTACATAAAAAATTACTCTATCAAAATATAAGACAAATATTACCCCAGATAAAGTTCATCTTAAAGATAAAGTTCGTTAATGTTCATCTTTTTAGTCTTTTAGTTCTGTAGACATTGATATTTTTTTGTACTGTCTTACTTTGTCCAGGCACTTCTGATTGAGACTGCCAAATTTCAGGCCATCCATTGAGTTGCCTTGTCCCCATATTTCACCATCACTGACTGTATTTGACATAATAAAAAGAGGAAACTGGATTAGACTACAGTGCGTGGAAGCAATCTAGGTTTCAATTAGGACAAAATGCAGAAATTAAGCACTTGTCTTAATTTCTGTGATTTGGCTACTCATGAAAACCTCCTGTGCTTACCCAGAAAATTATTTTGCGGTAATGTCCACCAGTAATTTTGTCTCTTTGAAAACCTAAAATGTATAGAGTTTAGAAAAAGAATAATCACATGATTGTTGAATGCACCAATTTGTCATATTGCACAAATGAACACCAATTATGGATAGTTATACTCTCAAATGAAATGATGGTTATTTTGTCAAATGAATTATTGTTACCTTATGAATTCAGAGTCCTCAGTTTGCAAAATGTTTTCCCCTTGCAAATGGCTTAACAACATTGAGATGGCCCTAAAATATAAACAATAAAAGGCTTAGCACAGCTATATCAACAAACACCATGTAATGCAGAAATGTGAGACTTATCTCATGTTCAGGTGGATAATCCAGATCCATCTGATAATATGTTGTTGTGAACACATTTTTCATGGTATTCCATACCCAGTGCCTAAGAAGTACCATATAACTTTGAAGAATTGGCCCTAAAATTAGAAGAGATTTATGAATCAACTTCTAGAATCTAGCTAGCTAGACCTTAATTTTAAACAAATTTCATATTCAGTATCAATATAATATATAACAAGCTCATGTTATAACAACAGCATTCAAATTATAGCCAGTCAATGCTGCCTTACTGGCAATGGATACATATTTAGCAAGCCTATAGTTAGTAAGAAAGAAATCGAAGAATTCGCGCAACGCCGCAACAGTCAACACACAAATATTCACACAAAAAGTCTGAATTTACCTTCGATAAGAGACGCTGCCTCGGGAACTTGCCTTCATATTTCTTTCAACAAAGAAATCGCACAATTGGCCATTTTTTAAAACACTAAAATTGTGTCGAAAGTATATAAAACGCCAAGCGAAGGAAGACAGACGAAGTGAAATTACAGTTTACAGTTGTAAAATGGCGCGTTTGAAATTTGAATTTGACGCAGTGCTTCCATACACGGAACTGCGCTTCCCTTGAAATTTTTTAGTTATCGCAGACGCAGAGGACTACATACCATACCACTGCTACATAAAATACATAATACATATATCATTAAACTATGATATCATGATATAGTAGATATACATTATCTTTCGTGCATGTGTGGTTGCATGTATGTTGGGCTGTATATGATAAGAATATGTATAAGAATTTGGTAAGATCTTAAGGAGATCCTGTAAGAATTCCAAAAGATCTTGAAGAATCCTGTAGGAATATAATAAGATCTTTAAAAAAATCCTGTAAGAATACAATAAGATTTTTAAAAAATCTTGTAAGAATGTGGTAAGATCTTAAAAATATCCTCTAAGAATTTCATAAGATCTTGAAGGGTCCTGTAAGAATATAATAAGATCTTTAAAAAATCCTGTAAGAATACAATAAGATTTTTAAAAAATCCTGTAAGAATATGGTAAGATCTTAAAAAAATCCTGTAAGAATTTCATAAGATCTTGAAGAATCCTGTAAGAATATAATAAGATCTTAAAAAATTCCCGTAAGAATACAATAAGATTTTTGTAAGATTATGGTAAGATCTTAAAAAAATCCTGTAAGAATTTCATACGATCTTGAAGAATCCTGTAAGAATATAATAAGATCTTAAAAAATTCCTGTAAGAATACAATAAGATTTTTTTAAAATCTTGTAAGATTATGATAAGATCTTAAAAATATCCTGGACGAATTTCATAAGATCTTGAAGAAACTTGTAAGAAAATAATAAGATCTTTAAAAAATCCTGTAAGAATTTCATAGGAATATATATATCCAAAAAATCCTGTACAATATATAAATATTGAAGAAGGAAATCCCATAAGAATTATAAGATCTCAGAGAAATCTTTAGTTTTTATTGTGTGATATTTTAAACAGTTAAGCAAACAAAATTGTAGCAATTAAGCATGACAGGATTGGGGAAACTACATTTTCCCAGTTCCCAGTACATATTTTATTATTTATGATCAGATTATGATCCTGTAAGAATTTTAAGATCTTATTTAGAATCCTGAATAAATTAGGATTTTCTGTTTAGGATCAGTCAATATCTTAAGTCATTTAAGATCTTTTAGGATCTTGGACAGGAATTTGTTAGGATCCTGAAAAATATAGGATCTTAAAAGAATCCTAGAGGATCCTATAAGATCCTATAAGATCTTATAGGATCTTATATAGGATTTCTACCAGGGTACACTTCCTTTGTTCTCTCTCTAATGCACTGTAATGCCTTGCGCAAAGACCGGTGTCTTCATTAGATCCGTCTGTTGTCTCAGTAGATGATGATTCACTCTCTGACCCTTTTTTCAAAGGATCACTCGAATCACCTAAATAATGAGTGTTATACTGAATTGAATAACTTGACTTTTCATGCTTTTATACTGTGGACAATAATCGGAAATTATATGCTTTGTGTTTTTTTTTCATTTTTTTTAATTATCATAAGAAAGGAGTTTCACAGTGGTGGACTGACGCATATAGTGTAAACTTAAGGAAATCACAAAAATGTTGCATTAAATGCTTTTAAGCATTTAAAAATTTCAGGATATACTGTACATGCGGTAATGACTAGTGTAACAGGTTCTACTATGGGGTCCAATACATTAATTGCAAAGCATTCACCAGCCACAAGGGCAGTTAGGCAATTTAACCCATTAGATGCCAGTACAACACAGGGAAAGTCATAATAACATAGGGCAAATCATGGCACATCAATCCTCTTATATTATGCTGTGAGTGCAAAAGTAGAACCAGGATGGATCCAGAGCGATTTTGTAGGGGGGGGGGGGGGTGTGTGCAGACAAGTGCTGGACATGGGTTGAGGTACAAGCACCAGTTGTCAGGGATATTAGGATATTAGAAATTTATATATAAATTGGAGGATAAGGTGCTACCAGATTGTCAGAGCCTGTGAAACTCTCAAATACACCAAAATACATCATTTAAGCTCTGATTTTCGTACATAATCCCCCAAAATTTGAATTTATACCCAAACCTGCACCCTTCCTGGTCTAGGCTAGGGGATCAATGCCCCCCTGGCAACCCATAGTTTGCAAATTCATCTTTTAGCAGAATACTGCTACTGTAATTTCAGGCCCCAAGAGCTGTTTCATTGCATGTACTAGTAAGTTTTCCAACTTTATCAAATGACGATGACATGCATATGGGTTACTCTGACAAACAAATAGGTTATATATTAACTTACCAAGTTCAGGCATGTCTAATTTAATACGTTTATTTGATCTCGCAGGCACTTTTCCTTGCCTTTTCTTAGCTGGGACAACATTTCCAAGACGTTTTTTAATTTTGGACAACACAAAAAGCTACAAAATTAAAAACAACATTTATCTCAGTATAATCGGCAAACTATATAGTAGCTAGGCAGGAGTCGCTCATAGTAATAGATAGGTTTAGGTGGGTAAACAACTCCTTCATGAATAACTTAATTATGTAAAATAAAAATAATTATCTAAAAATTGACAGAAAGTTTCTACCAGAAGCTAACTATATTACTATGAACCATTTGCTTGTGGCATGGAACTCCCCCCTCTTCCAATTTTATTTTGCACTTTTAAATTTTTAATCTGTCTAACTTACATGACCGCTTTCACTTCCTGTCAACTCTGAAGCTCTTTCTAAACAGGGATACTTTTGACATAGAACCTTGGCCATTTCTCCCATTTCCAGGGATGTTGGCTCCCTTGGTACAGGTAAACTATGACAGGCTGATCGCATATTTGACACAGTATTTCGTATCAATCTATTAAACAGATCTTGCGAAATATCACCAGTCTTGGCTGAACAGACAATTTCGTTATCTGTATATACAACAAAGGCCGGAGAAGGTGCTGGGGTAATCACCTGACTTGAAGTTATGTCAACACTTGCAGGGCTAGGGGGACTCTCCAACCAGGAAGAAGGTGAACGCAATAGTTGTGACTGCGAAATTCCCAAATGTTTTTGTACAGGAGGAGTTTGAGGATTTACCACTGGGGTTTGATTAATCTTTACTTTTGCAGAGTTAGGAGACTCTAACATTTTTTCTTTACATCCTCTCTAAAAATTATATTCAGATAGCAATTTTTGTACGTTAGACAGCTATTCTATGAATAACTTCAAGCGGTTAATTTGCAAGCTGATAACAAGAATTACATTGAAAAACTGATAATTTTTCTTCGAGGAACAAAAATAGATTAATTAACTTTACTTTGATGCAGTGCATGCTTATGAAACAAAAATATATAATTTTACTTTGAATGTAGCTTACAGCTTTCTCAATAATATTCCAAATCTTTTTTCTCAACAAAAATTTATCTGCACCGGCAAACAAGTCTTTTAGATCATCCCGACTGAAATCCATTAACATATCTTCATTAACACTGGCATCTAGCAAATTAATAAAAGTATGATTATGAATTTGATATGAGTGTGATTTCCACTCAAAAGACCCATTAACCCCCTAGAAATTAGCCTTAATTAATTCAATGAAGTGATAAAAATGGTAATTGATTTCCCAGTACATACTGCATGATAAGTATAACTAAAAGCAAAATCACACCAAAAGTACAAGGATTTTATTGCATGAGTTGCAGCTGCTTGTATCACAGAAGTGAAACATACCTACAGTATGGTTTAATACTCCCATAATACTACAGAAATTTTCCCAAGTACGTCTAAACTATATAACATTTTCAAATTAATATGAGCTGGTGTAGAGTATTTTATTGATTTTTTCCCCGGATTAAATTACAACGGATTACTTGAAGATGTTTCTATTTTGTGCTGAGCCAATTTCTGCTGAGCTGGAATAGGATCCTAGCTCAAGAACAAAATATACTTTTTAACTCTCATGCAAATACTTTTTAAACTGAGCAGTCGATCCAGGATGGCAGCCACAGGTTTGGGGGTTATGAATGAGTGTCGGCCAGACAAGAGCAAAATAGGGAGTTATTAAATAGGGAGACAATTAACAACTTCTATTCTGCAGTACCTTGAAGTATATCATAAGCCTCGATGTCCAGTTTCCTTATGTCTTCCATTGACATGCTTGGCCCTGTACAAAAAAAGTTTAGAAAATCAGTATTTTGCCATATTCCAGTATTTGAAAAGTAGTATCTGACGAACTCGAAACAAAAATTCCTAATAAAATTTTCTGCTCCAGGTAGTTTAAATTGGCTAAATAGGACTAGAAAATAATACGAAGTCGCTACCATTTTACCTGTAATCGATTCGCGCTATTCCTACGGGAGTTGTTTTTATCCCCAACCCTAAAAAAATACAAAAGCTAGAATAAAAGGATGCCAAATATCGCAGTTTTTGGAACTTCAAATGTACATTACTATCATTACATTCTGGAACAGTAAACTAACTGTGATATTGGAATTTGGCAGCTCATTTAAATGTTGAACACCGCAAAATACATGGAACATGAAAATATATAAGTACACGAACCACTGAGCATGTTTATAAAATTCAAAAGAGCAGTAACTCCGAAAATACATTTTGTAGCTTTAATGAATCCACGTTTCGACTGCACTTTAGTCGTCGTCAGTATTATACAAAATGCTTTTCGGAGTTACCGTTCTTTTGTTTTTTTGACAATACTTGAATGTTCCGATCCGGCTCCAGCGTGCGACTTTTATAGCGTTCATTCTCAAATCTCAATAAACATTCGTAATTCGGTGTTGAATACACTTGACTATAAAAGACTACTTTTAATATTAACAAAAGGTCAAATATTTACCTTCTTAAATTTCCTTTAAAGGGTCGGATTACAAAGGATTAAACGTTGAATAATGTATATTTTCCAGTGATATTCTCACACCAACCGCTCAGTTTAAAATAGTGATGGGCGATACTTCGATACCAAGTATCGATACCCACCGATATTTATGATTTGCAGGAAATATCGATACTTGACCAAGTAGTCGCAAAATTTCGATACTGAGCCTACAGTATTTTAGGTCAGCGTTTTCTACCAAAAAGTACAAAAAAATTTTATTTTTTTTTTGTTCGTCACTTTTTTGTTACTTAGTTCTTTAATCATATGCTACCAATCAAAATAATTTCTGCCCATTTTTCATTTGCGAAAAAACAAAGGAAAAAACCAAAAATGTGAGTGGATAAATGCACATTATCGTATGGTATATGAAATTACAAACGGTAAAAAACGGCCCAATTTTCTGGTATCGGTATCGAAATTTGGTATCGATACCACTACAAATTGTCTGGTATCGAAGCGGTATCGTATCGATTTGAAAAAGCTGGTATCGCCCATCACTAGTTTAAAAAGGGGATGGCGACACTGTTAGTGGCGTGATTTTGTACACGTCACGAAGCGGGTCACGAACAGGGCGAACTGGTCGCGAAGCATGTCCGACATTTCCCGAGTATTTTTGAGTGATGGCTGTTATAGCCACTGCTCGCGGCTTCGCGCCAAATACAAATCATGGCATTTCATTTCTTGCGTTGAACTGTGGCTGGAAAATTAACTAAATATGTCGAACGTGTGGTTATGTAGTATTTGTTTTGTTTTCTCAGCACTGACGCTGAAGGCCTTGTTAAGGCATATTACTTTGCAACATGCATCCCATCCAAATTTTAAGATTAAATGTGGAATCAATGGATGCCCAGAGCAGTATAATAAAATGAATTCTTTCCGAAGACACATTCATCGGAAACACGAGGAGGAAATGTCTGCTGCGGAGACATCCAATTTGCTGCCAAACGACAGTCAGGGAGACAACCATACACCTGAAATGAGTAGCAACAACTCTTCGGAAACGTCGACTGATACTGATAGCGAGGATGACAACCCAACTGTTGAGGTACAGTAAGTTCACAGGTGTTCATGCATTTTAATAGGGGTTTTCCATTTCATGAATGCAGGCTAATTTATAAACATATTTTACATATTTTGGCATGTTTTCAGAAGGGCACATTTTACCATTTTACCACATTTACTCATTTAGTCCTTTCCCCAATTCTTATCCCTGTGGTAATTGATGTCATTTTTGCATACTAAAATGAATTTGTTCGACTTTTTTTGAAACCTTGTTTTTAGTTCAGCAAATAGGGACCATATGTATAGGAAATTAAGCTGGATCCCCATTTCATTAATATGCCTGAGTATGAAAAACTGAATTAAGAGAGACCATGAATTATGGAGTTTGCAATTCTAAAATCTACAGGGTACTGTAGGATAAATTCTGCAGCATACATGTATGCTCTATTTCCTTACCTTAACTTTTTGTATATTCTTACTCAATAACTGCACATTTACTAGGTTGATGTCAATCAAACTGATAAAGCTGTAGACCTCAAGCAATGTTCTGCTCAGTTCTTGCTTAAACTTCAAGCACGGTCTAAGATACCAAAGGTATGAAAGGCTTCTTTTGAATCAAAACGTTAATTGTTGGTATAACACTGCAAGTCCATTTAATATCAATGTAATATTTCTGTTATATATTTATAGTTAAATAGTAATATTTTTTACCCCTTTTTACTTATATTTGCCAGCTTGAGTATGCCTTAAAAAAGATAGACACAGGAAGAAAGAAATAATATTGGAATAGGCAATACAGAAATACAGAAAAAAATAGGATAAACAATTGTTGCACCTTACAGTTTTACAGCAGCACTATAATTACAGCAAGCTACAGTGTAAGTTCAAACAGTACCTATAAATAATTCCCAATTTCCTCAAACTAATTACACCTAATTTAGCAATTCCTGCAATGTTGCCTTTTAATTTAAACGACATGATGGAGTTATACAGTATATGGCATAACTCAATTATGCTGTTATTATTGTTAACATACTAGTTTGTGGACAAGCTACAATACCCATGAGAAATGACAAACTTTTAGTAAAATTTAATAACCTGAACATGGACCTGAAAATAATATTTCATAATGTTACAAAAGAGAGTTACCAAATGTCAAAAGATTCATCATTACAGTTCGGGCTATCCTTGAAAATTTAGTTTAGTCGCTAAATTCAACGTACTTGAACATAACTCTCCAGGTTGACTAATTTGTATCTCAGCATTATTAAAAAGTCCTAAATATTTATCCCTTTTTGCACAAGTTGTCATATAAAATCATGTTCTACAGTGTTACATATAGTATTTATTATCATTTTCTCTTTAAAAATAGGTAATGTTGAATGGGATTGTGGAAAGTACTAGCAACTTAATTGAGCAAGTAAAAGAACACCTAAAACAAAAGGTATTGAATTGTGTAGAAAACGGTGCTGACAAATTGACTGAGGAATCCGTTGAAGAAATTTTCAATTCTTTCGAGGACCCATTTAGCAAACTTAAAACAACTTACTTGCAGTCTTCATTTTTGGAAAGCAGCGTCAACTTTATCAAACCAATCCAATATGTCCTGTCCACTAGAATCACATATAAAAACAAGGGCTCAAAGCGTCTTATTTGTGAACAAGATGACACAATGGTGTATATTCCCATTCTTGATAGTCTACAGCAACTCTTGTCAAATTCAAAGATAGCAGATGTTATAACCGCACCACGCCAAGTATGCAAAGAAGGTTTTTTATTTGACATTTGTGACGGTGAATGTATAAAGCACAATAGAATCTTCATAGAGCACCCAAATGGATTAATAATTATTCTTTACCATGATGAGATTGAAGTCTGCAATCCGTTGGGCACACATGTAGGCAAGCACAAAATCGATCTTTATTATTATACACTTGGAAACATTGGCCCCAAATATAGGTCAAAGCTTTGTGCCATTCGGCTACTGGCTATTGTGAAGGCTAAAGATGTTTCAATGTACGGTCAGAATAAGATTTTAACCCCAATAATTAATGACCTACATACACTGGCAAATGGCTATACATTTGTGGTAGGTGGAAATTTTATGGAGTTGTTTGGTGGCGTAGTCAGTTGCCTTGGTGACACCGAAGGGCAGCACCAGTGGGGAGGATTCAAAGTAAAGGTTGGTTTTTCTCACCAGAAATGTCGAAATTGTTTATGTACATTTCTAAGCATGCAAGAGAATTTCAGGGCTAGCTGTTTTACTGAAAGAAACTTAGTCCAGTATCGTCAACACTGCGAAGATATTGAAACAGCTCCAACAGAAGAAAGCAGGAAAAATCTGGTGACCACATATGGAATTAACGAAAGAAGTGTATTGAGCCGCTTACCTCAATTTGACATAACGAAACAGCTTCCCCAAGACATAATGCATGTCCTTTTGGAAGGGTCTGTTCAATACGAAGTCCGCTATGCATTGCAATATTTTATTGATAATGGATCTATAACATTGCAACAATTGAACAGTACGTTTTGCCAACTTAAGCTTGGGTACCAAGATGAAGCTAACCGTCCTCCGCCTTTAAGAGAAACAGTGTTTAATGGCCAAGAGAAATATAAACTGAAACAAACGGCTGAACATGCTAGAATCTTCTTGAAGTATTTGCCCATTTGTTTGAAGAACTTCGTTGCTAATGACTGTCCGCAATACCAGCTTATATTGCAGATTTCATTGATTGTTCAGATCTGCTTTTCACCAGTCATCAGTGTTGAAACTATTAAAGAATTGGAAACTTTAATCGAAGCAAACCTCATCCTCTTTAAGGAAGTGTTCCCAGGTGTGAATATTACCCCCAAAATGCATTATATGCTCCACATACCGCAGCAAATTGTGTATCTTGGTCCACTTGTAAGGCACTGTTGTTTACGTTTTGAAGCCAGGCACCGTTATTTCAAAGACCTGGCTCCACTACAGAACTTCAAGAACATTTGCCTCTCTTTGGCAGAGCGATGCCAGGTTGATGAATGTGCAGACTTTGAAACCCAAACACCCTGCCAACACCCGTTATTTAAGTCCGAAAAGGTTATTGGTCCATCCAGTATGGTGACAGATATGTTGAAAGCCCACTTTTTTCAACGAATTACTGACTGCTTGCTTTACGCCAATCCTGAAAGTTTGACCAACGTTTTTACATGTAAGTGGATTCAATTGCACGGAACAAAATATGTTCCCAATAAGGGCTGTATCATTGCAGTTGATGCTACTTTTACAAGCATGTTGCCCGAATTTGGAAGAATTCAGAGAATTTGGCTTGCAGATGAAGATACTATATTTGAATACACACCTTTGAAAACAGTTGAATTTAACGATGGCCTTCTGTCTTATGAGGTTGAAGATCCTGGAGATGGTGTTCCAACAAAGTTCTGCTTATACGCAAGTATGTTGGATTTTAACGTATATTCTACACTGAAACAGTTTGATTCCACTTTCATTCCTACTAAGTATGACCTGAGGGATCTAATAAGACTTCATGTTGTTGGGGAGAACCCCCTGCATCGCTAAATGCAATTATATACTTTAACTTTGAACTGATACAGAACTATACTGTAGTTAAATCGTTTATTATATACAGCTAGTATAGGTCGCATAAAATTGATCATTCGATCACAAAGCGTAATCTAAGATTAGTTGGGTTTGTACAATAGAATTATAGTATCAGTTTCATGTTGGATTCTATACACTTCACCTTTAACTTTGATGCATTTGTTCTTGTCATACTATTTTGTTTTACAGTACTGACATATTAAAATTATTATATTATTGCATAAATTAATGACCAATGCGAAATTGTTCCATATATAGTGGGGTTTGAGCAGTACTGCACCTTTGTCAGTGCCACACATCACGCATGGCTTGCAACCTTGCTCAATACGTGCATATGTTTGTATAAATGAATACAGTTTAGAGTTTTTATAACTTGAAGAAATTTAACACGCTGAGAAAGCCATGCAAATAATTATAACAGGCACAAAGTATTAATGGCAACGAGTTGAATTTTCATTGACCAAGAAACAGTGACTAGTTTTAAGAAATGCATACATGTCGACTCTCAGTTGTTAGACGAAGACGTATTTGCTGCGAAACAAGCTGAGATAGCTTTCTTGGCATAAGAGACATAGACTGACACTGTTTTCCTTCAGGAATCGACTATAATATTTTCTTAAGACAAGATAAATCATCTTTGACTAAAAAACAATAACTCATCCTAAAATAAATCGTTTGCAGCTCTGATGAACCAAGCTTTAACATCTTGATTCATCACGGGAGAGGCCATTTTTTAGATTTGTTATCAAACCGAGATGAATAATAATTATCTTTGTCTAAGAAACAGTTAGTCGTTAAGCTCCGATTGACCAAGATTTAATTTCTTAAAACAAGACAAATTTCTTGGTTAAACTTTCTTAAAACAAATTTCTTAAAACAAGATAAATTTAACTCTGTTAAATAAGAATACATATCTTAAAACAAGATAGCTTTCTTTAAATATGGATTTATACCATGATTAATGTTCTTAAAAAGAGATATATTATCTCTTTAAAAGAAAATATGACTCGTTTTAAGAAATTGAATAATTTTGAGCTCGCTGTACCAAGATTTATTATCTTAAAACAAGATAGCTTTCTTGAAATAAGAAATAACACCTTACATAAAGACTAATGTTCTTGAAACAAGATAGCTTTCTGAAAATAAGAAATAAATTCTTGATTTAAGAATTGGATTCTTTCTTTCAAAAACTATAAATGCTTTTTTTTTCTTCAAGCGAGATTTATATTCTTAAAACAAGATTAAGTATCTTGAGTCAAGAATTTTTACCTTAATTTAAGAAAAATCGGTATTTTTACAGATCTCATCAAGATATACGATCTTATTACAAGATAATTTTCTTAAAATAAGGAGTGGAATCTTGATTTGAGAAATAAAATCTTAAAATCAGATAAATAATCTGGCCTAGACTTTCATTTTTTGCAGTGTATGTAACAAATATTCAAATGTTTAGGATTATATTTACAGTTGCATCATTTTTAAAATTAAATAATACATATACTTATTACTAGATTTTTTGCACTGTACAGCTGTACACTTTACATTTTATTTTTCAACCTTTGAAGACTGATATATATTGAAGTGTCCAAATATTACCCAAATTTCAGATATTTGTAATTCATTAGACATGAATAATTTTTGACTAATAATCCGGGTTAATCTACATGCATCAGAGATTCAGTATATTCGAAAAAAATTTCAACACTGCACAAATACGAAAGAAATGGTAAAATTTAATATTTATATGTCGTTTCATGCAGAAAAACTCTGATTGCTTTGTGTAAAATATAATGGTGTTATATAGGCCTAATGTTAGTCTATATATAGGGTTAACTCCTATTTCACGTCATTGTCATATTTTCGGCTAGAGCATGCACGAAAGTACTCAGGTTGTTAGGTAATATATAGATACATAATAGAGCTTGTCAGCCTAATTTAGTAGATAGATTTATATTCCAATAGATTTAGCGCCATTGTATTTAAAGACTCTTCTAAGAAATCTGCGTTCTTAGGTTCTCAGTGGTAATATTATAAATCCGTTTCACGATTCCGAAGATGATATAGGATTACCTTAGAATTACCTTTATATTCCATCGACGAAATAATTGCTTTAAATTATCACTATATTTTAGTATTATTAATTACTTTATGTACCTATATAAATGGATTTATAGTATAAGCCGATTTGCCTAACTTTATTTCGCACCTACTGTAAATTTTAGAGACGTTGTAAGACTACATGTCAGGAGTGTACGATATATCTATTTAGGCATACTGCTGTATGGTTATAAACTGCTTAACAGTCAGTATAAATTTAAAATTACTTCAAAATCACCATGCAAATACCATATTTGTTTAAACAACTTATATATGGTCTCTTATTCGGCCTGCAATAAATAGGTGACATTAGATGAGATTCCACATATGCATGTCTAAGCGGCATGTATATTTAACAAATATATATACTCTGAGGTCTGAGCTAAGTCGTATATTTCAGCTGATGGCCAACGGAGGCAAACCGGGTGTCCCAAAAAAAACTTTACCTGTTTGTCTTAATATAACTCAAAAACGATAAAAACTATTGAGTTGAAATAAACTCCGCTGTATACAAGCAGGGCTAACTTAGATTTTGATATATAACATTAAATTATTGATGTGATATTTACGGAGATACAAGCATTTGATGTCGCAAGGTACTTTCAAAATCCGTGAAAAATTGACAAAAATCGGCTATTAAATTAATTCGAAAATACTTGCATGCCACTTCCCGTGGTAAGTTTTTAACTTCAGCGATTTTAACTTTAATTGTTCGCTCTTATATAAGAGTAAGTTTGCAATGGAAAAGCGTACATTTAAAGTTAAAATCACTAAAGTTAAAAACGTAAAAGTTAAAGTATTAGTTTCGAATTAATTTAATAGCCGATTTTTGTCAATTTTGCACAGATTTTGAAAGTACCTTGCGACATCAAATGCTTGTATCTCCGTAAATATCGCATCAATAATTTAGTGTTATATATCAAAATCTAAGTTAGCCCTGCTTGCATGCAGTGGAGTTTATTTCAATTTAATGACTTTTATTCGTTTTTGAGTTATATTAAGACAAAGAGGTAAAGTTTTTTTTGGGACACCCGGTAGTATAATATATTTTAATATAATATAACATAATAAACTTATATATGAAATTCCCATGCATCACCTATATATAATTATATCCCAATTGTATTACTAGGCTGTTTTCACTACTCACCGTATATGATATGCAGTAAGTTGATGGCAATATCAACCCTTAATGCATGGTTTAATGTACTCAACTGCTATTTTAAGGATTTAATAATAGATTTATAGGAATGGGGGGGGGGGGGGGCAAAGCTTCCCATGCCGGCAGACAATAACAAATAGCGAAACAAAAGTTTCCTTTCCAGCAAATATACTGTACAATGAATCTTAAATTTATATTACGTTAGTATGTTTCTATATATATAGCCTATATTGTAGCTAATTTGTAACGAATTGTGTAAAACTGTGTTGCTGAAAGAAGGCTTTTCTATTTACATTCAATAAATGTACATTCAATCAAGAATATAGCAAAAGTATAATGCATGGTGCATGTCAAATGGTTTAGAGCTTACAGTTTATAGCCCCGTTTACATGCACTAATGTCATTTTGTTAACATGGCACGGTACTAATTTTAGGCGGGCCGTGTCAATAAATTGAATGTAGTGTAAACGGGGCTTATAGCTCGGATTCCTACCAAAGCGACTGCATCATTGCACCTTACATCGATGACTAGTAGCTCGAATTGATACCGCCAGCGATATTGTATGCATGCTTGGAAAGTTCACGTTTCAAAGAAAATTTTAACGGTTAAAACTTTCTAGCTCATTTGTCATAATTATTTATCATGCAGGTACGAGCACTGAAATTGCTGAGAAACTCTCGTGTGGGTCGTGTTAAGACAAAAAGTAAACTTTTTTGGTTGTATTAAGAGGGAGGGGGCAGATATCGTATCTTTGTGCCACCTTCCTATTTTAATGCAGAAACAGCCTTCTGAAGTGCTTACGTCACACAGTTTTCTATCTATACAATTTTGTCCCACTTGTTTCCCAGATTGCATTGCGATTCATTGTTCGAGACCGACATGACGTAAGCACCTCAAAGGTCTATAGCGCGCGCTGATGTTGATCGATGCTACCAACGAGGCGATACCAATAGTACATCAGACTTATTATTAAACTTATGGAATTTAGAATCTTATTCTGTGCCGCCGACCTGATTATCATGCACGCTTCGACTGTCCACCAAAGTCGCATTAAATAGCGACTATAGTTATAGATTTAGATTACTTATCAGTCTCGATATTTAATAATTTAATTATTTAAGCCACATATTAACGTAATATAAATTTAAGAGTCATTGTAAAATACAGTATATTAGCTGGAAAGGAAACTTTTGTTTCGCTATTTGTTATTGTCTGCCTGCATGGGAAGGCTTTGCAACAATAACAATATTTGAGAATCCTTGACGGCAGCCGAAACGTCTAACAATATAAAAAGCGGCAAAGGGCTAAAAAAGCAAAAAAAAATTATATAACGACAACAAGAAGCGGGTTCTTGAAATTCCTAAAAATAAATATTACTAGAAACTCCTAAAATATGACGTTATCAATGGATCTTTACAAGGCGAGTTATTCATTCAAACTTGTATGATTTATGATTAGTCTTCGTGGCGAATCGACCAAATAAGCCTTGGATAATTTGCTTATACCTTGTTAAAAATCAGTGCTGAAGCAAAGGACCTCTCAAAAGGTAGGCAAAATTATTGAATGTCACGACTGATATGTAATCTAACTATAGTTTGTAGTATGCGACTTTGGTGGACAGTCGAAGCGTGTTAATCCGATCGGTGCAAAATAAGATTGTTTTCTAAATACAATAAGTTTCTATTCAATAAGTTCTAATTCTGTGTAAATTACTCGATAGGCCCAGTCGAATATCTAACAATACCAAAAACGTAACGGAGGGTTAAGAGAAGTAAAAATATCTAGGGTGCATGTAAAGCAAGAGTTATTAAAATTATTAAATCCTTAAAAAAGCAGTTGAGTGTATTGCATTTAAGGTTGCTGCTACAACAAACTTACTGCATATGATTTAAACATATAGCTACAGTGAGTAGTGAAAACAGCCAGTATACATATATAATACAGTTGGAATAGGTGATGCATGGGAATATCATATTGGGACTCATGGGAACTTATGTTTATATATATTATATTATAAAATAATTACACCATTGCATGGTTTTGCCTCGTTGGCTATATCAGCTAAAATCAGCATACAACTTGAGCTCATATAGTATATTTGTTAAATATACATTCAGACATAATGTGGAATGTCATCTAATGTCACCTATTTATTGCAGGCCGAATGCAATAGACCATATATTCGTCGTTAAAAAAATATGGTATTTGCATGGTGATTTTGCAGTAATATTAAATTTATAGTGATTGTTAAGCAGCTTATAACCATACAGCAGCATGCCTAAATAGATATATATCGTACATTCCTGACACGTAGTCTTACAACGTCTTTAAAGTGCCCATGTCATAAAATTGGAATTTAGATTTTTAGAATCTTTGTTTGAAATGAGTTAGTAAGTTCTAAATCAAAACTGAAATTGGATTTTTATTTTTCGAGTTATTGCCATCTAAACATTGATTTTGTTGGAATGAAAACTCTGAAAACCGCGCAAATGAGACTGGTGCGAAACAAGGTGTTTGACGTCACAATAGGAACTCGTTCGACGCGACAACTTAGTAACTCTATTGCATGGAGTAATAAGTAGAAGCTAACCGCGCAAAAAAGTGATTGTTCTTACTTAACAGACAATTCTGTATAAAGTGACTCATATATTATCAAAATCTGTTGTGAAATGGCTTTAATAATTGTACATTCCTGGCAACAGTCGTGCAATAATTGCAAATACGCCATGAGTCTGACCAATTGAGTCACTGTGTTGTAAACACGTTAGGCAGTGTTTCAGTTAACAGATAAAGGTTCGGTGAATAACGTCTCAAAAGATGCGAGTGCGCACATTTTAGTAAAGACAGCTAAAGAATGTTGGTAAAAAGATGCCATAATAAAAGCGAAATGTACTGGGTTAATTTATATACACATGATTTGATGTTTTTTTTGCGCGAGACGTGTTAGATTTCTCAGTTAATATTGATAGTTCTATGTCTCTCTTTGAACTATTTTTTTTTGAAAGCACATGGGAACTCCACTCATACTCTAGCTCAGTTGATTTGTAATGAAGATAAACCAGATAATCATGCGTGACTTACATACACATAAACACATTGTAGAAATACCGGCACTCATGAGCCACAGGAAAACCTCAATCGTAATGCTATTAATATAATATTTATATAGGGCAGTAAATGTATTAGGGTTCCGCGTCCGCCTTATATCTACACCCGGGTGTATTGTATGTATGTGCGCGATTACGAATGACGATCAACTAAGACGACACTTTAGAATTAAGTTAAGTACAATTGCCAGATTACTAACATAGAATCTGTTTGTAATTTGAATACTGTATATCTAGCGTAATGATATTATGTTCTGGGGTCACGGAAAGCAAGTCGCGCAATCAAGATCATAAGAAAACATTTGCTATTTACTGACGCCTACGATCAAGTCTTCGTTGTAGCGTCGATGCCATGATCGTTGCACGATTGCTCCATTTCGCGATACCTTTTCAGCTTATCATCGGCATCTGGTTTGTTAATGGACCCTTAATGTATGGTCCGAAGTGTTCTTACTGCCTGACAAGGCTGATATTGACCCGCGTTCATGGTCTTAACTTTTGTTCTTTCTTAGTATTGCATTGGCAGGAAAACATTTTAATCGGTGTTATTTCTTTGGTAACTTCTCAATAGCTAAACTTGATGAAGACATATTTCTGCCACGTTTAATAACCGAATTTAGCTGGCATAAAGTCGCTTCTCTTGTACTACATACTATTATTTATCTAAAGGCGCAATATGCGAGTTCCTATTGTGACGTATTAGTTACCAGTTTCCGACTGTCGCGGATTTCAAAAACTTTTGCCGTTAAAATTTGAAATTTTCAAACTTTATCGCTTTATTTCTCCGCGAAAACAAACTCAATTTCAAATGTGATTACTATTTTCGTAATCTACGTTTCACGGCGATTCTAATGAGATAAATTCCAATTTTATGACATGGGCACTTTAAGCTCACTACTGTGTTGTAAACACGTTAGGCAGTGTTTCAGTTAACAGATAAAGGTTCGGTAAATAACGTCTCAAAAGATGCGAGTGCGCACATTTTAGTAAAGACAGCTAAAGAATGTTGGTAAAAAGATGCCATAATAAAAGCGACATGTACTGGGTTATATTTATATACACATGATTTGATATGTTTCTTTTGCGCGAGACGTGTTAGATTTCTCAGTTAATATCGATAACTCTCAGTCTCTCATTGAACTATTTTTTTTGAAAGCGCATTCCACTCATACTCTAGCTCAGTTGATTTGTAATGAAAATAAACCAGAGAATCACACAGGCATGCGTGACTTAACTACACATAAACACATTGTAGAAATACCGGCACTCATGAGCCACAGGAAAACCTCAATCATAATGCTATTTATAATTTATATAGGGCAGTGAAATGTATTAGGGTCCGCGTCCGCCTTTTATCTACACCCGGGTGAACCGTATGTGCGCAATTACGAATGACGATCAACTAGGATGAAACTTTAGAATTAAGTACAATTGCCAGAATACTAACACAGAATCTATTTGTAATTTGAATACTGTATATCTGGCGTAATGTTTATGTTCTGGGGTCACGGAAAGCAAGTCGCGCAATCAAGATCATAAGAAAACATTTGCTTTTACTGACGCCTACGATCAAGTCTTCGTTGTAGTTTCGATGCCATGATCGTTGCACGATTGCACCATTTCGCGATAGCTTTTCAGCTTATCATCGGCATCTGGTTCGTTAATGTATGGTCCGAAGTGTTCTTACTGCCTGACAAGGCAGACATTGACCGGCGTTCATGGTCTTAACTTTTGTTCTTTCTTGATATTGCATTGGCAGGAAAACAATTTTAATGGGTGTCATTCCTTTGGTAACTTCTCAATAGCTAAACTTGATGAAGACATATTTCTGCCACGTTAAATAACCGAATTTATCTGGAATGAAATCGCTTCTCTTGTACTACATACTATTATTTATCAAAATATGCGAGTTCCTATTGTGACGTATTAGTTACCAGTTTCCGACTGTCGCGGATTTCAAAAACTTTTGCCGTTAAAATTTGAAATTTTCAAACTTTATCCCTTTTTTTCTCCGCAAAAACAAACTCAATTTCAAATGTGATTACTATTTTCGTGATCTACGTTTCACGGCGATTCTAATGAGATAAATTCCAATTTTATGACATGGGCACTTTAAAATTTACAGTATAGGTGCGAAATAAAGTTAGGCAAATCGACTTACTATAAATCCATTTATATAGGTACATAAAATAATCAATAATACTAATAGTGATAATTTAAAGCAATTATTTCATCGATGGAATATAAAGGTAATTCCTCCTATGATCTTTGGCATCGTGAAACGGATATATAATATTACCACTGAGAACCCAAGAACGCGGACTTTTTTGAAAAATCTTTAAATACAATGGTGCTATATATATCCATTGGAATACAAATCTATCTGCTGAGTTAAGCTGACAACCTCTATTATATTTCTATATATTACCTAACAACCTGACTACTTTCGTGCATTCTAGCCGAAAATATGACAATGACGTGAAAGGAGTTAACCCTATATATAGACTAACATTAGGCCATTATATTTTTCTGCATGAAACGACATAATAAATAAAAAATTTTACCATTTCTTTCGCGTTTTTGCAGTGTTGAGTTTTTTTTCGAATACTGAATCTCTGATGCATGTAAATTAACCCGGATTATTAGTCAAAAATCCCTTATTCATGTCTAATGATTTAAAAATATCTGAAATTTGGGTAATATTTGGACACTTCAATAAGGTTTATCATAATATAAACAAGATGACCCGGTGCATATATATAACGAGATGAATCAAATGTTTCATCATCGATTCAGTGCTGGTTGGACCACAAATGCCTCGCTGGTTAAACAAAGCATACAGTGGCCCTAAGAGAGGGATAACCTCTACCCCCACTACTAAACCTCATTTGTGCACATATTATATCAATAATTTAATTCGTAACTTGTGGAAGATTTGATCTTTAAGATTTTTTAGACTAAGTCCTTCATTGGAATAATAATGCCAATGGTTTCAACAGCATGCCCATAAACTTTTCGTACTTTCTGCAATAATTCATGTAACAATTAGATTAGTTTTCCGACGGAGTTTAGAATGTTTTATAAACTATTTTAAAATTTACCTCGTTTGCATATATTTTATTATTCTTTCTTTCTTTCTTTTACAGTTTTTTTAAAAACATAGTTTCAGTTCCTGTACTTAAATGTTCACGATTTATATCGCTGAAATATATGCTAAAGTGCAAATATATGCCAAAGACCCTATAACTGCGGCAGCGTCCATTTCCACGGTAGCGTCCATTAGACTAATCTAATCCAGACGTTATTCCCATAACGTTTCCTAAAATCATGTATCCAAGAATAGGGATGAATGTTATCATGAGAACGGATCTGAGCATATAATTGCAATTGTTAAAAGAACCGGCCTAACCGGGTTTCACGCTTTCGTTTCGTTCTCCTCATGTGACGGGCAGTTTCTTTCGCTGCTTTCCGGCTTATTAGTGAGACGTATGTTGCCAAGTAAAAAGTAAAAAGTAAAAACAAGAGACACATGACGAAATATTATCACTTTTATCCAAGCAATTTTTTTAGAGCATTAGTTCTTATCCTAAACTTAGTCAATTGATAACCCTTTGCACATTTCGTAACAACAGGACATATTAAAGTAATATAAATTTAGACTTATTGTAAAATACAAAAATATTAACTGGAGAGAAAACTTTTGTTTCCGGCATTATTTGCTTTTGTCTATGGGATGCTTTGCTCCCGAATAATAATTCTAATCAATTTTCGAAAACTCTTGAGTTAAGCATACGATGTCAATCAATGCCGAGATCTTTATAGAACAATAACTTGTCTTATATATAATATGATACTATAATCTTTCGTGACGAATTGTCCCATCGTTAATTAAACTAATGTCTCAAAGCAAAGAATGTCTCAAAATTATTACTCCACTGATATGTAACTATCCGACTTTGTTGGCTGTGTTTGTCACAAGCCACTCAGAACGTCATCCCTGATCCGACCTGACAATTTGAAATGCATATATATCTTTTCTTTAAATTATGATAAACTTATATATACTGTATATATATCAGCATGCGGTTTGAGGTGAAAGAAGCCTGTTCCCGTAATACAGTTGATTTTGTGATGAGAAATTAATTAGAGTTTGGCATTTGCTAATTTTTTTGGTCGGTTGTTTTCAGAAATAACTTTGATCTTTCCTCCAATGGCGACTCACTTTCTTCTCTGCCTCCTCTTCTCTTCTGGTAAGTCGGACTGAAATACTGTGCGTTTATTTCTTAATTATGCATGTCTTTATTAATAACTCATGTTGCTAAAGCCTGCGAATCAGGTTTCGGCGCATCAAGTCCATGGGCGTCAATCGAACGTTAAGTGAGGGGGGCCATAGTCATATATTCTCCTTTGCCAGGCTGAGCAGACTATGAAATTTTTTTCCAAAAGAGATTAGTCAGGCATTGCAGCATAATTGAATATGGTCCCCCTCAATTAAAGTTCGATTGACGCCGCCAATGATTCATATTTTTGATACGGACTGCTTAGGCTTTTACAAAATAAAAATGAAGCAAATTTGACATGAAGCAAAATTGAATATCAAGCAATCGAGTACTTGATTTTAAATTAAAAAAAAAAGAAATCAATTCTCTACCCTGAGTCTAGAGATATTAACGGATGAATTAATATTGAACCGTGTGCATGTCATCATCGCTAAAAATATTCTTTACAGGAATGCTTGCTAATATTAAAGCAACACGTCAGAAGGATTGGGAAAGCAAATATGAGGTAGAACAATCTTGGGAGGATCAGAATTTTCGAGGTAAGACTATTGGATAAATGACTATATTGAACAAATTTTCTTATTAGATATTTCATTATTTTTATGAGACGAAACGCGACGAAAGGTTGGGCGATTTTGCTATGCCGTGGCAGAACGCACAAAGCTACGCTATCTCAGCACGCACAGAGAGCACGATAGCTACTACCCTAAGACTAAGTGCTTGCGCGAATTTGAATATCAACGTTAAAATTAACTGTGCGTGCACTTTATCTTATGCGAAAGCTAGAATATGTCTTTACTAAGAATCAAAGTATTGCGGCGTGATATTGGCATCATTTCCTATATACTGGTTTTGATATCTGTTAGCTAAAAATAAAAGATAATTTTAACCTATATATTTGGGTTGTAACCTATTCAATTGGTTAAAATGACGTATGATAATATAGTTGTAACTTTTTAAAATAGGTTATATTAACATTAACCTACCAGTTTTTACAATGTATGCATGCGTAGGAAAATTCCTGGACTATATTTGGCATAAGCCAATTGGAGTACATAATCGCTCATCCGGCAAAAGTTTATAAAGCTATATATTTTAATTTTAATATACTTATTGTATATATTAGACAGCTGAGCTATATAACGTTAATTTTCTTTGTTTAACCAACACAAACTTTCTCCGCATGCAATAGGGCAGCCGGTATCAATTCGAGCTACTACTATTCGATCTATCCATGCACTAATTCCACTCGAAGTCAAAATTAAGACTCTTCGACTCTTCACATTTCGGCACAATATATATTATAGGGACATAACAACGTAATAAATATAGACTTGTGTATGTAAAATACAGAAGTGTTAGCTGGAGGGCAAACTTTTGTTTCGTCATTTGTTATTGTCCTCCTGGGAAGCTTACACCAAATAAAGCAATTCTAATCAATATTTTGAAACTCTTGAGTATATGACATCAATGAATGGTTCTTTTTACCAACCGAAACGTGTAACAAATACAAAGGCGAAGAGCTATAAAAAATAAACCAATATTAAATCAATTTTCGCAAACTCTTGAGTATATGACGTCATCAGTAAGGCGAATTATTCATTCTAACTTGTATAATATATGATTTGTCTTCGTGACGAATTGACAAAACCTGACATAATTAAATTATTAAATGTCAAGACTGATATGTAATCTATATCTAAGTATAGTTTGCTATTTAATGCGACTTTGGTGGACGTCGAACCGTGCATGTTAATCAGGTCGCCGGCACAGAATAAGATTCTAAATTCCATTAGTTTAATAAATTTAATTGTGTTAATTACTCGACCTAGTCGAATATTCAACAATATAACAAAGACAGAGTAACATGCATGTACAACGTGCAAGAGTTCTCGAGATTCGTAAAGGCACGTTTACACTTTTTGCTGCGATTTTCTTCTTTTGATAGATGTGAAGTTCTGCTGAATATATTATATTATAAAATAATTATATCTTTGGTTTCCCCTCGTTGGCTATCAGCTAAAATGCGACTTTATCATTCAGACATATGTACAGAATGCAACTTTTAATATCGCATGTCACCTATTTGAAATGCGCATGAGTACATTTGTCCCTCCAAAGAGTCCGTAGATGCTTTGCGGTTCGCGACTAGACCCAGTGCCCTGCTCCATTGGGAAATGGCTAAAAGGAGGTATTCAAACCTTAAATAATTGAAAGAGATTGATAATACTTGTTAAAAATGAGTGCTGCTGCAAGGAATGTCTCGAAAGGTAGGCAAAGTTGATTAAATGCGAATTTTAGTCACAGAGCGGAAGTCGATTGTATACAAGTCTTAGAGAAACGTGATCAATATAAACTATACACGATAATCCATGTTAAATGCAGGTATACATTTCTATCCGAATATGAATCCATTGGCATTGGAAAACGTTAAAAGCTTGCTTACTTTTATTATACCTAAAGTTCTGGCTATATATAGCCTATCATAGAATAATTTTGTCACTGGTTTCGCCTGGTTCCATTGGCTATATATCAGCAAAATACGATTCGAGCTTATTAAGTATGATTGTTAAACTGATATACAAGCATATAATGTATAATATAAATTAACATATATTGCTGCCACTATATACTTTTTTTTCTCGGTACGGTATTTTTTCCTCTCGTAACTCAGCAGTATTTTCAAATTAGCCTTTCTCACGATGACGAATATGCCACTATTTTGGGAGAACTTTCTTTCAAAACCAAGACGATTGTATCAGACGATTTACCAGATCGTTTGAGTCAAAAGGGAGTAATTTAGCAGCGACAACGAGTACGAGATTCGTCATTCTCGCGCCTTGTTTGCTCACGCTATCAGACAAAACTCGTAGTGACGTAGTCTACAGAATAGACGTTATACCAGAAGCCTCACTCTTTGCATTTGGCGTCCGAAATTTTTGATGAGTGATGCCACCAAACGCAAGCCAAATACGCGAGTACACGCAAGCATAGTGGCGCTTAGTATTCAATTTGTATCTTGCTCATGCAATCCTGGTGTGTGCAAGAACTTTTTCATGGAGGTAAAAAGTTCCTGCACACACCAGGGTGGCGTAGAATGGCGTAGAATGACTCGTGCGCTTCTGAAAAATTTCGGACATGAAAACATTAGCAAAATATAAAGATTGAGGTTTCTGGTATATGTCTATTCTGTGCGTAGTCGTTGCGCTTTTGAGTACGAAATTTACCAACAAACTCGCACTGAAGCCAACCTACAAATTACATACAAACATTTTTCTTTTCTCAGTCCTTTCGAGGTCTCTTTTCAACCAATCAGTCAAGTGGTACAATGAGCTTGGATCTGTAATGACCGTGACAAGCTGGGACCAAGTTAAAGGCTCATTCAAAGGAAAGTACTTCTCTGCCGTTGGTGAGGCCGAGAAGGAATATGACCTTGTTGGTAGGTTCGATACTGATGGAGACACATTAGGATGGGCTGTATCGTACCAAAACAAGTATCGTAATGCTCATTCCACCTGCACTTGGTCCGGACACATGAACGAGGATTTCGAAAAACCAGTCATTCTGACTACGTGGCTGCTGACCCGCCAAACGCCTCCCGAAGATGATTGGGAATCAACCAGGGTTGGATTTGATACCTTCACTCAGGATCCTCCAGACGAAGAAACCATCGCAAGAGCCAAACTCCGTCGCCAGTGCAGCCATCCAAAAAGTGAAGAAAAATAAGAAGCTACTGGAACTGCTGCATGCTAGCTACGATTTTTAAGACTATAAGTACAAGTTATATGTAATCGTTTGGTTTCAATAAAATTGCATAGACGGAAATTTGAATACGTCACTTTTTATAACTATCACTCAAACATGCAAGGTACGTATATTCAAGCCCTGTCGTGTTGAAGAGAAATGACCGTAATAAACAATATTTACATTACATATTACTTTCCAAAACCGAAGCGTCAAAGCCAAGTGCGTGGATCATGTTTATTACGACGTTTACCTCAATTGAAAGGAGTGACCAAGTCTTTTACCTCACTTGCCCGACTGTCCAAAATGCGGGGGAACGATATGAAAAACATGGGGCCACTTTGAGTAGGGTCACGTTAGGGGTGTGTCAGAGGTATGACACCCCAAATTTTGTGAAATTAGCCCAAAAAGCATGTAAGAGGCAAATGGTCGGTCCCGTGCACATATATACACTTCTCAACGAAATAAAAAGCTCTTGATAAAATATCCTAGACTATATTTGGCATAAGACACTCCGACTACATCATCGTTCACTAATCCTGCTTCACAACGGTTGACATACTTATCTTTGAATTATAATATACTAATACTGTCTATATATTATCAGCTCACAAACGACGAGACTGAGAGAAAACAGCCAGTAATTTACAGTTGAATTTGTGTATAGAATTTAATAAGAGTTTGTTTATGGCTAATTTCGGAATGATCACGAGCTATGACATTGGCAAGTTAATCTCCTTTTCTCAGCGTGCATGCAATATCGTTGGCCATGGCGGTATCAATTCAAGCTATCAGTCATCGATATAAGATAGTGCAATGGTGCAGTCGCTTTCGAAGAAATCCGAGCTATGTAAGCCTTGTTTACACTACAATTAATTTATTTGCACGGCGCGCCTAAAATTAGTACCCTTGCACAGTTTTATTAGTGCTTAGGCTTCCGTTACAAAGGCCGAGCGCTAATGAAATTGGTATGGCTAACCATTTAAAGCCGTGCCGTACCAACAAATTGACAATAGTGTACGTAAACGGGGCTATAAACTGTAAGCTCTAAGCCATTTGAAACCATTATACTTTTACTGTATTATGCTTTTGCTATATTATACTATTATACACCATTATACTTTTGCTAAAAACCTTCTTTCAGCAACACATTTTCACGATTTCGATTCGGGTCGAAATACCGCCATTGAAACGTTATGAGAAGATTAATAAGATCTCCTCTCAATGAGTTTGAGTGTGAGTGAGCTTTTAGAAAACAGGCTTTAATCTTAAGTATAAGTATATGACGTCAATGAAACGGATCTTTAAAAAGTTGCATGATATATGATTGTCTTATTTTCGTGACGAAGAAACCAAGCCTTAAAAAATTGAAGAGATTGATAATACCTGTTAAAAATGAGTGCTGCTGCAAGGAAGGTCTCGAAAGGTAGGCAAAATTGATTAAATGTGAATTTCATTCACAGAGCGGAAGTCGATCGTATACAAGTCTTAGAGAAACGTGATCAATATAAACTATACACGATAATCCATGTTGAATGCAGGTATACATTTCTATCCGAATATGAATTTATTGGCATTGGAAAACGTTAAAAGCTTGCTTACTTTTATTATAGTTAAAGTTCTGGCTATATGCCTATCATAGAATAATTATGTCACTGGTTTCGCCTGGTTCCATTGCCTATAAGTCAGCAAAATACAATTCAAGCTTATAGTATGATTGTTAAAATGATATACAAGCATATAATGTATAATATATTGCTGCCACTATATACTCTTTTTTCTCGGTACGGTATTTTCTTCTCTCGTAACTTAGCAGTATTTTCAAATTAGCCTTTCTCGCGATGACGAATATGCCACCATTTTGGGAGAAATTTCTTTCAAAACCAAGACGATTGTATCAGCCGATTTACCAGATTTTGAGTCAAAAGGGAGTAGTTTAGCAGCGACAACGTCACAACGACTACGAGTACGAGATTCGTCATTTTCGCGTCTTGTTTGCTCACGCCATCAGACAAAACTTGTAGTGATGTAGTCTACAGAATAGACATTATACCAGAAGCCTCACTCTTTGCATTTGGCGTCCGAAATTTTTTGAGAGTGTGACGCCACCAAACGCAAGCCAAATACGCGAGGACACGCAAGCATAGTGACGCTTAGTATTCAATTTGTATCTTGCTCATGCAATCCTGGTGTGTGCAGGAACTTTTTCATGGGGGTACAAAGTTCCTGCACACACAAGGATGGCGTAGAATGGTGTAGAATGACATGTGCGCCTCTGAAGAATTTCAGACATGAAAACATTAGCAAAATCCAAAGAGTGAGGCAAGCCAACATATAAAGTACGTACAAACTTTTTTCGTTTCTCAGTGCTTTTGAGGTATCTTCTCAACCAATCAGTCAAGTGGTACAATGAGCTTGGATCTGTAATGACCGTGACAAGCTGGGACCAAGTTAAAGGTTCCTTCAAAGGAAAGTATAACTCTGCCGTTGGTGAGGCCGAGAAGGAATATGACCTTGTTGGCAGGTTCGACACTGATGGAGACACATTAGGATGGGTTGTATCGTACCAAAACAAGTATCTTAATGCTCATTCCACCTGCGCTTGGTCCGGACACATGAACGAGCATTGCGAAAAACCAGTCATTCTGACTACGTGGCTGCTGACCCGCCAAACGCCTCCCGAAGATGACTGGGAATCAACCTTAGTTGGATTTGATACCTTCACTCAGGATCCTCCAGACGAAGAAACCATCGCAAGACTCCGTCGCCAGTGCAGCTATCCAAAAAATGAAGAAAAATAGGAAGCTCCTGGAACTGCTGTATGCTAGCTACGAATATTCTTTGCTTCTAAGACTAAGTACAAGTTATACGTAATTTTTTGGTTGCAATAAAATTGCATAGATAGACTGGAATCCGAATACGTCGTTTTTTATAACTGTCACACAGACCTGCAATGCATGTAGGTATATGCAATTAGCGCCCTCTTGTTAAAAGGAAATGGCCGTATAATAAACAATATTTACATATTACTTTCCAAAACCGAAGCGTCAAAGCCAAGTGCGTGGATCATGTTTACCACGACGTTTACCTCAATTGAAACGAGTGACCAAGTCTTTTACCTGACTTGGCCCGACTGCTCAGAATGCGGGGGAACGATATGACAAACATGGGGCCACTTTAAGCACGATCTTTATAGGACAATAACACGCCCTATATATAATATGATACTATATATATATAGACTTTCGTGGCGAATTGACCAAGCGTTAAACTAATGTCTCAAAGAAAGGAATGTCTCAAAATTATTACACGACGGATATGTAACTATCCGACTTTGTTTGCTATATTTGTCACAAACCACTCAGAAGTATACGTCACCCCTAATCAGGCCTCAAAATTTGGCATGCATATATATCTTTTCTTCAAATTATAATAAACTTATACTGTATATATCAGCATACATAGGGTTTGTAGTGAAAGCAGCCGGGGCCAGTAATACAGTTGAATTTGTGAAGAGAAATTAATAAGAGTTTGGCATTTGCTCATTTTTATTATTAGGAAGTTCTGGTTATTAATTATCGCGGCAAACAATTAAACCATTATAGGCCAGCGAAACGTCTAACTGACAAAGCTGAAAAGAGTAAAAATATATGACATAGACCAACGTACACATCAAAATGGTTCTCAAAATTTTTAAAACCAATATCAAATCAATTTTGAGAAACTTTACCAGCCGAAACATTTAACAATACCGACAAAAGACGCGAAGGACTGAAAAAGTAAAAGATATATAACGTGTATATATATACGTCTTTAAATAGGAAAATTCCTGGACTATATTTGGCATAAGCCATTCAGAGTGCGTCATCGCTCATATATCAGCTGCATATACATATGTATACAAACACCCAGTAATGCAATTGAATTTAGGATGAGAATTTATTTTAATAAAAGTTTGGTCATTTGTATTACTGTAAGGTTCTGCATGCTTATTAATAATCATACAATTATACCCTCGCCTCGTTGGCTACCAGTTAAAATACGAGTCTCGATCGAGCTATGCAGTATGGTATAAATGTTAAATATGACAACTGAGTTATACAACGTTAATTTTCTTTTTTTAACCAACTCAACGAACACAAACTTTCTTCGCATGCAATAGGGCAGCCGGTATCAATTCAAGCTAATACTATTCGATCTAAGAGAGTGCAATGGTGCAGTCGCTTTGGGAGCCGGGACGCGAGTTATAAAATCTAAACCATTTGACACGATATCACTCTTCCTATTTTCTTCATATAATCTTTTGAATGTATAAAAAAGCGGTCTTATTTTAGCAACTTAGTTTCACGATTGAGTTATAGTCTACCTAAGTTACCATACAATTATAGAATTTTTCTTCTCAACCCTTCCTCGGCTTGAATTTGAGATGCATGTGAATATTCATGCACAAATTCCACATGAAGTCAAAATTAACTAAAGTCTCTTCAACCATTTGCACATTTTGTCACAATATATATTATAGGGACATAAAAATGTAATAAATTATATAGACTTTTGTAAAATACAGAAATATTAGCTGGAGAAGAAACTTTTGTTTTGTTATTTGTTATTGCCTGCCTGGGAAGCTTTACAATCCCCCCCCCCCCAATAACAATTCTAATCAATATTTGGAAACTCTTGAGTATATTACATCAATGAATGGTTCTTTTTACCAGCCGAAACGTGTAACAATACAAAGGCAAAGAGCTATAAGAAGTAAAAATAGTTATATGACGATAGCAAAACGTGAGTTCTCGAAATTCTTAAAACCAATATCAAATGAGTAGCTATATTACATCAATGAATGGTTCTTTTTACCAGCCGAAACGTGTAACTATACAAAGGCAAAGAGCTATAAGAAGTGAAAATAGTTATATGACGATAGCAAAACGTGAGCTCTCGAAATTCTTAAAACCAAGATCAAATCAATTTTCGGAAACTCTTAGGTATATATGACGTTATCAATGGATCTTTATAAAGCGAGTTATCCATTCAAACTTGAAACTTATGAATGGTTCTTTTTACCAGCCGAAACGTGTAAGAATACTAACTAAAGGCAAAGAGCTATAAGAAGTGAAAATAGTTATATGACGATAGCAAAACGTGAGCTCTCGAAATTCTTAAAACCAATATCAAATCAATTTTCGGAAACTGTTCAGTATATAAGTCGTTATCAATGGATCATTATAAGGCGAGTTATTCATTCAAAATTGTATGATATATGAATAAAGTCTTCGTGACAAATTGACAAAGCCTTAAATAATTGAAAGAGTTTGCTTATATACCTTGTAAAAAATGAGTACTGCTGCAAAGAATGACTCAAAAGGTGGGCAAAGTTATTAAATGTCAAGGCTGATAATGATAATTATAATCTATATCTATCTATAGTTTGCTATTTAATGCGACTTTGTCTTTGAAGCGTGCATGTTAATCAGGTCGGCGATGTATCTGTTCTTTAAATTATAGTATACGGTCTGTATAGTGAAAGCAGCCTGGCCCAGTAATACAGTTGAATTTGTGATAAGAGTTTGGCATTCGCAAAACGGTTCTCAAAATTTTTAAAACCAATATCAAATCAATTTTGGGAAACTCTTGAGTACTGCATGAGGACAACCGTGGGAGTCATAGAACCTTACCAGCAGAAACATCTCAGTAACAATAGCGACAAAAGACTTAGTCGGCCTAGTCGAATATTTAACATTATAACAAAGACAGAGGGCTAAGACAAGTAAGAATATGTATAAAATGCGTTACAAACTGGAAGAGTTCTTGAAATTCGTAAAGGCTCGTCTACACTTGCGATTTTTGCTGCGATTATACATTAACTATGGTAAAATTTAAAGACACATGCCAAAATAAAAACGTTGATTTTCAGATAGCCGTGTGTTAACAAAGTTAAAAACATTAAAAGTGGAACTATAAAAATAATAATTATTTACAATATGTGAAATTCCCATGCATGCATTACTTATTCCAACTCTATTACTTGGCTGTTTTCACTACTCACCGTCACCGCGTATGTACTGCATGTGCATGGCTGAGCTGATATGCAGTATAAGTATATATAGTCATTCAAAGATAAATATCAACTCTTAGTGTTTACACTTGCAGTTTTTGCTGCGATTTAATTCATGTGCGATTTTCTTCTTTTGATGTCAACGAGTCATTTAGTTACTGATGTTTTAAGTAAAAGTTCTTATGCATCAGAGCATTCGTAACTATATAATTACTCGTTCACATCTACCAAAAGAAGAAAATTGCACCATAAAATTAGGATTTTATCTGATTGGTTGAGATGCTACCGTGTATAAATATTCGTAAATAAAAATTCGTAAATAAAAAAATATATAAGTTTATATATTACTGCAAAGTTCTAGCTGAATATATTATATTATAAAATAATTATAGCTATCTTTGGTTTTGCCTCGTTGGCTATCAGCTAAAATACGATTTTTGAGCTCATAGTATACATTCAGACATATATGAAGGATGCAAAGTTTTATCATCGCATGTCACCTATATATCAGGGCGTATAATAGAACATGTATTCAAAGAGCCTAGGAACTGGGAACGAGGCTGCATGTATACCCGGATCAGGCATCAGTCAAAAAAGGGAAAATACAAATTCCATGCAAAAATTCTCTCTTTTTTTCAGCGCTTTCCAAACAGTTACTCAACACGTCAATCAAGTGGTACAATGAGCTTGGATCCGTAATGATCATAACAAGTTTCGACATCAACAAAGGTTCTTTCGAAGGAACATACTGCTCTGCTGTTGGAGAAGCTAAGAAAAAATATTACCTGGTTGGCAGGTTCGACACTGATGGAGACACATTAGGATGGGTCGTATCTTGGAAAAACGAGTTTCTCAATGCTCATTCTACAACTGCTTGGTCCGGACATGTGGAGTTCCAGTGCGAGAAACCAGTCATTCTGACTACGTGGCTGCTGACCCGCCAAACGGATCCCAAGGATGACTGGGAATCAACCTTAGTTGGATTTGATACCTTCACTCAAGACCCTCCAAGTCAAGAAACCATCGAAAGAGCCAAACTCCGTCGCCAGTGCAGCCATCCACAAAATAAAGGGAAATAAGAAGCCTCATTTTGTATACAACTCTTGCTTCTAAGTAAATGCTGTGCGCGTAATATGTTTGTTTCGATTGCAATAAAATTGATGAGTTAAGTTGTACTCATGACGACTTGTCTCCTTTTTGAATTTAACCTTTACGAACTAAACCAGAGTTAGTTCGTAACTCATAGGACAGAACGGACTAACTTCACCTAAAACCTCACGTGCATGGTAGACATATGCTGGAGTTCGATCAGCATCAGCGCGCATTATTTCTGCATTAGAATAGGAAGGTGGCGCAAACATATCTGCCCCCTCCCTCTTAATACAAGTGAACATGCACAATTCAACGAGAACGAACGACTATGCAGTTATGTTAATAAGTGTTATGTTAATATAAAACAAAACACATTTGTACCAAACTGCTTGTACACATTAATAAATACATAATTACAAAGATCTTAATTTTTGGATAATGCAAATAATGTCGAAATGACCTTCAACCATTACACATTTGATGTTAGGACTTAGGGTTTCGGTTTATACGTTTACGGGTAGCGATATTTTACTCAATGAATTTCTCTGTAATTATTCACACGTTTAATCATGCAATTTTTGTTTGGCTCGACCTTTTACAAATAAATTGAATAGCCATGCCATAATTATGCTGTGTTTTCTTTGGGGATTCATCCCTATTTACATTCATACGGTTTAAGTGTTTTCAAAACACAAAACAACACAACTGTTTTCTGAGATTGATGACTTAGAAGCAACCGCGACTGCTTTGCACTTGATGACTAATTGTTGACAGTTTTATTCATTTTTTTTTCTGTATACTTACGTGCGATTAGAGCAAGTATTGAAATATCGTTAGAAAACTACATACTGTAATATTGAACGATGAGATAAACCCTTTGCAATCATCCGCCTTGTTAATTGAGAGTTTCAACAAATTGGTATACCAATATAGCCCTTGCGGCCTTAAAATTATACTCCTTTCTTCGTTTCCTAACCTTACAACTTGACGAGGAGGCATTGTCCGTAGCAAAGTCAACGACTTCAAAGCTGTTTGCAGAATATTTTAAAAGTATTTAATTACATAGCAAGCAAAGGGCTATACACCACTCTCAAGAGTGCCGGCATTGCTTAAAATATACTCGGCATTTCATATCATCACGGTTATTGACACGCTAATTGTTCAACTTTTCCGTAAGCAAGTCGTCTGGGTTTGAAGTCTTACATATTTGTTCCTTGTCAGTGAATTGTTTATGCTATAATCGGCTTGGAACGGAATAAAATTATCACATTCGTCTAAGTGCTTGTCGAAAATTCATATTTAAGGTCTCATCCAGTAGCCACGCGAGTTTAAACGAGTGCAGACAACTGAGTCGCTCGGTTAATGAGGCTACTCGTTCGTTCTCGTTGAATTGTGCATGTTCACTAATAGAACCAATAAAGTTCACTTCTGGGTTTAACACGACCCCCACGAGAGTTTCTCAGCAATCTCAGTGTGACCAATTCGAGATACTCATAGGTGTAAGATATAGGAATGGTGCATGCACTCCCTTTGGAAGGAATCCGAGTTATAAACTGTAAATGCCAAATGAATTGGTGGTACATTTTCTTTTTGGACTGACTCTGAGATATCGAAAAACTTACAACAAAAATCATCGCTCAAATTTTTTTTTATGTAATAGACGTACGGGACGGGGAGGCAAAATATTTGTATTTTCTGGCGCAAACACAAGATCATGTTCTATATTCTATAGACATCATGCACTAGTCACGAGCAAGTGTCCATATACCTTAAGGACCACACAGACAGGACGCGATTTAGCAATGCGGCGTGGTTTTATAAAGTTTTTTACTTTAAAACAACATAACAACAAACGTAAAGACGACAAGAGTCATATAAAAAGATTTCCTTCTTACATCAGAATTTGAAAACTTTTACAGGTACTGTTGTGTGCCAGATATTATGGAAATTAGCTAAAAATTTTCATTCACACCCCATCCACTCGAAATTTAAAGACAACGCTATATGTAATCCCGCACGTGCAATTTTTACACGGCTTTTTATCTTCCTTTTGATATCCACGATTTTTACGCTTGATATTGCTAACAATCGTGTGTATATACAAAATTTGAAGCACTGACAAAACTAGAAACTAAGAAAAAGCTCCGATCCGTATAAAAGCTCTTTTCGATAGTGAATTTCATCCGAAGTTTCCAGGACTACACGATCACTATCTTAGCTGTGATTGATTTAATAGTTGATGAATCTGTTCCTGTATTGGAAGAGTCTTAGGGTGATAGATCTTTTAGGCTGCAGCTTTCTTTGGTGGAGGTCTTAAAATGAACGGTAAAGTGCTGTATTTTAAAGGACGAATGTTGTTATCATTTGTTGCTATATTCATCGACAATATTAACAAAGTTTTCACGGGTTGAAACACACAATAATAAAAAAGCCAACTTTTACTCAATGTATACATTCATTAAATAAAAACCATTCCAATCCAACCCAATAGAAATTCCTTGCTTTCAGCAAGAGTGAAAATGTTTATTTACTGTACCTGTAAATTCCAACGACAACAGCATGATCTCTTTCGTAAGGTTCCAGGGTGAGCTGTTCTTGAGGTTTCATTTTCTCTGCTTGCATTTTCTTCACTTCTCCAGCAAAAACAGCTGCTGGTTCAGCCGTAGAATCGATACAGTTTGCCTAAATGAAAAAAAGGAACAGCAATTAAAAGCACTTCTACAGGATGGGCAGTGTAATCAGGTGACGACATTTTAATGTTATTGCGATAGTCATAGCGGTTTTGTACCAAACAAAATCATAGTAACAAAAAGAACGCAAACAAGTTCAATTTCGATATTCTGTGGAAAAAAACTACCAAGTATGTAGCTACAAAAAATTAATGCAAAAGTGTACTTTGTATATTTACTGCATATACAAACCTTTATAGATATTACAAAATGTCCTCCATTTTTTAAGAAGTTATGTGCGTTAATCGCAACAATTCTTGCTTGATCAGGTTGGGCAACATCAGCAAAAATGGTATCAACCATACCTGGTAAGAAATATGCATATATACAGTTATAAAGATATATATTCATTCAATTCAGTGTCTTTTGCCCTTAAAAAACAGGTTCCAAATATTGATATGCACCAACAAAGATGGTCATTTATAGGACCATCCAAATGCTTACCCACAAGCATTCTATATTTGTGAGGGTGACGTGCATCCTCGATGATTGGAATTACGTTTGTCCTTTTCTTGGCAACATTGATCAAGTCTCTTCCGGATCTGTGTGAGAATTCCACTGCATACACAAGACCATCCTTAGGATAAAAAAGTCGTAGCAATCAAAATATTACATACCCTGAACATTGAATCAAAACACAATTACTTATACATATAAGCGAGTGTAAGACAATGTCTATAAGTTCCTATAGTCGTGCACTTTCATAGTCTTAGGTGGGTAACAACGAATTCATCTGATTTTTTAATGGTTATAAACTATTGGCAGATTTATCCCAATATAATAAGGTACTATACACTGTACATACAGGTCCAACAATGTCAGAGACATGTGAAACTGTTGTTCCTGAAGCTGCTCCAAGATACAGAACTTTGCTACCCGGTTTCATGTGAATCTTGTCAATACCACCCAAGATGGCAGCAGCCAGTTTGGATCGGAATGGATTCCAAACTCTGTATTCAACTTTATTCCCTTCCTCAACCTATAATTGTTCAAATATTTTATTTTATCATTCCAACTGTGAATATCCAATGCTTAATTAGGTTAGGTAAAACATACTTTGAAACAGGAATTTCAAAGTGCGGTTCTAAAATGTTGCAGCCATGCAATTAAGTTTGCACATTCTTAGAGGAAAAAATAGTTCTCTAGTAGCTCTATAGTTTTGCATATATATATGCTGTGAAACACTAACAGTTATAAGCTTGTTATAGCTTATAGGCCTGAGGAATTTGTTGAGGTCTTTAATTTAAGATGTGCTTACAAATACATAATAGCATTATAATACTGTATTGTCTGTATATAATTTTGCTAACTACAAACAAATCACTGCTACAAATCATAACATACATCAACTGCAATCTTCTTTTCCCCATACACAGTTTCACCAGGGACAATATTCTTGGTGACCAATGCATCTTCTTTACCCCGAGCAATAAATACGCCTAAAGTGGAATAAATTGATATATTATACCTCAAATTGTCCTGCCACATGAACACAAAATTTTTCTTTGTGCGAGCCTTTGTCATCCGTATTGGCCGCAGTGGCAGATTTTTTTCATATTCACCAGTGAATATCAATTCGCGGAAAAATAGTAGATACCTTATTATATATTGACTCACAGAATTCATGTATCTATGTACAAAAATGTGTTGAGATAGCATGTGCTGACGAAATATAGAACTAACCTTCATGTCTGTGAGGTTCAACAGAAACTCTTGCTCCACCCTTAAAACCACCTGGAAGGATTTAAGAGTATGGTATTGTCAGCAAATAGTGATTATGTATTTTAGTTCAAGTGACAATGTTTTGATGATATATCATAAATTAAAAAAAGGACACAACATAATCACCTCTTCCACCTCCACGACCACCACCTCGTCCTCTCCCACCTCCTCTTCCTCCACCTCTGCTTCCACCACGACCACCACGTCCAGGACTTTTAAATCCACCTGAAAATATAAATAAAATATTTAATTTCTAAATAGACAACATTTCTGTGAACATTTTACATGTACTAAATTTTGCCTCTTTAACATTTTACCTCTCAGATTTACATTTAGCCAGATTTATACTGGAAACAGATTATTTCTGAATATGAATTGGGAATTCACAGTTTATGTGTAGATGGTCATTCAGTTTTCTCACATTTATAAGGAATGCATCTCAGAGATATGAGCAGTTCTGTTATTGTACCAGTATGTGTGGATGTATGTATGTATGTAAAAACAGAATTTTTTTATCAAATTGTCTTTTTAAGATCACAAAATGACTACCGGTAGATTTAACATAAACAGAGTTACTGTTTTCATGGTGAATCCAGTTAAATCCAAAAGGTAATGGATATACAGTAGTCCCTTGCTAACTCGAACTCCCAAGGGGAAAGAAAAATTGTTTGAGTCACCAGGGGTTCGAGTTAACCAGAGTTGGCGTTAGATTACGTTTATTGTAAGTAATACAGTACTAAGGTATAAAATCCAAATGAATCATTCTTTAAGAGATACCATGCCTACCAATATGAATGGTCACCGAAAGTGGATGACATTTTAAAATTAAAAAGATCGAAAGAATACAAAAGGAACTAAAAAAGCTAAATCAATAACGACCGTGGCACTATAGAAAATCTTTTGTAAGATTTAAAATCAATTATACACCAATACTTTATACATTGATTAACTTGGATAGTTTAGTTGTTATTTGGATAGCTCCCAGTTGTCAAAATGCTATCTTCTCACATTTCAAAGTTTGCTGATCTATGATTTTAAACCAAAGTTCAAGTTAACCGGATATATTTGACCAAGGGAAAATTACAAAATTTGTTCGAATTAGGGAGGAATTCGAGTTAAGCAAGTTCAAGTTAAGCGGAGTAAATTATTATAAAAAAACACTGTCAAATTCAAGGGGAATTGGATTTAGTTCGAGTTAGCGAGGAGTTTGAGTTAAGCGAGTTCGAGTTAGCGGGGGACTACTGTATACTGGAAATATATATTTCTTAGACATAGACATAGAGTAGTTTTATTAATATGTGGTAAGCCGAATTCAATGCCAGAGGTGCATATAGTAATAGTGAAATCATATTTCAATCCAGGCAGTGGGGTTGACTTTAATCCAGACATAGTATGGGATATGGATAATATCAGTGTGTTGCCAGTCGAGTTCAGGCCACTAAATTTCATCATATCAAATATCAATAGCTCATTACTGGGCTGCATATTGCTCAAAACATTTCAGGTTGATCCCAATTTAAATTACTTAATAAATACTCGTATAAAAAATAATAAAACTCAACAAATGGACACTGTTCAGTTTAAAATTTATATAGGATAGTCTGCCGAATCGATTCTTCCAAAGCAATTGTGCCCCATAGCAACCCACGGTCTAACCGTGCCGTACCACAGGGCATCATATGATAACATTTACACTGCAGATCACATTTACACTTAAACATGAAACTGTATTATCCAAGAAACATACCTCTTCCTCCGCCACGACCACCTCTACCACCGCCACGTGGTGTGCCTGATCCTATAATAAACATACGATATTTAGCACTCCCATCAAGTTTCACGAACAATGCAATGAAATGATTACTCAACCTGGTCTTCCCATCGCAAAATACGGTTCTAGCAACTGCTGTGGTCAACGTGTAAACGATAAAACGTCCCCCAAATGTTTCCAACGTTTTCAGTACTGCGGAGTCAGAAAGGGCAACATGCACGGTATACGGACAAATGACAAATCTTACATGACATTTTAGCACTTCGGGGTACAGGAAGATAGTGGGCGCATAGCAGCGCCGCGCAAGGTTACCTGGTATAGATATTTTTTACCTTTGCTAAAAATTCAAGATGGCTTCTTCTCGGATGGTGAAGCTGGCAGAAAATGTGTTGTCGAAAAGCATAGCTGTGTCCACAAAAATGGGAATGAAGGGGATAGGTAATTTTTCATTTGTAACTCGAAACATTTACTTTTAAATAAAACCCGTTTTTATGCTAATACGTCGAAAAATTGCAAAGTATTACTATTACTCGATATAGATAATTTTGAGATTTGATCACAGAAATATATTAATATATGCAACTCGTCGAAAAAAGCTTTTCTATACTAGGGGCAGTATTCGGGGGTAAAAGTAGAGATTGAATAAGCAAACCAAAGTTTTTTGCAGAAATAGATAAAAATTGTGTAATATACAATATATTACCAAAAGTGTGAATAGCCAGAATAGGTAAATATACAACATTATACAGATTATTTGCCCAGTTTCTGCTGCAGAGAGATTTTTTGAATGGTATATATGTTTTGAAAATTTGAAAATATTGTAGCTGCTAAGTTTTAAACAATAATTTCGTATTAACTTATCAAGTTAAAATGCACTTTTCATTAATCAAAAAAGATATGTTAGCAAAATAATATGTAACAACCTGTTAATATTGTACTCAATTCCCCATTTATTGGTGCAAGACTCTATATTTCCCTAAGATGAAGGGAGGTATTTTAAAGTAAAATATGTTCTATCACTGTATTTCCCAAAATTGTTGCCTTGCAAAGGATGCTACATGTAAGATAATCACATGGTTCTGTTGAAATAATGAGATTATTTGAGTGTTTACATAGAGACTATTGCTGGCAAGTGAACATAGCATATAAAACTGTGCACAGAATAACATATAAATCTGGTAAACATTTGAAACAAGTAACATAGTAACATACCATGAGTGATTCTGAAGGATGCCACAGCATGTGAATGGTTACATGTAATTTGTCTCAGATGGGCAAACATTTGAAAAAAAAGACCTCTGCCCCATATTTTTTGGTAGACCACACACTCGGTTAATAAGAAGTTAATAATTAATCAACAGTCAATTAATTTTATTTATAATTTTTTCCTATCGTTATTTTAAGAACTTGGCAAGAGATCTCGACCTCATCTCTCAACAATATGGAGTACAGCTCGTGTTGAAATGGCTCCGCCTATGCCATCCGAGTTCACAGCGATTCAAAAAAGTTTTGTTAATCTAAAGAATAGCCTTGTGAAGGGGAAGTTCCTCAACTTGACCATGAAAGAAGCTGCAGCGAACACACTTGTGGGTGTTGAAATATTCTGTTGGTTTATTGTTGGAGAAATGATTGGAAGAAAAAGCATTGTTGGTTACAACGTTTGATGTTCCACTAACTTTGCAAGTGTATAACAGTGTTGTTTAAATAGACTATTATACTATTTACAAGCTTTTCAATTTATTGTGGAAGTATTGTGAGTGCATTATAAAAACGTGAAATTTTGCCTTCTGGTAATGTAGTATGTGCTTAAATCGGTTAATGCAGTGACATGGCCAGTCTAAAGATTTATTTAGTCCTGTCATGAAAAGTTAGTCATTGCTTCAGAAATTTATCGTATTCACAGTCAATATTGGTGTAGAACCCGATTTCCACTTGTTTAATTGTTTATGGTCCTCCAGAAGGTCCCTTCACCGCCTTCAATGGTATCACTCTAACGTGGCCCTTTACAGTAAGTCATTGTGTGCTCTGAGATAAATTTGTCCCTAACATATTGCATATGCCTTGATACAATCACTGAATTTTACTTTGTTTCTGATACTTGTTAGTTTTCACAGGGACAAATCTTTAAAGTAGCACTCGTGTGTCAAGGTATACTCTGGCTCCTGGTACATGACTCTGCCTCGACGCTCTGCTGCATGTTCTCCCTGTGTGAACTGCTCGTAATTTTAACGCTAACATTTGTCGCTGTGATATGAACCTAATTCCCAAACCATATTCCTTCTGTTGTCTGGGTATATACAGGTGTATGGAGTTTGGCAACCCAAGATGGCAACAGCAATAACGTGATTGCCTTTGCCGTATTCGGTTCAGCCAAAGTGTACTACAGAAAATTCTCCTCTTCGAGTTTCCCCTTTCAAACATTGCTGTTGAAAATTAGCGAGCTCACCTGAAATTCATAGAGTGCCATTAAGCTATGTTGGTATTATAACATATGTGGTGATATGTAGATTGCCAAAGATATAGTGCGCGGACAAGTTCGTAGCAGCGCGTAAAAATCTAACAATCGTCCCACGGATTATCGGAGCCAGGGTCGAATCAAAATTCTCCTGATGTTGCTGTTTAATTTCGAGTTATGCCAACTTTTCTGTTGTACTATGTATTTGCTACTGTTATTCCCTGCCAGTGTTACTGTGTTATACCATTGTAGGTGTTTAAATTATTATCGCTGTTGCTGGGGTTGTTCCTGGTCCTACTGTTTTCCCCTGTTTCTGTTATTCCCTCTGTGGTGGTTGTTGGTTGTACGCATAGTTTTTATGTTGGCCTGTTCAGTTGGTTGCTGATTTTATTATTCTTTTTTATTATTCTGTTCTTGTTGCTGTTATTGGTTGCTGTACATATTAGGTATTGTTGTGTTTGGTGCTTTTATCATGCTGCGTTAAGTATCGTTTTTACGATGTTAATTATCTACGGTCTTAGACTTGTCGCACTTTCATAGTTGGCAGCATTGTCTAACTCGCTTCTGGACATGCAACGAAATCGTGAGATTGACTATGTATAATAACGGAGAAAACTATAACCTCGAAGCTAACCAAATTGTGTTCTTTTGATTACGCTGGAGAGTTGGTTACATGTTCCATCAAATTTACGTGAAGTTCATGCTGTGTATTGAGCCCAGCTTGTCATGTATCACAACGCACACTCTGTAGAGATCGCCGGTATAAAGCATGGCCCGATTGTAATTTTTGTAAAAGACCCAAAAAGTTGCTCGCAATGGTTGCTCTATCAGCCTCTATGATATAAACAAAAAGTTGGCTGTTTCATTGTTGCCCAAACAGACATAATTGCTACTAGAATTTAAAAAGTTGCACGTATACTAAATGAAATCATTACCAACGCAGAAGAGTTGTCGAAATAGAAATCCAGTCTTCAATATTTAATCGATTATATCTTTTGTTATACTCTTAATAAAACCGGTCGAAATTTCGTTATTGGAACTACGGCTCTGATATAAACGTGGAACCAAAATAAGGTTTATTGTAAGAGATATTAGGCTGTTTCAACCAAGAAATAGATTATTTGGCAACTAGTCCCAGCCACTCCCGTCATTTCAGATCACCTAATACGTTTTTCATGGTCGCGATTAACAAGAAACTTTTTGCAATTTTTTTTAGAAAAAGTTTACAAATGTCAAGGTATACAATGTTGGATGTAAGAATTGCCGAATGTAAGCACAAATCCACTATGCACAGCTATAAAGCGGTATGTCACCATGCAACTATATGAAATTGTTACGGTCTCTAAGCAAGCTTCGGACAGCAGGAGCTTTCATGGAACTTTTCCCACAGAGTCGTGACATTTGTAAGAACATTCGTAATTAAGGTGTCTTACGATCGTCCAATGAGAGCCGGACTTCGTCGATCATGAAAAATTGCCCCTGTACATTCTACGACGCGATCGCGAAAACTGAATAGGGCATAAATCATATTTCCGACGCCCTTGTAACCCTGTTTGCATGTCCTTTCGTATATTCTGTTTTTCAATACCAATGACTTAATTGCATATAATATCAGCTTATACCATATGAGGCAAATTCTTGAAACGGCCAAATATCCCACTATGTAGTTATTGAATTCCTCATAAGGCATCGTGATTTTTTACATCAGTGGGTTCTGTGTTGTTTAACAGAAAGTTTTTTTTAACTTACTTTGGCGGAGTTTTCAAATGCTGGCATTCAAAAGGAATATTACCTTCTGGAATGTTCAACTACAAATGGTAATTATTATGTAGAATTAGCGAACAAGTTCTTCAACTCATTAAATTTTTGCATGGACGAGTGCACTCCATTGTCATCTTCAAAGCATGCAGTGATACTACAAATCACATGCAGTGATTGAAATGTGTATTTTACCATCTTGTATAGTAAAAACCAACCGTATAATATTTAGTGCCAGCATGCCACAAAACGAAATATTTTATGTATATACACGCGAATGATCATATGTTTGCCCTGTGGTGTTTTGAAGCGCCGATATTTTCGGCAATGATGGCCTGTGAAATATAAATTGATGCATGTTTTCAACAATGGGCTGTCCATTGGGGGTCGAAACTTTGAATACTTCGTGAACATTTTACTAAAGCTTTCTCGACTCCCCGTTGTGTGAAAAAATGCATGAAATTTGACATGTCACCGCGGCAGGCTTCGAGAGCTACAGCCACCGTCTGTTCGAATCGAGGGAGTTTCATCCATCGGTAAACATATAACGGGAGAACAATTTCCTTGGTTACAAAAGATAGGAAGCATGTAAGAATATCGTTGCCCCAAAAGTAAAATTTCGCAGACATCAGCGTTGAGTATATTTGTCGAAAGGCGTTGGTGAAATTTACCTGGCTTGTTAGTGTAAATCGAAGTTTTGAACAAAATGGCATCGAACGTCGGTATTTTACTGGTAAGAACTTATTGCTTGAACTTACATTAATAGTAAAAAATATCGTTTGTTGAATATTGATTTTGAGCATCAATACTGCTAGCCATCCATACTTCGTCTTATGTAACTCGAGTGGATTCCACTTATAATAATATATTTCACACTTCAGTAAAAGGGGGTGCTCAAGTAAACGCTATAGTTCCTTCTTAGTGATCTACCATGTTAAATTTACGCCCCTCGTTTATCGATATATTCGGTTAATTTTTAAGCCATTAGTTTTCTTGGCGTATACTTTATACGTTAGGCCATGGTATCCTCGAGTATTTGACACGCGTCAATTTGTCACAAGGTGCCAAGAGAGACAATCTGAACAAAAGTTTTACAAAACTCAATGTTGCACTCAGCTTTATGTATGTAACCAAAGATGTTGTACGAAGTACAACTTTGAAACAATTATATAGTCATATAGTTTCACTAAGTATTATACCATCGGTCTTTATCAAGAGCGCCTTAGATATACTTTCAAACTAGTTTGATTCTACTTGGTGTCGTGGCAAATTATTACACCGTTAAATTATGTTTGTGTCTGCATCGGGATTAATCAACGATGTATCGTACTAATATTCGTCAAACGTTTGTGCATTCAGCAAATGCGTCGCTGTTATGTACTCGTAATATCTGTATTACTTCAAAGTCCTAATCTTCAGTGTATACCGCGAATTTGAAATTGTTATACAGAAGTCTTGGTAACAATAATTGTTGGGTCTAGCACACATACTTGAGATATATGCCCTTGTGGACTGAACTCGTTTTGTATTTATACGCCGGCTTTTTATAACTGAAGATTATACAAACAGGTACTTTACAGCAGGTGCCACAGTGCATTTTATCGGCTAATTCGGCTATAACCCATCCTTTCAGATACAGTGGTCTTCGGAATCGTATACTATTTACCGTTACATCGTGACGAAATAAGCTCGATCGAATCGTTCACTCCGAACTAACTATTCCCTGTCAATATTGACAAATTACACCGGTATACCGAGCCAGAAATATATTTTCACTTCAAATGTATCTTAATACTTTTGGCTCGTACGATATATGATTGATTTGTTTGGACGCTTTTCGCCTCAGAAATACAAGATGATTGGCCGAACGTAATAACGGTGCTTTAATTTTAATCAAACGAAGCTTACCTAAGGTTTAGTGACATTATAAGTTGGGATTAACTTAGGGTAATTTTGAAGACTTCGGTGATTGTCCGTGGATCATGCATAATATAGTCAATGCCTGTGCTAAATTATTCAAAAACATGGGGGTTGCCTAATTTGAATATCATCGCTTCCAAACATCAACAACAGCGTTGCTCTCTTTTGATATGAGATAGAGCCACGTTTGCCATAAACGTTATCGCTATATCTTATTTCAAAAGGTTCTAATCGATACGAACTCAAGAAAACTGTCAAACAGCACCTCAATACGCGACCGTTGTTCTCGGACAAAGCGTGAAGAGTTGTCCTAGCTCTTTGATTTCCTTTTGAAATTTCATGCCCACGCATGAGAAGCGAATATTTTGAATAAATGCAACAACTTCGAGAAACGTGACCTCGAGTAACTTCATTTCGAAGTTGAAACGAAATTGAGGCGACGGTGTATCTCATTGTAACGATTTCACAGCGAAGTACGGTTTTGTTTCCTTGTTTGCCGATTTACATTTGAAATTATGGTTGTGCTAACAGCGGTACGTATGTATGTATAGCTTAGCTTTGCGTTATTTAATTTCTTCCTCGAGATCCCGATGTGTATTCACATGCAGTGTGGCGGCAATATTGTGCCAGCTGCGATGTCAGTTCACTGACGGCCTAGTGGAAAACGATGAAAATCATCCTTCACTTTCCAGCCTCATTTCCACTTTCCAGGAACTTCCAAGTGTTAAGGCTAAGCCGATAAGGCATGCTGCATATTTACCTTTGTTTTAAAGTTTTTAATTTAAAGCGGTAAAGCAGAGAACAATTGCACGATGTTATGTTTTTATATTAAACCATACAGAATGTGGCCAATACCTGTCCATTTAAAGTAATATTAATTATGAAGGAGAAGAAACCTCAAATATTGTAATTGAACACCAGGATTATACTTTTAGAAACATATTTAGTGAAAGAAAACAACTAATTATGCATATGGCATTCATTTACGATACATATAAAATGCGTACTGTAACATTTTAGAGAATAGTTGTTGGACTGGGATAGCATAAACGGGGGATAAGTTCAAACTGAATGGAAAACAAAATTATCTCTTTATTGGACAAATGAGCTAAAATATTTTGTATGTATCTTATATGTATGTAGCCTAATTCAGTTTAATGGAAGTACATATTAAATGCATAAGACGCAGGTTCACTCATTCACAAGATGTATGAACTAGAGTATTTTTAAATTTTGGCCTATCCACTGTTTAACGCCTTTCGAACAACCGGCCCCAGGACCTTGAAATTTATGCCTGCGTCATTTATGCGGAATAATTTTTGTTTAAGCCCCGTTTTGGATACAAGTATACCCAACGAAATTTTTTTAGTTGTTTAGGCTCTTTTCTATCAACGTATCTAGCCTGTAACATGTAGGTACATTAGAAAAGAAATGTTGGAAAGAAAGCTCCAAACTAAATAAAAATTTGCCAGTAACACTTGTATCCTGATGCGTGGAAACGGGACCTTAGTCGAAATTGTTGTGAACATGTACATGTCAATGGGGTTAATGTATATTACAGAATATTGATACAAGTGTAGAGTCGATAATGACTGTTTGAATAAAAAAAAAGGATAAATTTACATCCGGACTATTTCACATCGGTGAAGATGACTTGTTTACGACCATTATGACTAAATGAGAGCCGACCAGGCACTGATGTACGATGTGGGTAAATGTCTCTAATTTTGCCCTCTGTAATCGATCAATCAAATTTCGAAGATAAGGAGTATGGAATTGATACCAAAAAATAATGCATTACCAATTATCGTCATATTATTACTGCAAGCTCTCGCTAAATTTTATCGATTTTATTGATACAACGAAAACTGTCCCAGATGTCTGAAAACAGTCTAATACGAGTTTAATGACTTAAATGAGGGACTTAGCTATGACCGAAGCAAACGTTTATGTGGATCTTTAACGCCCCTTACCGCTGGAAAAATATAATTAATATGTTTTTGATAAGATGGGTTGATGGAAATTGATAGAAAAGTCTTGACAATTATCCGGATCGATTAACACCGGCGCAGTTAAATTACGTGTGAAAAGTAATTAATAACGTATGATTACCGTGCATCTTAGCGGATGCACTAATATCATCTATATCTAACACTCATCATACAATAAAGTATATAATACAAAATAGATGGATAAGTTATGATGTAGTTGGACATGCATCAAGTTGATGTTTTAGGAAAGATATATGCACTAAGAAACTGGAGACAAAGAAACGATTATCTCTCTAACTTCCTGAAATGCAAATCGTCCGTGGTTAGAAAAACTAATCCAGGTTGAATGTCAATGAGACATAGACATGTATGACTTTTCCCTCTTGAGTGCGTTATTACCCACAGGTTATATTCCCTCCTGTGATGTTATATTCTCTCCTGTGATGGAGAGAATATACCTGAGTGATTCACTGTAACGTTATACCATCTCCGGAATATTCTTTATGTTCCTTAGATAGATAGATAGATAGATAGTATATTAAAACAATTATATTGCAGCTTATAATAGCTGAATTGCATAATTGATGTACAAGTTATAATTATAAAAATATTTAGAATCACAGAAAATATTAAGAGACTATACATAGTTATAAAATACATACAAAGTGAATTAATTACATTATACATAGGCGGTATGAAGGTCCGCTTGAAGCGTTCAGTCCGTATCACGGAACCTTCATCTTCCGTTTTTTTTCAAGGGTGAACATGTGTGGCTTGCCCCAGAGTCCAAGGGTGAATTTGATGTTGCTATTGGTGGTGTGGTCAAGCTTTCAGACTCTGGACAAATTGCGGTTGTTGATGATGAAGGAAATGTAAGTATATTTGTTGGGGTGGGTCATGGGTGTCAAGTGATAGGGGGAGGGCTCACGAAAATGATAATAGTAGTAATTATAGCATATTAATTTGTAAGGAATTGAAAAAAAATACAAGACAGACAACTACTACTACGATAGTTGCTAAGTTACTTCAAGCAAATTTGTTTAAGCGTTTGCTTCTTAATCTTAATCTTAAGTGCTTATGTACTCTGTCTCTTCGAGGTTAATTAGACTGATTTAAGACTGCGCTGGAATGAAACTTTGCGTTACGTTTACGTAAATGCAATCGGAGAAGATCCATATGCTGTAACAGCCTAGGAAAATCCACACGCGTCGAATCGCTGCAGTAATGATCACTTTGAGACAAGAAGGAATGGGAATGAGCGAACTGAATTCGTGCAAGTTCTCTTTATCTCTCTCTACCATTGCCCGAGAACCAGGGCCACAGTGCCAAGACCGTACGCAGGAGTTGTTTTCCCGGGGGGCACGTACTGACGGGGGCTGAAGAACGCAAATTCAACCTGCTAGTATATTAATTTATATTAATCAAGTTTTACAAGGTGGAGTGGCCAGTGAAAGACGAATTTCACCCTTAATGCTCTTCTAGGGGATATTTAAAAAAACGTTTTTTTCTCTTTAGGAACATTGGTTGCACACAAGGGATGCTGGTACACTCAAGCGAATGCATCCATCCAGTGTGCAAGGAGTGGAAGACATGGTACCGTATGGTTTCCTATATTTTAACCTATGCTGCTCTTTAGTCATTATAGTCGTTTTTCCTTCCCGTCTTCTTCTTATCTTTGCGTTGCGCTACTGGAATTTCTTAAAACTATCAGAGGTGTTCGACACAATAAAACAGTGCATCTACCCCTATTAGAACGAGTAGATTTGCATCTCCATTTGATTGACGTCTTTTTTCGCTTAATTTATGATTGTTTTAATTTTTTTTCATCTTTTAGATTCAATTGGGTGATTTACACGAAGCTGGGATGTTACATAATCTCTTCATCAGATATTATAATCATAATATATATGTAAGTAAAACAATCAAAACTTTACCAATAACAATAGCAACAGATAATGACATTCATGCATAATTTAGCAGAATAATTAATTTTGGACATTCCTGTATGGAGGGTTAAATTTTGACGATGACATTCTAATCGGCAGTCATTGGCGAAATACTATGTGGGAGTATTGTGATTTTGTAACGCGTAGGATGACCAACTGACGCCCTTCCAGACGTACTGGAGATAATAAAAATATATTTATTTTTTCAGACATACACTGGGTCCATATTAATTGCGGTCAACCCATACCAACTTTATCCAATTTACGACGCGCAACATGTACAGAAATACAAAAATGAAAAGATCGGTGAACTTCCGCCGCATATATTCGCCATTGCAGACAACGCTTATCACATCATGACAAGAGAGAAACGAGACCAATGCATTCTCGTAAGGTAAGAGGCACGGTCCAAAGCCTAGCTTTTTGTTGTTAGTTCATCAGTCATTCTCCAAATAGAGACTTCCCGAATTTGTTCTCGGGCAATGAAAACCATCCCATACACAATAGATTTTATTGCCCGCCTCGTTTCCAAGCTATTGTTTTGGGTGCACTCAAGCAAATTCGGGAAGTGTCAATTGTATTACACATTCTAATGGCGCGAACGACTAATCACGATCATTCCAGAGCCTTTGTTTCCTCACCAGAGGAAATCGCAGTCGCGGAGAACGTGATTTTTTCCGTGTCCACCAATAGCCCCTCAACCTGTTTCCTCGACCTAATTCAGAAGACATTTTTCCACAACGTGGTTTCCAAGTGCTTTGGACAGTTTGGCAAAATATCCCCGAGAACGCTTAATTTGTAGGCCTTTTAGAATGCATTTTGTTAGAAATAAGTAGAAAGGAAAGTGCGTTTTTGTAAAGCTTATTTATATCATCATAATTTGGTTATCGCAAAATGCATTTGTGAGTTTCGGCGTCGGCTCCAGTTTCGCAGTTCACCAGATGTGATCTAATCTTGCAACGATTCTGCGTCTCGAGAATCCTAATCGCCGAGCGCGTATGGATGATTCTTTTAGTTAGTTCTCGCTAATTCAATTTACGGTATAGACCAAATATACTATTGCGATTTTTCCACTCTCGAGGAGCCGGTCTGTCGTTCATGCTATTTCAAAGTTCAAAAGCCAATAGGTCATCCACATCATTACGTAACATTTGCTGAAAATCGTTTTTCATTGGCATGCTAAGCCCTTTATTTTCATCGCAACGCATAATGTTTGGATTTGAAGTGGCTTTTTTAAGTTGGAGTTTTACAATTCCCATTTCAGTGGCGAGAGCGGTGCTGGTAAAACGGAGTCTACAAAATTGATCCTTCAATTTCTCGCTGCCATAAGTGGTCAACATTCGTGGATTGAACAACAAATTCTTGAAGCAAATCCAATTATGGAAGGTGGGAAATTCTTTTTAAATTTTGCTGCCTAGAGTACTCTAGCCACATGTTTCTAAGAACCTGAATAATAATTTCCCTTTTTTAGCATTTGGAAATGCAAAAACCGTCAGGAACGACAATTCAAGTCGATTTGGAAAATACATCGACGTGCATTTCAACAAAAGCGGAGTGATTGAGGGCGCAAAAATTGATCAATATTTGTTGGAGAAGTCCAGAATCGTTTACCAGGTACGAACTTTTGTATTCAAAAAGGAATATTTTATTTCTTTTTTACTAATTAATTAAGGTGTGATGGTGACAATATGTTAGTTGTTTCCTAATTTTATCAAAAAATCTGTTCAGCAATTTCTACAAAAAGACTGTAGCTATACTGTAGGCATAGCTGTACTATAGGCAGCCCCCAATTGACTATAACGAAAAAGATGGAAGCATGTATATTTTACCACAATGCATTGCAATCAAGCATAAATAACTAACAAAAGATGAGAAGAAAATCACCTAATGATATAAAACACAACGAAGAAAATAACCTTCTTTCTTATATCTGCCCTTCAAAAAACTTCCGTTCGCTTTTTAAACGATTTCTGACCGCAGCGCATTCTGGTAAAATGTACATCCGCGATCTTTTTCGTTATCGTCAATTAAGTTTCTAGTTCAACTTCGTTCCCAGGATTTTCATATAGTTATGGACCACCTTTTAGTTTCTTTAATAGTTTTTGCAACAATTTGTCTTCATGGTTTGTAAGATGATACCACACTTACCTGGACTGTATGCTTAATGGACCTGCTGCTTAGTTTGATCATTCTATTAAAAGTTCGAAAATGACAGAAAGATTACTGACACTATTTTTAATTAGCTTATTGTTCAGACAAATCAATTTTTCGTCACCTTATCTTTTAATTGAGCTCCTATTCCTCCCTTTTTGTAGATGGACAACGAGAGAAACTATCACATATTTTATCGAATGTTGGCTGGTATGAGAGATGATGAAAAGAAGTCATTGAAGCTAACACGTGCTGAAGACTACCACTACCTCACCCAGGGCGGGAGTACAACATGCCAAGGGATGGACGACGCCGAGGAATTCGCCATCATACGGGGTGCCATGAAGGTTTGTGACTTTCAAAGTTCCAGGTGATCTTGCGCTCACATTTTAGCCATTCAGCGCTCAGGAAGTTTGTTGAGAAAGAACCATTTAATCCCCATGCAGCTATACCTTTTCTCCAACATCACACTCGGAAGACTTCTGAAGTTTTTGTAAGGCGATAAAATGGAGCGAAACAGCAATAACCGCTGTATCATTTTTTAGGTGCTGCTTTTCACAGAAGACCACTGCTGGCAAATTTTCAAACTTCTAGCGGCTATTCTTCACATAGGAAATCTGGAATTGATACGTAAGTCTGATGATGATTATATGTACTTCGGTACATTAGGCTATAATTTAACAATTCGTACATTTCGTAACGAAACTGTGCAGTTTCTATATGATTTTATGGTTTATTGCCCTTAACCGAAGATGCATGTATATAAATTTTTATAAAGTTACGCGAATGCAAGATAAGTGTATGTCGATATGATAATTTTTCAGCTGCAATGGCTTCCAATCTGGATACAACGATGATTGAAGATCGCAATCTTCTGGCTACGATTGGACATTTACTGGAGGTTAGTTTTCCCGACTGCAAGAAGTTGTCTCTCGCCCGCAGGAGCAATAGGGGCAAAAGATGCTCTCCTAATTTCAATAATGATTGCATTGCAATTTGTATAATCACAGGTAGCCGGGTCCGTTAATGTTGTTTTAACTTATTATAATCAAAAATCTATATTGCAAAACCATATATGGAGTATCCCTTTCCTGTATTCAACTGCTGACATAGTATCGCAGGAACCGATTGCTTTTAACGCTGTAGTATTATGTAGTAGTATTTTATGACATGGGCACTTTAACACGTGTATACTCAGGGACTGCGAAGCGTTTTTCGTATTGCTGGGGCTCGGAACCGCGCGCCTGCTAGGATCGAGAGTCTCTGAAATGGCTACAAATGCCTCTCAATTTAAGGATTATTGGGAAATAGTAGATAAAGTTTCCAACATGTTTGGCCGCACTCATATACAAACATTAAATAATACAAACAGCCAAAGTTTGACTATGGCGCTGTAGTTGTTTGCTTCTCGCATGTCTTAAGCGGAGAGATTAAATTATGAGAGGAACCACGCTGTTTTATTGGTCAATTGGTCAAATGCTTGTCCTATGTAAACTTTCCAGCATGTTTGGCGCTTTATGTAGACAAGCCTTACATCCGTTGACTTTTTAGGTTCCCGTTGAAAGGCTGGTCCAGGCGCTGACAACAAGATCGACCCTGGCACGTGGCGAGCTCATTTACTCCCCGATCAGTGTTGAGCAAGCTGTTAATGTTCGAGATGCCCTTGTAAAGGGAATCTACGGGAGAGTTTTTATTTCAATTGTCGAAAAGATCAACACAGCCATTTATAATCCTTCCGTAAGTGACCTGTACTTACGAATCGATTCTTTCACTTTATAATGGAGACAGCAGCCTCACCGGATACCCCTTTAAGTTTCGCCCATGCAAATTAAATATAGGTATACATCATTTCAGTCAATTTCTAAACTACAGCTGTTTGCTTTTTTAGTCAAGTTCTGTTGGCAGATCGTCAATTGGAGTATTGGATATTTTCGGCTTCGAGAATTTTGGTAAAAACAGGCAAGTGCATACATGATCTTACAACTGAGCCTGCGACCATTGATGATCACTAATACGATTTTCATAATGGTAACATTTTCATAGGATTTAAAATAATAACTTTAGCGTGACAAAATACACTGTGAGAGTAAAACTCGACCAAGAATAGTGTTTCAGTTTTCAGTTCAAATATCTCAATGTCGCAGTAAAAGTACAATATATTTGGTGAATGTCGGACTAAAATATTCTTAGCTAGGGACTCCCGCCTCTTAAAACCCGCCTCCCAAGTTGCTTGTGTGTTAAGTTGAGTAAAATATTTTGCGTCTATTATAGCTTCGAACAGCTGTGCATCAATTACGCAAACGAAAACTTGCAGCAATTCTTTGTGAGACACATCTTTAAACTTGAACAGGTATGGCAGTATTAATTTACGTGGCTACAAGTGATTAGATAGAAGATAGGCTTCCGACCGTGCAAATTTCTGTTTTTTTTCTCTTACAGAATCATTACGATCAAGAGGGAATCAAGTGGCAGCATATTACCTTTGTCGATAATCAGGACATTTTGGACATGCTGGGCCAAAAACCGATGAACATCATTTCACTGATAGACGAAGAAAGTCGTTTTCCCAAGGTAGGAAACCGCTTTGTAGAGAATGTTAGAAAAACGTTGCAAGCCACAAAACAAAATCTTATTCTCTTATAAATTAAACTCAGGCTTCGCCTTCGTTGACCATTCTTATAGACAACTCGGACTCGTTGTCTAATTGTTAAATGGTCAATAATAAAAACAATGTCGAACAAACGATCTATAAGCAGTAGTTATACTGAATTTTCATAAGAAGATGTATCAAGATAATATGTTCATTTATTCCATTCTGTCCAGCACATTACGTTTCTCATGCGCATGCTCCTTCGTTAGGGAACGGACAAGACTATGCTGGACAAACTGGTACGTAACCATGGTAACACCAGGAACGGACATTTCGTTGCACCCGTTCGACAGACAGATACAAGATTTGGTATACATCACTTTGCAGGTTCAGTTTTATACGAGAGCACAGGTAACTATATCTGCATTTAGATCATTCAAAAAGAATACACAGTATATGTATAACTGTATAATATATCTTCATTGTGACAGTTGGTACCCAACGCATTATATTACTGTTAAAATTTCTGCATATTTTTTATTATTTATGGCATTTTCTCTTATTTCTTTTGGACGCAAATATCTAATGGGATTTTAGGCCGCAGGTTTAAAAATAATGGTTAATGAATTCATATAGATCGAGATTTATAGTATTTCTATATTACGTTTCTTTATTTTCTAGGTTTTCTCGACAAAAACCGCGACACGTTCAGCGCGGACTTGATAAATTTGATCTCCAACAGCAAGTGTGAATTTTTGTACAATCTCTTCTCTCGGGAAAAATCCATGGTGAGTGCACGTATGTCCATCTCAATGTGCTTCAAATTTGATTCAACAAAGGGCAACCATGCACAACTTGTCTTAAATTAGCTTGAGAAGAACTATCAACTGGTAGATGACCTTAACGATTTTAAAATGTTGGAGACTGCATACTCGGAATTTGGTACATAAGTTGTTCGCTGAGATGTCTAGTATAGCCTGGTGTGTCTGTTTTTCGTTTGTCGTAAACTCGGAGACTAATGCTCCCGGTAGTCTCAAATTTGTACAATGCTACTTCAATCTTCTTATTCTTCTACCTCCTTTAAACCAACTATCTGCGAAAGAATAAACGTAAACATGCACTAGATATTAATTCTTAATAAGTTTTGTTCCAATTTCGTATCTAAACAGGGCGACGAAACAAGAAAGAGATCCCCATCACTAGGCGCGCAGTTCAAGAAATCATTGGATGCCCTAATGAAAACACTTCAAGCATGTCATCCATTTTTTGTGCGGTGCATCAAACCGAACGAGTTGAAGAAACCATTGGTAAGCTATCATCATCACACTGAAAATTCTGAAGCTTTCACATGGTGCTACCTTCCTCATGACATGCATCAGTAAATATTTATTTTCATGAAAACAACCACTGTCACGTATCGCGCGCTTCAAAAGTAAACGTGATAAGGTTTGCATGGTCGTTTCGATTTCTGCAAGGGACCAAAATATTTTAGGGATATATCTTTTCATTATGAATACCTGTAACCTATAACCCCCGTATGAGTCACTTTAACCTAACCTGTATGCTAACTCCCATTTAAGTCGCCTTAATAATTCAGTCGGTAGATTTGGTGTAGAAAAATCTGCAGTGAATAAAAATTCTGTATCAACTCATCGGAGATACACAGCAACGATTTAAGAAGACTTGCGATGCAGAGAAGTCCCACACGGGGACGTGCTCAAACTAAAATGTACATGTATAGGACTTCTGCTTGACATTTAATTTTACGCACCACTTTTTTTAATGACAGTTATATAAGAACTGTGTAAATTGATCCGTTTTATAAATATGTATATTTTATTTAGATGTTCGACAGAGAATTGTGTTGCCGTCAACTGCGCTATTCTGGAATGATGGAAACCATCAGGTATTTTGAAATTTAGAACTGAAAAATTGTAAAATCTCCTTTTAAATGCATAGTTCACGTATTTTTGTGTTGCTGCGTATCTGTTTTACTACTACTTGGTGTGAATTACCGAGGCTGAGGTTTGTAATAACTTGTGGTTAATTTGTTTCTTCTCAGAATCCGTCGATTAGGTTACCCAATCCGCCACGAATTTGCGGAGTTTGTTGATCGGTATTATTTGCTGGTGAAAGGAATCAGAGCGAAGGAACCAAATCCCAAAGAAGCGACAAACGTGATTGCTAATCTGATATTGCCGAAAGAAGACTGGCAACTTGGAAAAACAAAAATATTCCTCAAGGTAGCGGCAGCTTGTGTTTAGTTCAACTTTAACTACTTGTTCGTATGATCATTGACAGAGGAATTGTAAAAATGAAATGATATGTTCCACATCTGTAATAAAATCATGAAATCACATGATTCATTTTGCCTGTCTTTGGACAAATTAATAGAACTTTGAATTACACATACGACGTATTCAGAAACATATGTCAAATTCAACAATAACAATTTCTAAATCGTTTGACCGGGAATGCTCACATACATGCCACACAAAGCATTCAATTCTGTATTTGGTTTGTAAAATGTCATTCTTATTAACAGGACGCTCATGATATCAAACTGGAAACGTACCGCGATACCGTCATGGCGAAACAAGTGATTATCATCCAGAAAGTCTTCCGTGGCTATTTCTACAGAAAGCGCTTCTTACAAATGAAATTCGCCTGCATTACATTGCAAAGAGCTTGGCGGGCCCGTCGGGAAAGAATACGCTTCCTAAGGGTATGGTTGTTTGTTTTCTGGCATTCGTGATGCGCAATGATAACACTATTTAAATCTTTTTTTGGTTGTGTCATTCAGAGAATATCCTTTTGCATAATTAAACCGCTTTAATGTTTCCCTGTACAAATTGTGCAGTATGTCTGAGAAAAAGTTTGCGCACGTCCAACCCGCGGGTATTTTGCGTCCAACTTGCCTCCAAGTTGCGTCGCTGCACGCGTGGCTCTGACTGCGTGCACGTTTCGTCCACTCCGCATCCACTCTGGGCACAGATTTCGAACAACTAGTCCCAGAGTAACAGTGGACAACGATGTAAAACGATGTGCGTGTCGACACAACTTAATTGGTTCCGACTTGATTGCGTGGATCTACTGTAACTGAAGTTTATTTTGGTTTTTTGGTAAAATTAGGCTATATCAGAATGGAGGTTAAACTGAGGGCAGCATAAAGAAAATCAGTGATATCAACAGTGTTTATGCGTGTTTTTTTCCAGCTCCGCCGCGGTATAGCCCGACTACAAGCAGCGTACAAAGCCCAACGTTTGGCACTTCAGTTCAACCTCCTCAGAGAAAGACTTGTCATGTTGCAAGGTTACTGTCGTGGTTATGTTACCAGAGTGAAGTTGCAACAGCGTCGTAAGGCTGTTGTGACGATTCAGGCTGGCTGGCGACGCGTTCTTGCAAGGAAGAAAGTACAGATGCTCCGTAGAGAGGTTTGTAAATCTTTAATTTTGAACGTATGCACGTTTCTCAAGACATACTTACCATACCTTCTCTAACCAAGCAAAAACGTTATAAACGATTTTGTGCTTCCATCTAGCACCCAAATCTTGCACGCATTTTATGATCTTTTATGCAAATTTTTGCTCTAAGCAACGTGAAATTTGATTATGTGAAGTATGCGTTGTAATTCTTCCGTAATATATAGAATCCAATATGGTAATACCTCTGTGCGACAACAGCACGGTTGACCTAAAAGTCTTCATATTTTTGCCCTTAGAGAAAACGAAGATTGGAAGCGGAAAGACTGGCCATTGAGGAAGAAATGCGTTTGGCCGCTCAAATGGGCCGCGGGGCAGCAAAACGAGAAGCAGAAAGACGCTTGCAGGTAGGAATCGACTTTTAGCGCTATAATTATACGGTACGTTTTTAACAGGAAAGCTGTTACGCACATGGACGCTGCAACAGGGGTCAGCAGGGGCAAATCCCCCTTGCTTTTACCAGCAGGGGTAAGCGGGGGGGGATGCCCTTTAAATTGAAGGACTGCATTCTGTATACATTTTAAGTAAAATGCAACAAACGAGTTTCAAAAACAGCACAATCGTTTGGCAAAAAACTCCCAGGCACCGAAATAATCTTGGAAAGAGAAAACGCGATGAAACAAAGCTGTTTCGGAGACATTTTCTGCGCCGCTACAGAAGTTTCCTTTCGCAAAAATCTGCCCCCTTTTACCCTCGCATTGTTTTGGCGTCCCTGACTATGCCATTCATCTTGATCGGCAACGTGCATGGTATTAACTACTCCGCTGGAACGCTATAGATATATGATTGGATAAACAAAGATGGCGACAATTGACGTATAAAAACTTGACACAAAAATACTATTACTTATATATGAAAAATCAAAATATTATTGCCCAAATTATAAATACATGAAACATTGCATGGAGATTGGAGACTTTCTGTGTGCACATTCACGTGGAAAAGTATATCTGCATTGTATTTGAATGTCAGGAACGACTACATGTTATTGAACAAAGCGAAAGCGATATGAACGTGCAAAGAGCCATTGAGGCGAAACGAAAGACAGAACAGGTCATGATACTAGAAGAATCAGCAAAACGACGAAGGGAGCAAGATGTGAATGATTCGACAATGGTATGTTTTACGTCTAAAATAATATTAATATTGTACTGGTACTTCATGGGAATGTCGTTGCATGTGAATTTTCCTTGCGGTAAGTTGCTGTGTAAATTTTGGCCATTTATAATATTCCCTTACTGACTTCAAAAATTCTATATTTTACAACAGATCGACGAAATGTTTGGTTATTTGGACGAGAATGATCCAAAAAGACGCGCGCCTCCGTCACATTTCCAGGTAACTTGTCAGTTGTCAACTTCGTCTATAAAGTTTTCAGGAAAATTTTTCTATGGATAGATCTATATTTGTGTTCATGTATTTGTACTGCAGTATATGTATGGAAGTCGAATTAAAATTTGTTACTTCCTGTTAAAGGACAAAGGAGTTTCATGGATATGGATATGGATATTCAGTTCAAAATTGAGACGAAATATACTCCTTCTATATAGACCAGCACTATTCCCGGAGGCTTTATAATTTTTTTGTATATATCAACGTAATAAACGGGGTTTTTTCATAGGACCTAGAGATCAATCAAGAGCCATCGATTGCCCCAGACTTTGTCAAAATGACAACTGCTGGCGAACGAGAGGTATGCATTAATATATACCACATCAATTATTTTCGCCTATACGACATAAGCTTGGTTTGGTTTTCTTGCAATTCAATTGATCGTGGTACCGAAGTAATAGATTTGATCCTACCTATAAATAAATCAGTACCTATACATGCATCTAACCGCGAAACGTATAGTTAGATAAACTGGCTAGCAATTTTTTGGTGGCTAACAATATAACCCAATTCTGTGATATAACTCTTGTAATATCATTGCTATGGTGTTTCAAAGTATTCGTTTATTGTTAAAAAAATAAATTCCGTATAATTTTTTCCAACCCTCATTCGTTTATACGGCATTCATAACGAGGAAGGATTTCTAGTGCACATTATGCTTATATTTTCGTCGCTGATGACAAATTTGTTGCTCATTGTCATTTAGGATGAAGATCTGTCCCAATATGTCTTCTCCAAGTTCGCTGCAACGTATTTTCAGTCTGCAACACATACCCACATCCGGCAAAACCTTCGTCAACCTTTGTTGCCTTTGACAAGCGAAGCTGATACGATGGTAAGCAATAACCCTTAGTTAATACTGAAAATTATATTCAAGTATTTTTATCAACGGTTTGCCTTGTTTTTTAAAGGCGTTAATATATCGTTTAGTAGTTGAGTAAAGCACTTCTATAAAGAAAAAAATGATCGGTTCTGGGAACAGCACCATTGAAATATCACTCTTTTTTACTGATATTTTCAGGCCGCCCTTGCTGTCTGGATCACCATTCTTCGTTTCATGAGCGATATGCCTGAACCTAAACAAAGCAGATACATGCAGGTCAGTATTTGCCGGGAAAGTAAAAGAAATTAGACATGGATCTTTTCCGGTTTTAAAATTATAGAACAAAATAAGTCGTAAAAACGTTCTGCTGTTGATCTAAACGAACCAACGGTTTAAACATTTTTTTATGTTTAGGAACCATCTGGCCCTGTCATGGCCAGAATTTACGATACATTCGGAAGAAAATTCGGAAGTCAGAGAGACGCTCCACCACCAATTTTAGATTTTGATGTAAGATCGTCTTTGAAGCAATAACATTCACCCTGAATATAAAAAAGCTAACAGTTATGTTTTGATCTAGGAAGAAAATTACCCAAAACGTGGAACTCTGCGGAAGAAGTTAGTTTCCCTGACCTTGAAGAGGAAGTCTAAGATTACAAAGGTATGCATGCACGTTCTATACAACACGAGAGAGGTGAACTTTCTATAACCAGGAGAAAACAATTTTTTTAAAATTTGTAATGAAGATTTTGATCCCTAAAGTCATCCTTCCGTCATCGGTGGTTCAATTTTTTAACTATACTATTTTTTTCAAATAAACACAGGATGTTACGACAATGCTTAGAGAGGGCAGCGATAGAGGTTATCTTCCTGAGTCATATGGTCCACTATCAGCCCACGATAAACCTACCACTAACTTGGAAAAGCTACACTTCATTATTGGTCATGGAATATTGAGACAAGAACTGAGGTAAGATCTTATAAACTTTACAGGCTCAAGAGATAATAATTCATTATTCTTGTTAAATTGCTCAGTCTGATGTTTTTGTAATATCCTGATAGTGATGATAGTCTCGATGGTTAGACATCCCTTTCTATTCTTAGATTTGTTAAGCTCCTTGAGCCACCTTAGAGTTCTCTTAATTTTTATTCACCCTTAACTCATCTAGTTGCCTAAACCGCCCTAAATCCACCTACGTCATCCAAAGAACGTTTTAAATTAATTTGAGAGCTATAAGTCACAAGTCATTTAGTGAAAAAACAACTCAGTTGAATTCATTTATACCTTTCTACCCAGGGACGAAATTTACTGCCAGATCTGCAAGCAACTTACTGATAATCCAAACAAGATAAGCCATGCCCGTGGCTGGATATTGTTGTCTTTATGTGTGGGATGCTTCTGTCCATCGGAGAAGGTTAGTTAACAGAGGCTAATTCATCACCTCAAATTTCATAGAAATTTGCGAATGAGTGTGGAGAACTCGATTTTCTTCCAAGGCAAACCAATCATTACATTTATGGTTATTTTACAGCTATTCAAATCAGCACTTGTGCATACATCGAATGCCTATATTATCGATTTCTCGTTTTTGAAACTTTCATGATGTATTGTTTAGCTGTACAATTACCTGAGGAATTTCATCCGAGAAGGTCCACCTGGTTATGCGCCATATTGCGAAGAACGTCTTCTACGAACGAAACAAAATGGAAGCAGACATCAACCGCCTAGTTGGCTTGAATTACGAGTATGTTTTTATTTCCATAAAAATTGTCTTAAAAATGTAAAAAGCGACATCCTAATGCAATCAAACTAAAGAAAATGACGATAGATTGCAAACAAATCCAGGGATAGATTGCAAAAAAAATCTAGGTAACCTTAAGTCTTAGTAAGAGGCAGAATAGGACAACCAGTATCGGGTATTTTGAATTTAACGACGATTTAATTACGAAAAATTTGATAAAGAGTTTTATAACTATTACTGGATCATGAATCCCACGGCGTCTCTGATGACAATTGAATTCATTTTAGGCAACGAAATCTAAGAAACCTTTGATCTTGCCGATCACTTTTATGGATGGAAACACAAAGACACTTTACGCAGACTCAGCAACGACTGCGAAAGAACTGTGTGCTCAACTGGCTGAGAAGGTCGGCATCACATCAACATTTGGATTTTCCATCTATATTGCCCTTTATGATAAGGTGAGTGCAAATAGCTTAGTAACCTTACCTGCATGGTTTGATTTGGCTTTAACCTGACAGTGGCTCACGTTGTCGAAATGTCATGCAGTCCCAGACTATCTAGGCTTCATTACACACATACTTCCATATTCAAACTATTTCCAATAACTGAAAATTGTTATCAATCAGCCCTCGAGAAACAGATCCTCTTACCTGTTTTTCTGCCTTCTCAGACACCTTGATTGGATACACAAATTTGTTTAGCGAATCAGAATGCATATAAAAATGTAAACAAACTTGTTGATTGGTCAAAAAACCAAATTCATCTTCGTTGATCCAGTCGAATTCAATTCCCGATTCCCTCTGAATATCGTATCGTTCTTTTATCATAAAATTAATGCCTTAACGATTTCTTCTCTTAGCGCACTTGCGAGCCTTATTTTAGCTTTTTACCTTTGCGGGGTCAATTAAACTTGATGTAACATCATCGCGTTTGTCGTCCTTACAAAACAGTCTTATCCATTCGTTGATTCTATGAAACGTTATACATGGTTCAGTATTTTCTGTTAATGCTATTCTACAGGTATCAAGCTTAGGAAGCAGCAACGACCATGTCATGGACGCCATTTCCCAGTGTGAACAATACGCGAAGGAATTGGGTCAACATGAAAGGGACGCGCCTTGGAGGCTGTTCTACCGCAAGGAAATATTCTCGCCCTGGCATGATCCACGTGATGACAAGATCTCAACGAGTCTAATTTATCAGCAAATTGTCAGAGGCTCAAAGTTTGGAGAATATCGTTATTCAAGTGTAAGTAGATGTTTTTTTGCCCGTGGTTAAGACGCGAAGATTGGATCTACCCTCACATGAATCTATTTAGGGACACCGGAATGATGCAAAAGAAAGGGTGGTGGAATAACTAGGAATCAGGGGGTGGGAGGGAGGATATGTGATTTTATCGTACTATGAATTCGGTTTCAAAATAAAGCCATATATTCAAGTGAATCTAATTAAACGCCTGTATCAAACGGCTCATTCACTCTCGTTGAATGTGGCAAATTTTACAGCCAGCAGTTTATTTGAAACTTTCCCGCAGATATTTTTTGCTGATTTTTGTCTTCTCTTTCAGGAAGAAGAGCTTGCAGATGTAGCTGCTCTGCAATACTATGTTGAATATGGTCACGATATGTCCAGGGATCGTCTTATGGAACTGCTCGGGTCTTACATTCCAGATGTATACTTAGAGACTGCGAAAGGACCGGATAAATGGGCTCGCCTCATCGAGGGCGCTTTCAAACGAGTACGTTGCTATCATGACATCTGTTTAGCATATATTAAAACATAACCTTTGGTGGATGAAATGCAGAAAACGTGAAATGATGGCTAACTGGATTCCTTTTTTCTAGAATAAATTCGTCAAAGAAAATGCAGATCCCATGCACATAAAAAACCATATTGTTGAAGCAGCCAGGCTTCGCTGGCCGTTGTTGTTCTCAAGATTCTACGAAGCATATCAGTTTGCTGGACCGTCTCTGGGACGGCAGGATGTAATCATTGCAGTTAACTGGACTGGTGTGTACGTTGTGGACGACCGTGAGCACGTGTTACTCGAGTTACAGTTTCCTGAAATTACTGGCGTCTCCAGCAGCAAGTAAGGTGTTTCATCAATAAAAAAAATAAAATTTCGTGCATTGAAGTTAGCAACCCTTCTGGTTCATGTAACATTGCGACGGTTTGTGAAGGTTTTGTCATTGATTGTAGGTAATCGTGATTCACAATCGATTTACAATCAAAAGCTGCAGTGTTTAACATGGTAGTTTTCATTGGAGACAACTGGATGATATTTTTGAACCAACGATTTTGCTACTTGCGTGTAATATTTCACCAATAAAATAGTGATTGTTTTTATTTGATGTGAGCACAAATATATGAGTATATTGCCTACTCTACCCGCTCAATTATCGGGTCTAATTTAGATGAATCAAATTATTTCTTTTTTCCATCCCAGATATAGTAAGGTTATTCCAGGTTGAACACATTTTCTCGAACCATCGTCGTGTTTATACATAATCTTCTAGTACCTTTTGATCCAACTATAGCAAGTTGGGTCTCAATATTGTTTTTCAATTTTATACAGCTCTATTGACAAAAGCGGCAGTCTGAGTTTCACGATATCCACACTCCGAGGTGACGACTTCACTTTTACTTCCCCAACATCTGAAGATATCAAAGAGTTGATCACTTTCTTCCTTGACGGATTACGGGCAAGATCAAAATATGTCGTCGCACTTATGGACTACGACAGCCCAGGTAAAGATTACCTTAACGATCATCACAGCCCGTAAAACATTTCAAACAGGTCACTGACTGCTGTTTTCAGTCAATTCACCTCAAAAGATAATAGAGATTCTGAAATTGAAAAGTGGGAAGAACTTGTTGTGATAGTCACAACGTTTGTCATAGCCAAACACAATAAATTATAAAGTGATTGAATGAAGAAACGTATAGCGCATTAAATTCTGGAATTCTTTATTGGTCTTATTTTTACATGAAATCGTTTCGAAACTGAGGAAGAAGTTCCTTTAAATCCTTAACAATTATCAGTTAATAGCCTTTAGAGAAAAATTCCTAAATCAAGTACGATCACTTTATAGGAACATGAAATATGCTCCGAAAAACAATTTCTTGTAAACGTTAGATATGAGTTATATTAAACAACCAACATAAAGTCGAAATATCACCAAAGATTGTTGTCTTGTTTTATATATACCATATCTTCACTTGATGATGTATTCGGAGAATGTTTCTTTCAGTTGCCTGCTGCATGGCAAAGATTTTTATAGGACTTATATCGTGAAGCTGAGTTGGCCACAGTTTTAATAGCCTCTTGTAGGGCTAACCTGATTTGCCCTGTTGATCCTGTTATTTTAATATTTTGTCGATAGGAGAGAACACAAGTTTCCTGTCGTTCAAGAAAAATGATCTGATTATTTTGCAAGAAAGCGAAAATGGCGAATCAATCACAAACTCTGGATGGTGTAACGGATTATGCGAGAGAACTGGTTTATCCGGCGACCTGCCTGCAGAATGCGTGTACGTTTTGCCAATCACGAGCAAGCCAACTATAGATATTTTGGTAAGAAAAGCAATGTATGGAATATCATAATGTTTTCACAACCTCGTACAAAGGGACTTTCGTAGGTGTCACATTAATAGTAAATGCCTTAGGCAAATGATGTAAACATGAAACCTTACAAACTAAAGGATGCTACTGTCGGCTACAATATCTTTGTCAAATAAATTCTTCCATATGATTTTCTAATTTTTTACCCAAATATAATTGCAGGCACAGTTCGAAAGGCAATCGAAAGAAGGGGCTGAGAAGATCATCGCCTCTGCACATTCCGCATTACACCTTGATGACCTTGAAATACCCGAAAGACCCCACACATTGGAGGAATATTCCAGGGATCACTTTGTGCCACCAGCTGCAAGAACCATCGGAAGAAGTGGTTTAAGAAAAGACAGAAACACAATATGGGCATTTCAGAAGGTAAATCATTTATATACACTTTGTCGCCCTTCATTCAATTTTTTTTTCAGTATCATTAAGAAGGTCATTGCAGTCCGCGGTGTCTTCTGACTTTTTGATTCAATTCCTGGTTATCTTAAGCAAGCACGACTCAACAAAAACATCTAATAACATATGGAAGCAAAGGAATTTTATTTTTACTGCTGTAAAGCAAACAGTTGTACAGAATATAACTGAATTGTTGCTACATGCTAGAATTTACAGTAGAATTATCTTTGAAAAGGCGATGATGCAAAAAAGTGTTTCAACTGCATTCTTTATTCATTTATAGGAACCAATCAAGCAGCCATTGCTTCAAAGACTTATAGGAAAAGAAGATTTATCCTATAAAGCAACACAGACATTCTTAGATATCCTTTACCTTTTGAGATTTACATTTCACGCTTATATTCCACTTTAAACGAAACAATAGGGGCAGATAGCGAATCTTCTAAGTCAATTTCATGATGTTTCCGACAAAAAATCAACCTATTTTTTAATGTTAATTCATAAGAGCAACATATACGCGAGTTGTACATTATTTTTACTTTAACATTTGTCACGTATTCTTAAATACATGGGTGACTACCCATCCAAGAGGTCAAGAAGTTCAACCGAGCTGTCTGATGAAATTTTCGAACCTCCATTGAATTCTGTAAGTGCACTGCAGGCGCTTCGGAAAACCGCATAAATTACAAGGCCATTTCGAAGACTTTTTTGTACTTGTTAGACTGAATATAATAATTCCATTGCAGGAAAGAGCCGTTAGTACATAGTATTTATGTTGATCTAACTTTTTCAATGAATATTTATTGAATACATCGCTGTATGTATTTGACGCATATAGAGTTTCGAATTCACGTTTTTTCTTATAGGAAGCTATGAGGGATGAGGTGTACTGTCAAATAATCAAGCAGTTGACTGGAAATAAAATTAAGTAAGTCCGTTGTGCTCCTTTGCATTTCTTGTTTACAAGGGCAACATTGACGAAGCGCTGCCTTGCATCTTCATCAGTGCAAATAACTTCTAAACAATTCACGCTTCACAAGCCAAACATTTTAAGAATAATAGGGATGTACTCAACATCAAGATACGATAAATTTTCCACGCTCAATAGTTGATCGTTACATTTGATGTCTGAATCCCTGCAAACGTCTCCTTCCCTGTTTTCATAGAACAAGCGAAACGTACGGCTGGGAATTGATGTGGTTGTGCACTGGGCTGTTTGCTTGTAGGTATGTATAAGTAATTCTCTGTGATTGCATCTGAGAATTGTTTTTTTTCTTAGTAGAGGTAAAAGCGATAAAGCAATACTAGGCGGTGTGGGGAAGATTTGCAATGGATCTCAGGTCCTTCTGTTAGAATAGATGTGGGTGAACAAAATTGGGGTTTTTCTGAAGAAGTACATTTTGGCTTTTTTATATGTCCATGGAAAATATATCAATTTAGGCTATGACAAAATTCCTTTGATCATAGTACACCTTGTTCAAAATAGTATAATTCAGTATAGTCCGATGTACTTCAAATCTTCATTCTAAAGCATAGTCGACATGTTTTTTCATGTATAATTTCCATATTCTTACTTTGTCCCGAAGTTCTCTACCCCTACCTAAAATCATCATCTTGATATTACTTTTTGAACAGTAATCAACTACTTAAAGATGTAAGCTTGTTCCTGCAATCATGGATGAGAACACAGCCGTATGCCAAGGAATGCATCTTGCGCTTGCAAAAGACAATGAGAGTTGGTCAGAGAAAGTATCCACCGCATAATGTCGAAGTTGGTGCTATACAGGTGAATACAAAATATAATTTAATTTCACTCCAAAGAGACTCGCATGCATGTACGGTCATTAAAGGTTCCGATGAAAAAATTATTCATAGACAACTTAAAATTTGCAGCACGGTACAACACAGATTTACCACAAGGTCTATTTCCCGGACGACAATCATAAGGTTGGTATGCCTAAAGTTTTATGGCAGGGCTCCTCAAGTATCACCATACGTGAGCTATTCTACAAAACACTAAAGCCAGCCGTCCGATTGTTCTAATAGTGAATGGTGATTTCCGGTACATAGTAATTTCAACTATTGTAAAGAGAGAAAAGAACGGCAAAATTAACGTCTATTCCTTTCAACAAAATGAACAATAACAATGAAGTTTTAAATATGTGGATATTAATTATGATTAATGGGAATTTCAGTTATAGCAAGTTTGAACAAACGACTATACTGGTAAATATAATTCCCAGAAAAACATTCTATAAAGAAATTACCGTTGTTAAAATAAAGATAATGATGATAAGAACACGCTAAGCAAGCATTTACCCCTGAACGATATTTGAAAGAACTAACAACTATGTGTGTATGATTATTTCCAATTAAGTCCTCAAAAGGAAAGAATATATTCATGATTACCATTTAGTAGGGTCCTAAATCTTCCAGATACATCGCAGCGTGTAAAGTGCACCTTTTTTCCTTCAAATTGTTAGTCATAGGAGACCATGCACGTTTGAGATGTTTGGTAACATAGAAAAAACATTATAAAGAACCCTTGATTACCTATATAACATACTTTCTGTTCCAGGCATTTGAAATCGACTCTGGAACCAAGGCGAAAGACCTGTGCACGTTCATTTCCCAGAGATTGGATCTAAAATCCTCTGACGGCTTCAGCCTTTTTGTAAAAATATCGGATAAAGGTAACTATATTGATCTATAGTTACAGACATTGCGATACTTTAATGCTGAATTAAGTGATCATACTGACTTTGTACATGCAATAAAATTATTTGGATGAAGGTGACCACTTGAGAAAACACTTGAATGAACTTATATTTGTCTGACATGTTATGGCAAAATATACGTCAGTTAATTTCGCCTGTATTCCAAATGCTCACTCACATTCTCACATTCAAACTCACTTCATTTACAGTGTTTTCACCTTTCCAATGATTCAAAAAGGAACTTTCTTATTGATCAGTGGCAACAAAATTTATATCTCACACTCAATTCGTTTTTTTCTTCTTAATTACAGTAATTAGCGTTCCTGAAGGTGACTTCTTCTTCGATTTTGTACGACATTTGATGGAATGGCTTAAAAAGACGAGGGCGACTTCTACAAGTATGACTCGAGGCCTAAATTTTTTCTTGCGCGTCAATCGATAGCGCGAATGCGTTTAAAATGTGCGGGTGTTAATGAGTATTCTATCTTTCCAGATTTCAAGGTAGACGCAAATTCCAGCATCAGTTACCAAGTGTTCTTTATGAAGAAACTTTGGAGTAACACCATTCCTGGAAAAGATCCAGCAGCCGACTGCATTTTCCATTATCACCAGGTGAATTTAAGAGGAGTACATATGCTTCATTTCCTACATAGGTTTCCATGTAGGAATATGAATGAATAGGCGGGATTTAGTGAGAATTCTTATCGTGATAATCACTCCACTATTCTTTGCTTTTGCTCCTTTGCTTACAAAGTGCAGTCGTTCAGGCAAAACGTAAATTTTTTCTCCGCAAAAGCAATCATCTCGATAGCTTCTAGTGAGGGAGAAAAGTATGTGTAAAAACATCGCTAGACTATGGTAAATGTTTAAGACACATAGTATTTTCCTCTCTTTAGGAACTTCCAAAATACTTGCGTGGTTACCACAAGTGTACTGTTGAAGACGCTTTTCAACTGGCAGCTCTTATCTACAGAGTGAAATTCGGTGACGATAAATCACAATTTCCCAATATTAAGTAAGTCTATGTTCAATTTTTCCCCATAATGCATGCCGAGGTTTGTAATTCCGTGAGTAGATGTACTCTCCAGTACATATTAGTGTTGCTTAGCTATAATAATGTAAGTATGCTTTTCCGTGCATTTTCTAGTGCATATTAGAATTGATTAACTATGTAATCATCTAAATATACCAATGATGAGTTCAAATCAACATTTATATACTTCTAGCAAAATGATGCGTGAGTTAGTTCCATATGATATTCAAAACCAGCGAAGCCCAGATGACTGGAGAAGGGTTAGTTTTTTCAGATTTTATATCACTTCACTTTGAAACCTGAATGAAATGAGAGTTTCAGCATGTGGGACCTGAACAAGAGGAATAACAGAGTGTAAAACACATCTTGAGGCAGCATAACTTAACTTTTTATTGAGCTTCTGAGCACGTGTTTTAGTCTCAGCTACATACCTTACATCTGGTTTGATCTAGGCTTAAAACATGGTCATAATTCATGATCATAACTCATGGTCATAATAATGATGTGCTCATCGAATTGTTGCTCCGAACAATTCGATGACCAGCATTTATTTCTCCATTGCATTCAGGGTATTGTAGCTGCGTTTAACAAACATGCCGGGAAAACCAGGAATGATGCTAAGGTTTCGTTCCTGAAGATAGTCTATCGTTGGCCAACGTTTGGATCTGCCTTCTTTGAAGTCAAGGTATGTATGATAATTTTTATAATGGCAGCATTAAAAAAACATTTGAATAAGTGATTTTAATGATGGTCAACATGAAATTTTGCTGCCATCATGCAGCACAGGGGTGAAATTATGACACGAAACACAAAGCCAAACAAGGAGTAAAGAACTATCTCCCTCCGACTACCGAGTCTCGATTTCAGGTTGACCTCCCTCGAATCTGTGCCGTTACACAAAATTAACCCAAGAATTAAATGAACTGTATATGTTTATTTTCTGTAGCAAACCACTGAGCCACATTTCCCAGAGCAATTGATTATTGCGATAAACAAGAATGGCGTGAGTTTGATTAACAAGCAAACCAAGGTATAATAACCATGTATAATAACCTTTATATGGTTGGTTTTCCTGTCATGATGGACATTTAACTAATACACTCGATTTTCTGATAATATTTTAATGTGAAAATTATATGAGAATGATTCAACCAGGCCGATGACGTATAGTTATTATGCTTTTTTAACCTAAGAAAGCTAGTTGCACTTGAGGGAGGAGGGCCCAGTTGACTTCAAAAGACAAAAGTCACTATAAACTTCACATCGCTTGTACATTATGTTCATATGTTGAAGGTTGTCCAATATAAAATTGTTCTCCAAGTAACATGAATTTACCTTTACACAGGACATTCTTGAGACATATCCCTTCACCAAGATCTCAAACTGGAGCAGTGGTAATACCTATTATCACATGACAATTGGTAACCTTATGAAAGGAAGCAAGTTCCTGTGCGAAACATCTCTGGTGAGTATACATGCAATTATGTAAACACTAGGACTCGTTTGGTGCTAACGGATCGTTTGCATCAAGAATTTACATGTGAAACAATGATTCAACCTCACTAACTTCCACCATGAGGTGATTATAACGTTTTTGAAATTCGCTTTAATGAGTGCAAGTTGGTCTTTGCAATACAGACGTACGAGGTCAATGCCTGACCAGGTCTAGTTGATCATTTTCAACTATTTTCCACACGACCGAATGAAAAAAAGTGGATTTGTATTGAGCACAAAATGAGATAATCTTCACAATACGTTCCTTCCTCCTCTTCCAAAAGGGTTACAAAATGGATGACCTTCTAACCTCGTACATATCGATGATGTTAACCAATATTAACAAAGGAAAACGTGGTACAATTCAAGGCGAAAGACTTTAAGGTTCGTGTTTGGCGTACGTCCAGCATTTCCTGCGTTTTACACTATTAATACATAAATTTCTCGTTCAGGATTGTCTCATGCTATCATATACTCAGATTGCGTGTTTCACTGTAGTTATTATGTGATACGTATTTCTAAAACTAGCCCGCCTTCTTTATCAATTAGCTTCTCTGTCGTTTTATTGCTTTTTAAGCATCGTCACTTTCAACGGTTTAAGACATAATTATCCTGTGATGACACTATCAAGTCTTCGTACAACCGGCGCAAGTTGTCCATCTCAACTGTCATTCTTCGTTGTTTCCACGTGACCTTACAATATTCTGTTTATTTTTAGTCGCCCGAGCACCACAAAGAAACAATCTCGATGTTCAAGTGGAAATTAAAATCAGTAAAACGCGAAGTTCTGCATCACATTCTCTTAGCTTGCGTATTTTTTCTTTGTAATCCACACATGCAAATATAATTACAGATTTCTTTTTTTCGATAGTTGTAGCTGACAATTTATGAAATAATTTTTCTATTTCCGGTACTAATTATTATGAATAGTTATTAATTATACTACCATTAAGAATAAATTAATTAGGTAATAAGGTGAATCAATAATGATAAAATATTAAAATTTCGCATGCATTTTTTAAAATTTTTGTACATTCGTAATTTGCATAATAAATGTTCAATTGATATTTAAAATTGCTTCCTATATATTTTCATTTAAGTATGCCTTATTTATTTTTTTTTCAAAAAATATAGAATTAATATTTATATAAAATGACAAATTGTTGAATTCTCGTCACCAATAACTGACACATCTTAACTATAGTCAACTAGTCAAATACATTATTTAAAAAAGCAAGAAAAACACGGCCGAAACAACGGGTTAGCTACATATGACTGCGTTTAGTTACGTTTTTCCAACTCTTCCCTATACTCATTTTATCACGGCTAATATTATCGTAAAATATACTCATATTAATCATCTTAAAACTTGTCAAGAAAAAGTTGTCATTTTTCGCTTACACATGCATGAGCCAGTAAAACTTGGCAAGGAAAACTTGTCAACGAAAACTTGTTCGTCCGATACACATGCACCAGCAAGTGAACTGGTCAAAAAAACTTGTCAAGGAAAACTTGCCCGTCTGTACGGGCTTTAGATCGAACGAAATTTTTTGCCTATAGTTTTCTCTCCATTGTGAGAACGTGACCCTAGCGGATTCCGTTGACCATGCAGTCACAGTTGAAAAGAGAATTGAGTGAAAATCTTCGTTTGATCGAAAAATTCAGCCTAGTGGAAAACCTTCCTGAAGCCGGTTTTCCATTAGCCGGAATTTTTTGATGGAACGAAATTTTTCGTCTGATATTCTTTTCAATTGTGTAAGTTCAACCGCAGCGGATTCCCTTCACCGGTCACAATTGAAAAGAAAATCTAGCGAGAGATTTCGCTCGATTGAAAAATTCCGCCTAGTGGAAAACCGGCTCTATAAATCTCCTTTTATAGAAAAGCAAAATTTCTTTGGCAAATATTCTCTGATGAATCGAAAAAAATTAGCATTTGATCTTTTGTTCAAATGCATTCGCCGAGACAAGTTTAACACATATTTTCCATTCGGGCAAAAGATATGTTTGCCGGCCACATGAAGAAAATTCACCAGGTTGGAGTAACTATAGAATACCCCGCGACATGTAAGTGTTGTTTTCCTGTGACTACCTGGCAAAATACATGCAAACATCTATTCCTTATTCCTATACCAACACGACTACATCGCTACATGGCCAAGTAGCTATATGGCTACATGGCTAAGTGGCTACATGGCTACGTGGCTACATGCATGGCTACATGGCTACATGGCTACATGGCTACATGGCTACATGGCTACATGGCTACATGGCTACATGGCTACATGGCTACATGGCTACATGGCTACACGGCTACATAGCTACATAGCTACATGGCTACGTGGCTACATGGCTACATGGCTACATAGCTACATGGCTACATGGCTACGTGGCTACGTGCCTACGTGCCTAATGGCTACTTGTTTTGTAGCAATACCGTTTTACAAAATAATGCCGACATGACCTCGAGTTGTATCACAGCAGGGGCCGGTTGTATCAAGCCCGTTTAGCTTAAACGGCAGATAAGTCAAAATTAAATAACACCCTTACATTTCTCTCGAATGAGTCAACTTGAATTTTATGCAATGAGTATGTAGTTGTATAAACAGCATCTTTGTAATAAGGTCAAAAACATTTAGTTTAAATTACTTGTATAAAACCATAGACTTTCGCTTTATTTTGAACTTAACCATCGTTTAAGCTAAATGGGCTTGATACAACCAGGCCCATGCAGACAAATTAAGACTTAAATAGATAAATACGCCGCGAATAAATTCCTTGTTCAAAGTTGTTGTTTCGTGCAATTGAACGAAAATTTTCGCCTAATTTTCTGCTCAATAGTTAGAATTCGACCATATAGCGGATTTGCCTGACCGGTCATACTCAAGCGAAAATTTCGTTCAAAAAATTCACCCTGGTGGAAAACTGTCCTAAAAGCAATCACTTTCGGAACAAAGGACTGCACTCAATATATCGGCACGCTACGATAGAAATGCATGGTGTATCCGCGTCCATTTTGATCGGTGCCTTGAACCCCATTAAAATTATGGAAACGAGACTAAGATTCTGGCAATTACCCTGAGTGGAAGTGACAACAAAACCTGCATGGTTTTTTTGCCATTTAATTTTTGCCGGAATTTTTGGCAAATTTGAGAACAATTTCAAATTAATTTCGCCTAATGAATTTGAGCCTAATTAAAGTTGTGAATTCTCCACTCCCTCGCTATCAAGTAGTTTTCCATCCATATGAATTCTTGAGTAAACTGGAAATAGCTATATTACTATGCTTACTTTGAGGAAAAATTCGGGGGTGCGTTAAATTCTGCTTTCAAAAGCATATTACTGCACCTATGTAGATAGCATGCACGTCCGATGTTCCATGCACTGCTGCATCATTGTATATAGGTGTTGTGTTAGGTGCGAAAACTTGCTCATGTGTACTCAACCCCCGCATCACGCAGAAGAAAGTTAAGCACGAACTGTCTTAATTGTCAAAAGTATATGATTGAAAGGTCTGCAGTATATTTATATAATAATGTCAAATATTGACAATGTTGAAAAACATTCAAAACTTCTTCAACACCCAAGTTTCTAACCCATGCACTGACTAACGTTCGCAAACAATTGTTGATGCAAACAATGATTAAAAGAAACATCAACCTGGTTCTTCATGACGTTTTGAAAATCGAGTTACATCATGTTAAGGCGGTTTTCCACCAGGCTGAACGTTTCGATCGAAGGAAATATTTCGCTTGATTTTCATTAAATTTCTTTGATTTCGAATTCTTACAAGTGAGAAAATCCGCAGGCGTAAAATTTCGTTCGAACGAAAATTTCCGCCATGTGGAAAACTGAGCTTGCTGGTTTATTGCGTATGTGCTATATAACTTTATGTTCAGACAGTTCAGTAGAAATTTCGTATACAATTTCGTATACAATTCGTTCGTTCCTGTTCAGCTAGCATAAGCGTGGTGGAAACATAATCGAGGTTAAGCCCCATCCACACAAATCAAGAGTTTCAAGTTTCAAAAAGTATTTCAATCTCGTGCAATCTGAAAAAACAACAGTTTGTAGACGTACAGCTTTGCATTGGGACCTGCTGCGTGGAAAATATGGTTTTGACCGTTTTGAAGGGCATACTGGGTTTGCGCGCCCATAACTGTTGTAATCAGAAATACGTAAAGATTAAACTGATAGTAAATGTTTTCCCTGTACCCTAGGCCTAGACCAAGGCACTAACGTATGCAAATAAAAAGTAAATTGAGTATTTATTGCCCTATGCCCATATGGAAGTGGTTTCAGACGGTTTCCTCGCCGTTTACAACGCGCGATGAAAACACAGACTCTCGTGTCCTATGTAGAAGACCGGCCATCATTAAAGCCTGCGCAGGTGCACTTTCAAATTCGGTTGAGTGAATGGTCTTGAATTTTTATTATTGTCGATTTCACAGCTTAATGATTGTTACGTCTCTATCATTCCATGCAAGCGGCATTTTTCATGTGCCGGGTGTAAATATACAGAAAAGAAAACGTCTCTTATATCTATTGTTTTCAATATGAATGGCATGCAGGGATAAATATGCTGTTATCTTTGAACCCAAATGATGACGCGTTCATTATTTATACTCGTATATAATCACGGAAACTCAGCTTTGCATGCAAGATACCTAAAGTCTGGTTTTCATATGTCGTAATTCATCGGCAATCGTTATTGTCGGTAGCCATTGATGAATAAGTTTTTTTGCCAATGGAAAAAAAATATATTTACCGCCGATAAAATAGGACATTTGAAAACCAGGTTTAAGACCATATTTTCAGTGAAGACTCTTAGAAAACTGAGTTTTTGATTCTTTTGAAAACTGATATTTTTGCCGTTTTAGGCGCATTAAATATTGAAAGAACAACTTAATTAAATCAGCTGAAAAGGAATATGGGCCCCTCGCTTATAAACACCGTTAGGCCTGCTGAAAGAATGAATATAAAAAAATTATTGATATATGACTTTTTCATATGACGCCAATGGTCTCAAAAAGTGTTTCTGACAAAAAATATATAGCTACGTCGTATACCACAAAAAATAGCTTCTAAACAATTAAGTTGCAATGTGGAAGCCTATATAGTTTATTTTTACATCAACAGGCGTCCCTGAAAGTCAGGCTTGAAAATGCTGTCACAATTAAGAGGCTTTGACAAGAGGTTTCCGAAAAAGATCCCGCATTTGAAATCGAGCTTTTGTTTAATTTGAATGCAATGTTATATATGCTGCTGAACCCGTGGATGCGTAAAAATAAAAAACGTCATCTTGGAAAAATAGTCGGGCATTCAAATTAGAAAATAGTTTGACTTTAAAGACAGTTAGTTTTTTTTGGCAACTTCTTGTGAAAACACAAGCATTTTTAAAATTAATATTCAGGACCTTTTATAATATTTACGAAGATCTGTACTGTTTAATATTTGATAATATTAATATGTATTCGTTATTATATATACAGTGAAGAATTAAAATGACTGCATGAGAGCTAGCGCTTCCTTTATGCGGTAAGACCCGGCATACTTTTTCGTGTATGGACTGGGGCACAGGCTAGACCAGACCTGCATGTTGTATTTCAGTGCAGACAGATTAATGGTATTTTAGGGTGTTTCAAGAACCCTGCATTCAAGTTTGGCGTTATTTATCTGACGGGCACGGATAAAGCGGTGTTTCACCGCTATATTTTTCACAAAATACTATCTTTTTCAATTAAAAATATGACCGTGCGGTTTGGCCATTTTTGTCTCTTAAAGGAAACCTCTCTAACAGGGCCGTAGCTAGAAGCTTAATTGGGGGGGTGCATATTCATATATTCGTCACATGCCCGAATGATTTCTTTTGTATGCTATTGTTCCTATGGTATATAAACATGAATATATGAATATACACCCCCCCAATTAAGCGGTTTAGCTACGGCCCTGCTCTCTAAATAACATGTTCTTGGTAGAAGTGCAGTCAACCTGACTGCATAATTATTTGGTTTCATAATAAAATTTGTTTCAATGCTTCAAAATCATATCGGGTATAACCGGGCTTAAGTTTATGTAAACAGACCCCAAGTTTTGCCGTTTAGTTAATTTATATCCTGATCGATGATTTTAGTTCGTTCTCAACCGTTCATTCGCAGTCCGATTAGTTTGCGTTTCAATTTGCTTTCCTTCCACCGTTACAGGTAGAGTGAGAAATTCCCTTAAATCGTAGCAGCTAGCCTGAGCTGCCTTTTCCTCGCTGGCTACAGGAAGCATGTACTTTACCTGATTACTTGGTGACGATTTCGCGACCAACTTTGCGACGTCAATTAACGGCGAACTTGTCGCCTTATTGGTTTCCTCAACACTGGCCGACAGTTCCTTCGGGTGAGTTGCTTTTAGAAACTCGTAGATATTATAAACAGATAAGCTGCGATTTTCCAACGCGCCCGTTGCCTGTTCGCGACCAGGAGCATTCACCTGCAAGCTGCTGGCACCGGCCTCCAAGAAATCCAAAAATTCGTCCAAGTCGTATTTAACGTCCGGCTCCCTAGCCGAGTCCACCTCGAGGGAGTTGGAGCGTGGTTTGATGGCCTCATGGGATTGGGGATTGACTTTCTGTATTGTGCGAAGCCGGGCCACGTCTGGCAACGTCAGGAATTCCTTCAGATTGTAAATCGAGTTTCGTTCTCTCCCTTTTTTAAGCGGCTCTACAAATGCCTGACGCTTGTTCTCTTTGGGAAAATCCTCCGCGGGGAAGTTTGCTTTGGGCAGTTCACGGCTCTGTCGTACGACTTGCCTGGTCGTTGGAATTTCGTCGTTCAAACTCCAATCCGCAACAATGACCGACGGAATTTCTGACTTCGTGGACTTCTCACCACTCACTTTTATGCCTTTTTGCTGTCGCGCTTTCAGTCTGTTGTGCTCCGCGACGGTCAAACGTTTTGACGAATCTGCCGACAGCGCTAAGAACTCAAACACATCGTACCTAGATTCGTCCGAGGATTTGGATTTCAGCGATATTTTCACCGGCCTTTTTTCACCGTGCTGCGCGAGTTTTGCGTTGCCGTTTGAACCTCTTGACTTCGCCGATGACATTGCATTCAGCTTCTGTTCGGTGTCCGTAGGCAACGAGAGAAACTCACGCAAATCATACGTCGAACCTTTGCGCTCTTTGCCGCTCGCTTTCCCTACACGCAAACCAGTTTCTGTGGACAGTTTTGGGCTTCTTGGCTTTGTCCTGTCATTCCGGGAGGTTGCCGCTTGTGCAACGGCCGACGTTCCTGCAATCGTACTTCTTCGTCTTCCCTTTGTTAAGGAAAGATTCTCAACGGATGCTGTCGTTTCTTCATTGTTCAGGACGTGATAGCCCTTCGGTTTTGTCTTCGCGGTTTTTCGGCCCCGCGGTGTTTTGGGGGAGCTGTTCTTAACCGGTTTCCGTCCACTTTTCACGCGATTTTCGTTCTCCTCAGATGACCCGGGGTCTGGAAGCTCCTCGAAATTGAATTGCAACGAGAGATTGGACGGACTTCTGGGACACCTGTAGTCGACCGTTGGAGTCAGTAGGTTTTCGGTGTTCAACGACGAGGAAAGTGTCGAACTCTGTGTTCGGGACCAGTGCGGGCTTCCTTCGCATTTGCTCTGCATTCTAGGCTTCTGTTGTGGCATATGCCTTGCGAGTTGCCTTGTGGATATCGGCGGGAGACGAACTTTTCCCCTGTATTGTTTTGAAGGCAATGCGACGGGTTCCTTAGTATGTTCGACTGCTGAACTTTCGGTCGAAAGATTTATCATGTTCGACTCTATCCATGCAAACAGATGCAGGCTATTATTTCGTTTCCCAGGCACTCATCTTCGAAATAATGAATACCTTTTCAAAATTATAGACTTCAATCCTTTCCCATAGAATCGATTCTCTGACGAAGTCATTAGGTTGGCCGAGACTTCGATGTTTCGGAGACTGTTCGATACACTGATACGCATGTACGTCGCGGCCGTTTATGAACACGATATAAAAGGAAACGATTTCGCCTAGGCAAAGCTAAGTTTAGTTAATGTACAGATATATATGTATATTGTGACTTCTCCGTCTCCTAGCAGGTTTGATATTGCAAATTATTTCATGTATAATGAGTTTTGTTCAAGAAGCCAATAGAATCGCCTTGTTTACGTCGACGCGTGAAAAATGCTGCCAGCTGCTTCGAGAAATGCAAATTGACATGCAGTGGCATAAAGGACAACTGCAAATTTGTAAATAGGCAAATATATTGGCTGTATAGCCAGAAACAGTGTTGTAGTACATCGGCCGGACGTAAGACAAAACAAAATTGGCAAAACCAATCAAACTCGCACGAAACTTGAATGTTTGTATATACAAAACTAAGATTCCACGAATCTGTTTGGGTAACCCTCGTTTTGACTTGTCAACGTATACGTTTTATGCAAATATTCTGACATTCAAAATACGAACAAGAACACATGTACATCTATTCATGGTAATTTGTGAATATTTTTCTAATTAAAACTACTCCTACTTGGATAAACGTCATATACGATTTAAATATTTAACGAATCTTTGGCGGTGAACCTGCAAATATTCAAGTGATGCTATATATAGATAGATATAAAGTGGAAAGTAATTTGAAAAAACGCACGGAAATAGCCCAATAGATCGATCCCATTGGAATTTGTTGAGTACATCGAAAACGAAATGAAAAATCAATACACTTGGCGTTTTGCTGAAAACAATAGGTTCAAAGGGTCTTATAAACACTATAGGTCCTCCGGCAGGAATCGAACCTACGCTTTTGCGATGCCGGTGCAATGCTCTTGTCTGGAATAATTCTTCTTGTTATGCATGATTTGGCCGCTTATCCATTATCCCACACTGAACTCTTTTATAGTGCGACTTATCGAACCGTTGTCGACTTAAACTGAATTTAAAAGCTTGTTTGCTATCAGTTTAGATGGGAATTTGACGTTCCGGTCGTAGGGACCGGTTTTTGGGATAGAATGCCGCTTGCTGCTTTTGATGTTAAACTATACATAGGCTATTCAGGAATCAGTGGAATGAGCTCTTTTCCACAGGTTCACCGTCGAGAAAAACAAATTTATTCACCTAATAGAACAAGTGCCATTTGGACGTGACGTTGTCTCCCACGCCCTTAGACTAAAGTGTTCGCACGAGGACTCTCAAGTGACGTCGATGGCAGCTGCATGGGTTCTAAACGATTTTAATCATTCATATCGCACTGTTTTTTACGAAAGCTGTCTTTTGGGATAGAATAACACTGTTGAATTGAAAAGCCGGTCTTAATTAGACTTACTCAAGAGTAATTACGATAAATCCAACTTTTAGTTGAATTTCATCCTTTTTTCATGCCCAAGATATGCTTTAAGGTACGTTTTAATTCACACTTTAGCGTATGCAAATTACTACTGACACATCGTTGCCGTGTTCATTTAGTTAATGAGGAAATTTGAAATAATCAATATTTCAAGCGTGCTCGCTCGATCACATATCCTCAAAGAATCGTACACAAATCCCAATGTGTAAACCTACTTTCATTGGTCAACACCAAAGCTTTCAGTCTAGCCGCGTAAATCCTGAAGAAATTTGTCGCTTTGGGTTTCGTGCACGTTGGTAGAAAAATTAGTGGAAGGTCGAATATACCGGTATGCGGCATATTTGATCTTCTCCTTGGTTGATAAAAAAAATAGTGAAGGTCGAATATACATGCAGGTATATGAACATTTCTGAAAACCTTCTTTGGTGGCCATCTTAAGTACAAAGAATCACCTTAAGGCTATTAATGCAACAATTAGGGATATACTCCGACGGGTGGTTATATTTTTTTTAGTTTTATTTCGTCACAACACTAAATACAGTCTCATTCGTTTCTTTGAGGACCAGTGCCAGTACATTTCTGTTGCCTTTGTCTTAAAGTTTAATTATTGCGCCGACAAAAACCAGTGAGATCAAAATGTAGCAGAAAAAGAGACTGGAACTGGTCCTTAATTCGGCTTCAAAGATTGCAGACAAATTAGTTATCGTTCCAGGCCAAAACGTCCACTGACAACGACAGTTCAATACATCTGAACTCAAAGGCCTAAGTAACATAAGAATATTACGACAATTTGAAATTCTTCATACTAGCAAATGCAGTTTCATTCGATTCCATTGTAGTTCATTGCTTCTGAACTTTATGCAACATGAAAATGATTCATACAAATATTTTTTATTTCATCACAGCACTAATTACAATTTCAAAGATTCAAAAATCAAACTGTTAAGGCCACTAAGTTCAAAGTACTGAAAATTAAGTTTTCCTACAAGAAACCAAATAAACGACGTGGGCCAGCATCGCAAATCGGGCAAAAAATTGATGAAAAACCTTTCTTTGGATTTCAAAATATTGACAAGTTTACGGTAATTGCATTTCTGCAGTATCACTACTATTTAAAATGATCAAAAGCATAAGTACTGGTTAAACTATTAGTAATATTCAGATAAACTGAAATAGGTTACTTAGCATGCTAAAGTTTTGCTTTTTGAAATTATTGCAACGATGGCAGGACACGAATCGAAACCTTGGCCATAGTTATAGCATATCTTAATTTGTGCGGGATATCGAGGCTTAAATAGTTAATATGAAAAATCTTTCCGAAAACACTCAATATTTCCCAGGCACAATGCAAAGCGCCGGGAACACCTACAATAGTATACTACTTTACTGAAATTTCAAAACATCGTTCCAGGGCAGCAAATAAATCAGCGAGCTCCGTTGAACGAGTTTGCAATCATTCCATTATCCCCCCACCCTCAATTTGACGCTGGCTTTTCACGTTTATTCGACCACACAATCTAGTGGGCCACTTGTTCATTAGGTTCGTCGTCGTTGATATCGGCCAAAACATGTTCGTCATCGCCGGTTACCTCGGCGTTCGTGTTGTCGGGTTCCATACTATCGGATTCGGCAACGGGTGCCATTGCCACCTCAACGAGCTCTTCGGTATCGGTTGCATTTGCCGACTCCCCGTCCAACGGTGTGTCGCCCTCGGGCGACCCTGACTCACAGAACTCGGACTTGAGATCTGCGGACAAATCTTTCTCGATCTCGTCATTTCTTTCGACGTGGTTAAACTCGTGTTCGGGCGTGTTGATTTGGCAGGGGATATGAAGTGCTGGCGAATCGCTCGGATTATCGTGCGATGGCGGACCGTTGTAGTTGCTATTCAGGTGATCCATCGGAAAATCTGGGGAATGAAGCTTCATGTAACTTTCAGAATTTTGGGCCCTGATCTGTTCGTCCAGCATCACCGAATCGGCGAACTTTCCTTTGAAATCGTGAGCGTTTGATATTTCTTCCAAATGTTCGCTTAAGAAGTTGGCGCTCAATGTTTCCGACGGAGAATCGACTTGTTTCTCTCCCACATCCGGTTCACTTGGCGTACTATCGGCTTTACCCATGCTTTGAGAGGATGTCTCTCCAACCAATGTCGCTGAAACGTGGGTATCTGCGTCCAAACTGCAACGGCTTGGAACGCACGGCGTATCGACATGCTCTTGCTTGATACGAATCGTCTCGGGTGGTGAATGGGCAAACAATTGATCCGGAAGTGAATCAAAGTCATTTTGTTCAAGTTTGAATTTCTTCGCATTAATCATGCCTTCCTCGCGTTCGTCATCCCGGCGCTTTGATTCCGAGCGGTTGGGCTCGACTTCGAACGCTTCGGACGAATTTACAAATTGAAGCAGCGGGTCGGCTAGCGTAGACGGGTCGTCCACGTGAGATTGAGAAGTGGGCGGTAGTGGGGTCGTGACAGGGGTTTGGATGGCGCTAGCGTTCTCTTGTACGTGCACCGAAAATGGACTTCCCTTGAGCACCATTCCGTTTATGAACACCGTGATGAGGTGTTCGCCACTGTTGATCGGAGTGTAGGTCACGGAATAACAACCATTCTGCCGATCAACGACTTGCGCTTGGAAGCATTTCTCGCTCTTGATGTGCAACGAGCTGTCGTCCGCGGACTGCACGGTCACCACGATGCGATCACCGCCTTTGTTTCGTGGGTTTCCACGACCATCGTAACACTGCACAAGGAAGCTGGCCATCTGACGGGCAACGACCGGCGCGTCCATTCCCTTAACGACCGACGATGAAGGACTTGTGTTCGTGTCTTCGACTCGTCCGAGCTGGGAGAGAAGTTGCATGACGGTGCTGTCCACCGTCAGGCGAATGTTGTCGTCAGCGACGGGGATGCAGTTATACTGAGCACCAGTCAGTTCCTTCATACGATCCATGATATACTTCTTCATAGCAAGAACTTCAACTTGGGTGCTATTGCGCAACGTCAGTTCGGTGAATCCGATGCTGCTCTGGATGGAGCCGAATGCGTACTCAAGCTCGGACTTCTGTGCGTCCAAGTGGAGCAGGCGTTCGTTGCGGATATTTTGCACCTGGTTGTAGAGGAAGCTGTAACGATCGTTGATCGTGCGCATACATTGCGTGAAGATGTCGTTCAGTTCCTTGATCATCGCTCGTGTCCTCTCGTCTACGTTCGTACGCATCTCGCTGACCGCAGCAAGGCCTTGCTTCAGAAACAAACCGGTTGATCTTGCCTCACTCAGTTGTTCAGCAATCTTACTGCGCTCTTTGTTGTAGATCTCTTTCGCAAATGCGTATCTGAAAATAACATTCGATAGTCAGCATTTTACCTCAAGGTGGCTCGATAGGAATAAATTATGGAAAGCATATTTTTCACTTTAAGACGTTTAGCACTGTGGAATTGTCCTTCATTTTAGGTCATTGCACAGCCCTAACTCTTGAGTACTGAAAAGCATTAGTCACCACAGCGGAAAAGCTTACCAGTGGGAAAAAATCTGTGTTTAAAAGTAGGTTGTGAAAATCTATTTTGCATAAATTTTTAATTATTAGGAAATATAATTTGTCCAGAAATACAAACGCCATAAGTGTCGAATTTTTTCATAATCGCCATGCATTAACACCAGGGCCGTACAATGAACTGGAATGAAGAACAAATCTACGCTGCAAAACGTTTTAGAGGAAAAATTATACTTTCCGAGCCACCTTAAGTATAGTGAAGCTGTAACATGGAATTCGCTCTCTACAGATGCAAAGCTATCAACTACCTTAAGTGCTCTTAAAAGGCATCTTGAAGTCTAGTTTGATCAATACCTATTGTCAAAGACCTTCCAAGAAACCTTCCATTCAAAGTTTTATTTTTTTGGAAATATGTTTTATCCCTTTGACGCTTCTCAGGAAGAACATCAATTTAATGGCGATGAGAAATGCGTTATTAAATAAATTGTTTATGTATGTATGTACCTTAAGTTATTTTCGTTGCAAACTTACTTGTGACTGCGATGTTCCATCATTGTACAGTCTCTGCAAACAGAACTCTGGCAGGACTCGCAATACAACACCAGCTTCTCCTTCTTGTGCACGCTACAGAACAACGGCTTGGCAAGTTCGCCCGGAAGGCACGAACGCACGTCTTCCAAGCTCGACAGCTGGTGATCGACCGTGTCACGCGAACGGCGATGCGCGGTCGTGCAGAAATTGCAGAGGAATTTTCGACACAGGGTGCACCTGGACACCGGCGGTTCCTTGCTGATGCAGTTCTCACAACTTATCTGATTCACAGAGGAGTTGTCCAGTGCAATGACCGTCAACATGTTCTGGGCGAACAAGTTGGTTTGCAAGGATGAAACGCCTTCACCCGGAATCTATATAAAATACAACGCCGTGATCAAGATAAGAGTCTTTTGACCAAAGATAATGTCCATTCAGGTCGGAGCATCGGTTCTGCTCGAAATATTGCAAGCCCGCTAATTTAATTGAAACTTGCCCAAACCATACTTCACATGCATGTTAGGTATTTTTGTAGACACGAACTCTTAGTAGTCTATCTTCATTTAGACAAAATATTGCGTGAGATGCAAAAAAACTTGTCATACTTCAACAAAAAGAACAACATTACCATTACCATTACCATTACCATTACCATTAAGGCATTCTTATGTATAATATATATATATATATATATATATAATATATATATATAATATATATAATATATATATATATAATATAAATATATAATATATATATATATAATGATAAAATTAATTGAACTACATGTAATACCGACTGCAGTGAAAGTAAAACCATGCAGCTATCCTAATTGAGCTGTCAAATCAACGACGGCATAATCAGGTAGCGCTTAAATAATACGGATTTAAATTTGGGTACTTCCAAGTAGTTGCCAGGCAATAACAGCATTGGAGGGAGGGCTATACTCGCCCCCTTCCACTTGGTATATATGTTAAAATAAAGGATGTTCTAAAAAAATTCAGATGGTTGCTGTACGTCAATTGAGCTTTATATTACGGCACTTCTTTTTCCAGCTACATACATTTGAGTTCCAATGCCTGATATTATAGTTCTTAGCAACCAACTACTAGCATCATTGTTTTGGGAACAGTGCCAGAACGGCGCCAGAGCTTAATATTGGGGGCAATTGCCTTCCCTCCCCTTGGCGCTGCCACTGTTTGGGAATAGTCTGATGCACCTACATCCAAACTCGACTCAGCAACTTTGTTCCAGGGTAGCTTACCTGTACTCTCCTGCGACATTGAGGGCATATTAGGGATGATCGGTGTTGGGCGTCGAAGGAGACCAAACCTTCCAAGCATGGCATGCAGAAGGAATGTAAGCATGGTAGAATTTTTGGTTCCCGAAACAGCTGTGCACAGACAGGGCATGTCATAAGGTCTTTCATCTGATTCATGTCTGGTCTATCACGTTTCTCGTCCTGCAAAGAAAAACACGGTTCATGTTCATCGCCCGGAGATTTACATTTGAACGAAGCCATGCAACGCAGCTTGGAATACCTCTCAAAATCGTAAAATGTTATGTGCGTATTATGAGCGTTCCAGCCAATATTTTTCAGTGGAGCTGGCCAACTTGCCAGAAAAGTCTTTAAATTGGGTCATAAAGTAGCTATGAGAATCAGACTTAAATTCACACGCTAAGATATAGTGTAGTTTACGAAATGTCGGCTATAATTCGCAGTTTAATAAAGCTTACTCTATGATATACAAACGATTTAGTATAGTTGACTTCCATCGATCGTCGGTGTTGGTAGAATCCGTAGCAAAGGCTTTTGTGGCTTTCGAATTCGTTCCCTTAGAATTATTACGCATGGAAAGCTATAGAACACTATGCTTACTACTTACAGTACTGTGATAACATTATTACGGTATAAAGTACTGTGAACTTCATTCGTTGTTGTTTCAAGTTTTCTTCCCAGCGAGACCTAGCCGCGAAGCATCTTAGGACACAATTACCATTGTATACTAGAATTCAGCAATCGGCGGTAATTACTCCAAAAGCTATCAGGCGATGAAATCATATATTGAAATCAGTATTGGGGCGGACAAAAAATATCCGCTTGAAAAGCCGGAATTCCTCATAGACTGTCAGCAAATTAGAAAGCCAGAATTTTCGCAACCGGAATTTTAAATAACTGAAATCTTTAAAGACGACGCCTAAAAATCCACCGACGTCTAAAAATATGAAAGCCGGTTTTTTGGCAAGCTTGGCAGAATCTTTAATAGCTGGAATTCCTGGAACTTTTAAAACGTTTAATTTAATCGTATGACTGTTTATATTATACTATCTTGGCATTCGGTCATGTACCTTTAAGATCTACCGGTTTTCTCAGACGTCTTTTAATTTAAATTGCAAATTAGGTCGTGTAATTTTCCTGACTTATCCTGAATCCGTCACTTGTATAAAGTAATCGAAAAATTTTTCATTTGTATGACTATAACATTCTAGAAATCTTCCTAATAATTCTTTATCTAAATTTTAATCAGGGTTCAGACTAAAATAACCGCTCTGTCGCTGTCTCTCTGCATGCACGCAGGCTCTGATACAAATATTCGTTATGTTAGCGCTGAAAATCATGGATGATGAAAAATTGCATTGTTTATAGCCTTTCTCGCCAAAAGAGTCCGGTTTGGGATAAATCGTGGGGACGATGGGCGCTTTCCGTAGCGGCCAAATGGTCAAACCAGATTTTTAAATTTAAATCAGTAGAGTATTTTAAGTTAAGAATAAAGCAGTGAAACTGCATTTTCCGTGCTGGGCAGACGCACATGCAGCCGATATACAGGAATGCAGAGTTCTTGAAACACTCTGAAATACATGCAGGAATGTGTCTGTAGTAACATTACATTAGAAAGATTCTAGCCGTTTTTACCGTATTAAGGAAAGTGCCCTATACATAACTATATACATATATATATATAAAGGGCTTTTAAGCTCCTTATACCCACCCTAGCTTCGAAGCTGATATCGAAGTATCAGCCAAATCCTCTGAAATTCTCACATATCCTCATGCACAGGTTTCTGATACAACTCGTATTCTCAAAATGCTGCTTTTCACTCAGCGCTGTTCTTTTTCAAAAAATTTTCATTGACACCTGCATACCATATCATTCTAGAAATCTTTCTAATAATTCTTTATCTAAATTTTAATCAGAGTTCAGACCCAAACAATCGCTCTTTCTCTGCATGCGTTGATATAAATATTCATTATGTTACTGAAAAACATTGATGATGAAAATTTAATTGTGTAGCCCTTCTCGTTAAAAAAGTCAGGTTTTGTTATTAATCGTAAGAATTATAATATATTCCTAAAGTGATCATGTATACTCATAAACTTACTCATGCACTACTATAATAGCTATACTTTTCTTTGTTAGTTGTGGGGGAGAAAGATGTGCATAATTTTCTCGTCATATCCTGTCCTATCGTTTTTACTTCCTCATTGTGTTAAAAACCGCATCCAAATAAAAAATGTTACCGTATTCCGGTACTCCCGACAAACATTTTACTACAATCCATGAATCTGCATTACAATGAATTCAGTGTTCTCTTAAGGCTATAGTTTCCACTCAGGAAAAATTTTCTTTGGATCGGAACGGACAGGAAAATTTCCTTTGTCGGTGACTTTTCAGGCGGCGTTTATACAAAGGAAACTTTCCTGTCCTGTCCGATCCAAAGGAGAATTTTCCTGAGTGGAAACTGGCCTTTAGAATCATGATCAAAAGCATATGGAAATTTTCATCATGCCATCATTTCATCGCGCCATTTTCTGCATGCGTGCTAATATAGTTTTTAAAGGGCGTAAAAAAACTGGTGCGAAGGCGGACAGGCGTGAGAGATCGTTCAGGGAAGAACGAATGACGTCAAAAATTTCCTCACTTGACTCTTGAGTGCAAATTGCCCGACTAATCACTTATCCTGCCCCTCCTCTTTCTTCGTGGCTATAAGGACTATACACTGGTACGCGCGAGAAACACAGTGGAGGTATAATAAACAAATTTTCTCATCAATCAATACAATTTGTTGAAGGGTGTATGAATTGCAGGCCAGAATAGGATGATTCCCATCATGCTTTACCCGCCCAATGTCTCCGATTTTCATGGGACAACCTTTTACACACTTGGTTGAATTTGGGTTAGACTGACAATTAACCCAGACTCTTGGTCAAATTTAAATATACGAACAAACATCAACGGATTGTAGATAAAAGAGCACTAAAATAGTTATCTAAAGATTGTGCCAAAACGGACACGCAAATGTACATGCATACAGGCAGGCCCGATGTCTGGCAATCCTTTTCGTTATGTAAATATAAACACTGTTTGCACATACGCGCTCGTGCTATGGAGGTCCTATCCATAATTTTGAAATTCGTTAAAAGACTCGCCACAAACAACAGAGACGACCAAAATTAAACAACAATGCTTCGTTGTCGCCGAAATACAGACAGACATTGAGGAAATGTAAACAAACTCACCATTGTGTGTGTATATAAACTGCACTGCACGCTTTAAAATGACTCGCACTTGTCGGACAAACGCTTCAAAATGTCGAACCGTCGTGCCCGTCGCCTCCCGGTCGAAGCAACGCGATTGTACCTCATTAGACTTCGACAACTTCAATCGTGCTTATTTCGTAATAACGAATTAAATGTTCATCGAATGTTCTTCTTTAATAGCCTTGTGTAACTTGATCTCGGATTATCTTTTACGACATCAGAAAAACACGCTGTGCCAAGACGAATGATTCCGTCGTCTCGCATGATTGGCAAGCTATCACTCAGTAAGCAAGTCCGTTTTGGCTCGTTAGATGTTTTTGCCACTGGAAGTCCGAAATGAAATTTAATGATATATATTTGAGTCGTGAAATTACAATGCCATACAATTGTTATTCATCACTGTCAACACGACATGAATTATGAATATTTGGAAGCTGATTAATATTTCAATATCGAAACCGATATCAATATTCATTTCGCTTATTTTAATTTGTGCTCTGAGCCCTGTCATATGCGTGAGCAGGGGCCGTTGTCCGTACGGCGTTTAGCTTAAACGGTGCCGTGGATATGTAAAAATGGAAAACATGAATGAATGAGTTGAAATATTTCGATGTAAATAGTTTAATTTTCAATGGAAGTGCATATTTAATGCATAAGATGCAAGTTCAGTCATTCACAAGGTCTATGAGAGCATTTTTTACTTTGGCCTATCCACCGTTTAAGCTAAACGCAACCGGCCCCAGCACAGTAATTAAATGACGCAGAAGGGTATGTGGAATTTGTTGCATATATATTTTGAAAAACAGCACGGTTTCATGTTTAGCTATTATAGCCATGTGCAACAGTAGGCGTTGCAGACCCTATTGTCGTTAGCCAATATGGTGGCATTGAGTAGTTCGTGTAGTATTTTGACAACTTTTTGGTGACACGGGTTTGAGTATCTTGTGAAAAACTGGATCTATGACTGTAACAAAATCACTAATGATTGCAGACATAATAACATCGGTGAAGAAATGATCACTGCCAAATTTTCTGGCTAATCTCAAGTAATTTAAAGCCCCATTTACACAACGCACTATTTTTGGTACTGTACCAAAAATGAATGGTATATATTGTTTTAAATGATGAAATTATAAAAACACCTTATACATCTTGTTAATTGATGCATGCCATGTGGTCATGCAAGCAAAACAAAACATCATCCGCTGAAACCTCCATCACGTGAGGAAATTAATGATTACCGTACAGCAGGCGCCTTGAAAGAGTTGTTTGCCAGAAATACTGTAATGTCAAAGATCGAAGTGGTCATAATTTATAAGGTCATAACCTATGACAATTATCTGTCATTACTAAATTTTATATCGTTAAGTATCCCATGACAGCATAGCCACACATGCCTTGGTGAACACGCAAGAGGGGAAGGGGGTGATTGTTTGAAAGTGTTTGAAATATCTCATTAACTTCAAGTTGAGCTTTAAGATTTAGTTGCGATTGAAACTCTATAGTTGTGGTTTAAAATGGAATTTTACCTCTCCCACTCCCAGCCTTATTTGTTTTCACGAAAATTCGAAAGCACTCAACCCGGCTTAAAAACCTGAAAATACCTTTCTCTGAAAATCGTCTCTTGTGAAATAAATATATAGGGTAGTGATGTTGTTGTGTAGGAAGCATGTCATAACATTTTACTACCTGCTTTATATAAAATACCAAATGCGAAAAATCATTTTCATTTCAACGAGTTTAGCAACTGATTAGGTTTTTCTAAATTCTCATGCAGTCAATTTTTACTTCGGGAATTTTGTATTTTGAAGAAGTGAATAAGATCTTATCGAGAAGATTGAGCACTAAAGAAATACCTCGACCTAATTATGGTATATATAGGGAATTTGTGGGCTCATTTAAGTTTAAAGATGTTTTTTGTTGACTTCCTTGTAACTAGGAAAATATCTTGCATGTTTCATTTCGGTGTGACAATGACTTTGATATAGGCGGGTCGAAACATCACTGCATGCATGCAGGTGATCCTGTTGTCGCGTTTTAAAGCCGTCAAATTTTGAGTTTACTCCAGATGTTTTTCTTCGACCAAATATATTTATTCTTGTCAATGTGGAAAATATAGAAATATGTCAGGGACCTCGGAGCAGGGTGGTTCGCTGGGCTTTAGCCCCACCAATAATTTTTCCGTTATTAGTCTTTTTAGTTCGCTCAAATTTACAAGTAATATTTTTAGCAATTTGTATTTTTTGCTTACGTCAAGTCGTATATCCGATATCAGTCGTAATAAGCCCGCCATGTATACAAATGGATTGAAATTAGTTATGTTTAGTACATATGTTTGGCCAAAATAAAAAAGAGACAAAAAGAACAAGCATTTCACCATCAGTAATTAAAACAGCGTCGTTATCCATGTCTAAATATTTGACATCATAACCAAAGCATGGTTATATTGTTGTTTATGTATCACCACGAAATATGCTTGCTACTGTCCATAGGAACCTGCATTAATTTTGATCATTAAAACAGTGCGGCAAGAATTAGATATACGTTTTTTATATACGTTAAATATATGTTTTTCCGTATATTCGACCATGGTCGCCAGTATGCCGTTTTCCATACGTCAAAATATTTGACATCATAACCAAAGCATGGTTACATTGTTTAATGTTTGTATATGAACACCAAACATGCTGGAAACTTGACATAGGACAAGCATTTGACCATTAAAACAGCGTGGTTATCCAAGTCAAAATATTTGACATCATAACCAAAGCATGGTTATATTGTTTAATGTTTGTATATGAGCGCCAAACATGCTGGAAACTTTACATTGGACAAGCATTTGACCATGAAAACAGCGTGGTTATCCATGTCAAAATATTTGACATCATAACCAAAGCATGGTTACATTGTTTAATGTTTGTATATGAACACCAAACATGCTGGAAACTTGACATAGGACAAGCATTTGACCATTAAAACAGCGTGGTTATCCAAGTCAAAATATTTGACATCATAACCAAAGCATGGTTATATTGTTTAATGTTTGTATATGAGCGCCAAACATGCTTGCAACTTTACGAAGTAGCTATACTATTTCTCAATAATCCTTAAATTGAGAGGCATTCGCTGCCATTTCTGAGGCCTATGCCATGTTTCAAAATACGCCGGAAAAACGCTCCGCGGTCCCTGTATGTAAAATTATTATACTATTCAAGTAAATTTTGAAAATCATTTCGACTTTCGACGGCGGTGCTAAAACGTATTCGATTTTATACTACTTTTTTCCAAAACAACATCCCGAGAAATGAATTTGTTGAAAAGAGCCGGGTATTCAGCTTGTACTACGCTCCCCCCCCCTACAACCCCCCTCAATCGACACTGCATGGTTTGTTTGTAAAACCTGGTTTCTATTCCGTCTTATTAGTCGAATAATAGTCCGGATGTAAATTTGTTTTTATCTCTTTGCAAATAGGTCATTGTTGACGCCCACACCAGCCACCTTGGCATGTTGTTCACGACGCTATAGTTATTTAAATAATCATTATTTTATTAATTTTATTTCATTTAATTTTATTATTCTATTATTTTATTATTTTATTAATCAAGCTGCTTTCCACTGTTGCCTTTTTTGCACGTAAGTACTAACGTACACGCACGTAAAAGTTAAATCCTTCTAAGTTGTTGTATAATCAACTTTATGCGAAAAAAACATACCGAATCACCAACCGAATCCAAGCCTATCCAACTTATTATCAACTTTCGTTGATTTGATAAGTATCATTTTACGTGCGTGTACGTGGTACGTACCTGGTACGTACGTGCAAAAAACGCGACAGTGGAAAGTGGAAAGCAACCCTAACTGTGACGACACTCACGACTAAATGGAAACGAGGCATAATAAAGCTCCCTAAAAATCTTGGATTCCTATGACTATAGTATACGTCAATGCTATGGTAAGTGCAGAAATCCAGAAATCAGTGCTGGGATTGGGATTGATGCGCATGTTTTGCATAATCCACTAGGTCAGCGGATTCCTCGCTGGATGTAACAATTTTGTGACTTTGTTTTTATAAAAAATATGGATACTTGTTGTCGTTCGATCAAACGTGGGAAGGACGAAATTCCCGATTATTATCCTCAAACAAACGGCCAGAAAGAGGTAATATTTCAAATATGGACGTCATTTGTGTCGTATTGTATTTTAAGTAATTTCAATTTCACTGAATATTTCATTCTATGCTCCTATGTTTATTCAGGATGAGCTGACAGAGTCTAATGTCAAGCGTGGCTTCAGCAACGTTGGGATCGGCAGTTCAACTTCTCACGAGGTATTGGGATATTTTATCAAATTCTGACTTACATGGGCATATGTTGGTATACCCTTTCATACAGTGCAATGATGTTGTAGATTGCCAAAGCTCCATTCATTCTTCATTGTTTTTCCAGTTAAATTAATTACAGTGTTTGTAGGAAATGTTTGAGCATGTGATGTTTTTTTATATTTACACTTACACCAGAGTGCCGAAGAAATGTGAATTTGGTCATCTAGTGTTTGCACATTGACAGAGAAATGTTTGGCATATCACCATGCACTGTCATGTTTTGCCAAAAACATGGTTTTGTTAAAAACATAATGGTCACACTGATTAGTAAAACCTCCAATCTATAAATCAGACTAGAGGAAATAAGAACAACCTCAATTTATATAATGAGAAGGTTGATGTCTTTGAGTGAAGGTGTCTTCGTCTGGTGGTTATATTATTCAAGCTAAAGTTGTTGTTTATTGATTCATGCAAACTTATACTAATCATTAATAATCAATGCCAAAGTATATCTATGCAACTTAAGCAGTAGGCCTACACATCAATTGTTATAAGAAAAAGTATTAACAATTTTTGAAGGAGCAGATGGGGTAGTTTGTATTGGGTTACCAGTATATTTTGGGTTTGTTTCTTCTTAAACCATCCCTCATTTCATACAGTTGTACTACTGTATGTACAAATCAAAACATGTTATTCATGTTATCTAACCAGTTATCTGAGACCATTTTTGGCAGACCAATGTGAAATCGGAGCTTGTAATGTAGCTACATTGAAGCTGAAACGGGTGGTCATCTACAAGAAGATTGTCCACATTAAATGCAGTACGTAGCTGCAGCAATAAAAATTATCTTTGGTTTTTATTTTTCAGTTTTCTTCTGCACGAGATAAAGTATCACAAATTCCTGTTAGCAAGGTATTAGGTCACTTGTACTTGTACTTGTACAGTTGTACTAGCGTATACTCTGAGAGAGCATGCAATGAAAACTCATGATGAAGGATTTGTAGCCTTTGTCTTCCATTTTGCTTGATAATTTTTTAGACTGTGAAAACTTAATTGTGTTCATGCGAAAACATGGTTTTCTTTCATATAGTTTGCTGCTGCATTTAATACCATTCTAACAGAAAAACAGAAATGCAATACATTCCAAGATACAAATAAGAAAAAGCCAGTTGCTCAAAATAAGGAGTTATTTTCACCTGTAAGTATTGTTCTAACAAATTGCAGTGGCAATCATCATAATCAAAAAATTGTAGGGGTTTTGTAAATAAATATGGGTACTTTAATTTGCAATCAATGAATGTACACAGAAAAAGTCAGCAAGAATAATTGAGAAGAGTTCATTTGCACCTTTGTAGATCACATCTAAAACAAAAGGTTCTGTCTCTTCTTGGTTACAAGATCTTGCTGGAAGTAAATCATTGACTGCCCTTGCAAGTCGAAAGGTAAATGTGAACACTGGCTTTTATAGGTTCTTATACAAACTATCGATACTCTTTGAAGAAAGGAAATTTAAACCTGTTCACAAGGAGATATTTATTAATTGCATATCAACTGAAGCGTGAAGATAGCTCTTACACTTAAAGCTTAGTTTATAACTTATGACTCACATCAATAGGCAAAAAAATTCTTTCATGTGTACGGAACTGTGCTAGAGTTTTAGGTTACCAATTAAATGATCATAATTTAAAGACCCCATGAATTCAAGGCCCTGCTAGACGGTGCGATTTTCCATGCAAATTGCAATACAATTCTACTTTTGAGAGATGTAAATTTTGCAGCTACGAAATGTATCATAAACACTTCCTGGTTATTCTGTTATAATTTAATCAGGGTTTGTTTTTTGTTAACAGGTTCCAGTTTTTAACAAGAAGGAGGAACTGTTAAACAGCATTTGCGAACATAATGTGCCTTTGATACGTGCCACTTGGTTTATAAAGGTACAGCACTACATACATACTGTATGCCCTCTTGCCTAGCGCATGCAGGACTGCATGCGCTTAATTTGCATTTATGTAGCTACCTATTGATTACCGAGCAATATTGATTTTTAATTGAAAAAAAATCCTACGTATAAATCGCTTCTACCTTGATATACGAACCATGATATACAGTCCATATTGAGTGTACCTCAAAAAGAAGAGGATGTCGCCATGGGCATATGCGTTGCATGTCATTGTTTATGGTTTAGATGACATCAGCTCATCAGATGGCTTTGATATCGGAGTCGAGAAACAAGAAACGGCAAGCTAGTGATCCAGCTCAAGGTACATGTAATGTCTTTTTCGCGTGAAAAATAGTTTCTTTCGACTTTAAATGTAAAATATACACTACCTAATATACTTAATGTACCAAAACCGAGCAAATTTCCGTAGAATACAATAATAAGACAGATGCGGTACATATTTCGATCTTTCGGGTAATAGTTACAACTTACAACCAACTCAAGCCCTAATGTTCATTCCCCTAATATTCATCGAAACGAACAGTCTTGTTTATGGTCAAAACGAACAGTCTTGTTTATGCATGTTTCATGGTCCGAAATTTCTAAAGTTTAACTCTAACTCATTTAAACCACGTTTAAACTCATTCTTATCTTGCGTCCTTTATAGAATGGACAAGCACCATCACAAAGTACCTGAAAGACCAGTTGAACAAACTGAACGATTATCACCAATCTTACTCACGAATGACGACTGAAACTGAAATACCACAAAAACAATGGCATTATACAGTACGACTCACTGATTGGCTATATGAGGTATTCCCCTGTAAATATGCCAATTTTATTAGCTCTGTTGTTTGCCTTACAGCAGTTAAAGCACTTTGAAAACAAGGATTTAGGCGTATAGTCCGTACCCGTTGTTTGTTTGTTTGCATGTTTCGTTTGCACGATTTAGGTAAAATTTTAAGTAAGTTAGTTTTGCAGTGGTTATTGTATGTACATTCGCGGTAGATTAGGATTAACAGCGTTTTTCGTCGTTGTATAGGAGAATTTGTTGGATCGCCAAGAGTTTTTTCATTGGGTAGTCGAACAAATGGACAAAGTTAAAAATGATGATATAATTTTGAAGCTCATTCTTCCAATCGTACTTAGGGTAAGTGAGTCGTATGTATGAGTGGCTGTTGCCATGGAATCTCTATTTCTTCGAAAATAGTAGGTTTTTGCGTCGATGCGAAAAAAAAGCTGAATAGGGCGTCGAAAGGCAAAAAATTGAGTACAATAATAGGCGGCTATTTGTAGAGTCTTTACTTTTAAAGAAAAATATAGATCATAGACATATTTGGCCAACCTTGCAAAACAGCTGAACTTTAATACATCTCGAGCTTGTAACAAACACGCCCATAAAGCGAAATTGTTTGTGCTAGGGATAGATTTGGTAATAACCCATTTAAAATGAGGTGTTTTAACAACAAAATACTTTTAACGTGCATATAGTTACTTCTTCCCCGTGTCAAAAACTGGCGTAACACGAAGCCCATTTCGTTTTACTGGAGGATTCTCTTTATCTCGATTTAGTATTTGGATCAGATCGTGCACTCGCAGGTCCTCTCGAGAACTCTCGCTTTATACTGCGCGAGAAAGTTATCTGTTCTCCTTTCGGTTGCTGAACAAATGAGAGAAGAGCAGAAGCAAAATCAAACGAATACTTCAACGGCTGAGAGCTCCTCTCCTGCAACAGCAGTTCCGACATCAAAAGCTTCTTCGTCCGAAAGGTAAGTGCGTGCTGTATTTGCATAATAAGACATACATGCAGGGGCTGGTTGTATCAAGCCCGTTTAGCCTAAAAGGTGGATAAGTCAAAATTAAATAACACTCTACATCTCTCTTGAATGAGGCAACTTGAATATTATGCACTGAATATGTAGTTGTGAACAGTATCTTTGTATTATGGTTAAAAACATTTTGTTTGCTTGTTGAATAAAACGATAGACTTGCTTTGCATTTTGAGCTTATCCACCGTTTAAGCTAAACGGGCCTAATACAACCGGCCCCAGGTTCGTTCGACGACATGTTTTATTGTAGAAAACAAATATGCCAATATATACACATGCTCCAAATGTATGTTTATCGGGAATCATCCCGGCCAAGCGGGATGGAGTGTTTATATGGCAATTTCTTGTCCCGTCTAAGCGGGATCCCAGCACTTCTTGCTGGGATCCCGCCTACGCGGTATAAAAAATTGGTCATATAAACAATAATTAGTGTTTAACAAGCGGGATCTCGGAAACTGTCCCGGCTAGGCGGGATCATATAAACAGGCCCTTAGTAAAACACGAAGAACCATCGGTGCATAAATAAAAAGAAGTATATTAAATATTTATTTATGGAAGAGTACCTGGTTGCCGTGTTAGACTCGGGTCTAAATCTGGATGAAATCCCGAATGTCGAAATGTTAGTTTCTTCCCCAACTACCAAATGAGAAGTTTATATAGCTCAAGACTCGTTAATTCTTCGCTACATTCAGGCGAATAGAATTTGCGCGAAGCAAAGAGCAATTGTAGTAAATGAAAATAACACTTCTATAAGAACGCATTTTGAGATAAGGAACATTTTTTCCTAGAAAGCTCGATTCTATAGGCTTGTTATTTTAGCTTTCGAAAGGCGCCTATTTTACGCCTCCGACGGTTCTACAGTAAAGCATTCTATTACGTACTGCTCGGTATTAAATTCGTAGTTGATTGGTTTTAGGACAGAACGATTAAAATAATCTTGAAAATTGCAACCTTTAACGTTGCCAAAAATGCAGATTAGGTTCTCTGGCACAAACGAGTGTAATTGTAATTGTATGCAGTTGTTGTTTTTCATTCTTTTGTATTCAGTTCCTAATTTTAAGACATTTTAAGACAATGTCATTATATTGCAGCGAGAAAGGCAAATCAGCTTTGTTTAGCCCGTACAAGACGTGCGCCCAACATCAGTCTTTGGTGAATGGTCTTTCTTGTATACTTCAAGTAATCACGATCTGCTGTCCAGGGGCATTGATTTGGAACTCGGCGGTGGCGAACGTTTCCAAACCAGGATCGTCTGGCGACCAATCGAAAAGAAATTCGTCTGGTTCTGCTCTGGATAGGTTGGGGATGTCTCCCTCTGAACTACCTTTGCCGTCTGGATTAACATCGCCTGTGCTTAGTAAACAGGTACATGTAAGATATACCAATATTCCATAAGCGCATTAATATTCCATTAAACTTACTACGTATAGTTTTCAATTTAGTTTATTGCTAGGGAAATGGTCCATTCATATTAATCTGACACTGATGATAAAAGGATCCGTCATCCCCTCGCGTCTTCGTGTTTTTTTGACCGAAGTTCTATTCCAATTTTACCATCCAGCCAACTTGCACTAGTTGCGATGCAATATCATCCAATTTTACTGCCCAAAATACTTCCTTTACAACAATTAGCGCCTGTCCTATATAGGGGATCCACAGTGTCTATGTTTTATCGACTATATGAAGTATTACATTCGTATCAATCCGACACTGAAGCAACTATTGCCTCGATCTGGATTTGAACACGCATTTCTCGGTTTGCGCACCTCTACTTAATGATTACCATAACGCATCATTATCAAGATGAAGGCATGTCGATTATGGCTTTGTGAGCAAAAATAGGACGGCATGCGAACAAAACTCATTGGAATTAAGGAAGTCATTACACAATAAGTTGAAACGGTTAAAATTTCAAAATTGCTTTTCAATTTCAACTCATTGAAATTCAAAGAAATGATGCCCTTGAACGCGTAGTACTACATAATAGTTCCGTAAAGATATACTTCCAATTGTGCCAGATCCTCAATTTTAGTGTTTTACCTAAATTTAAGAATTTTGTAAATCACCTGTCTAGATCGAAAATCTTCTTGTGTTAAAAGAGGAAGAAATAAAAGCTCGAAGTAGGGCTGTCGAGAAACGATGGGCTGTCGATTGCAACAAAAGCACTGGTAAGTACATTTAAGTCAACTAGTTATCCGTTAAAATGTGTCTACGATTTTGGATTTGAAAGATTTCTGTATTTAACAATATCTATACCAATTTAGAGAACAATCCAGCCTCTTTGACTATTTTTAATGAGTTACTTATTTCCACGGGCTTCATTGAAACATTGTTCAATTTGAATGGAGAATTTAATGCTGCCATGCATGATATGTTTTGTGTAAACCATATCTAATGTAACCAAGGAAAAATGTACTGTATAAAATTATTTTATTATCTATTGTAGTAATGGAGGTCAGCAAGCTTCTGGAGATTCTTGATTATCTCGACGAGGAAGATCAGAACAAACCTATTTCTGTTGATGAACTTTATACAAAAATATTTGGAAGTTTTCCTGAAGATTGTTCGAAGGTCAGAGAATATTTTTGAATTTCGGAACATTTTAATTTTTTCACAAACTATATTTCATTATGTATACTGTTTCATGACAGAAAAACTTCAGATTTCAGGTGATGCTTTTCTAAATTTTAAATTTAATACTTGAGTAAAACCCGTGAGAAACACTTGTATGTGCAAAGTATCATAGTCTAACTCTTAACGACAATCTAAAACTATAGTTCTGTATGTATTTAAAATCTGAATCATCGTGTACTCTTCTCCCCATCTACCCTCCTGCCACGAGAATTTTGCAAGGTTTTAACCGCATTTTTGTTGCGTACAATGAAGAGATAACGGACTGGTGAGAACTTTCTTGTTTTCGAGTCTTCAGGTATCTCCAATGGACGAGGCTGTAACTATACTTCTTATACAATGGGCAACAACTAACCACCGCATTGGAAAACACAGAGCTGTCATTGTAGCGAGGTTGATAAAAAAGAGACAGTGTGAACTTCGTGACCAGGTGAGAGAATCTATCATGGATGACATCGTTGTCTGTGGTGGACGGTATTGTTATATAAGGTTAATTTTTGAACGCGAGTTCGTAAAAAAATTCGTAACCAAATTATTACTAACAACCCACATGAAGTACTTCATAGGTGAATTAACAGAAATAGTGGTTCGATATGGCATGCTGTGACACTCAATGTGCATGACAGTGCAATGTATTGTGATGTGTATTTTTAGCAAGATCAAACCGACGGTGCGGACGAAGAAGACGAAACGTCATCAAAAGCCTCACAAGCTGCGTCGAGTACTCTCTACTTCCAGAATGTTGCTTTGAAATATCTGGATCAGTATGCACCAGTTTGGGGTACGTCCGTGTTCATATGCATGCCTTTTGCTTTAATAGAACTTTGTAAAAAATGCAGCACAGGTCACAACCTCGCAAGCCAGGCTTTTCTGCCTTCGCATTCGTCAGTAATATATACATTTCGGAGAAGTGTTACCACCACTGAGCTGCGGGTAATACATTAGTAACTCTTCGTCTGGTTGTTCGAAGACCTTTTATATTATTGGCGAAAGACCTTTGCTCAATGATAATACATTAGGCAACTTAAAATATTTTCCCTGGATTTTCGTGACTTAATATTTCGATATTTTCCCGACTTATCCACTTGGCTTTTGGCTCGCTTGACTTTTGACAATACTGTAGTATGTCTCGTAAAGTGTATCTATTTGAGATCAATTTATTTGTTAAAACGGAGAATGAGAGTCCGATATAAGCACGAACTAGTCTTAATTACTAAATTGGATATCTAAACGAAATAATAATAATAATAGTGGAAAGTAAGATTGAAATTTAGATCTAAAAAGTTTAATTTTCAATGAAAGTACATATGTCATGCATGCGTAAGATGCAGCTTGGCCCCTGGTGAGTCGAACATACGTACAAATACATCCTCTCATGCATCCCACTTTTTGCTTGCCCTAAACAGGTGATGAGGAACAGAGTGACAGTAGCTTCTGTCAACTGGTTATGTTATATGGTGAGCTCATCCGACTGGATGTATTCTCCCACAATGCATATTTATGTACATTGATATCCCGAGGTGATCTTGAATCCACAACCAGTTCCCAATCTACCTCGGAAAACACCACGGCCACTCAAGATAGCTCCGTGAAACTGGAAGGAAGCAATACGGAATTATTACAGGAGACGATCATCGAGGTAAAGGCTTTAATCAGTAGATGAAACTAAGCATATAAAAATAAAAGACGAAATTCACCAATGCTTTTTATAAAAACCATTTGCTAAAATCTTTACTAAACTCCAATTAACTAAACGTCACAAAAAACGCACTAAAAAACGAGGTGTTGTAAACTCGAAGTACTTTAGCTTCTGAAAAAAGAAACAATTTTTTAGCGATAATTTCATTTGGTTTTGCCGAAGACTCTAAAATCGTGGCGAATTATTACACAAAATATAGTTGTCGTAATTTCTCTCAAGCTCATTTCTAAAGCTTCAAAAATATTTGGAGTTTTTTTCATGCATGTGGAGTTGCCTATAGTGCATGATATCTAGAAGAGAAAATCGTACCCGAAAGGGGTACTTACGATGACGCAGTTTCCTATGAACGCATTCAAGGTGATTGTTAGGTGTAGCCTTTTGTTGTGTCCCGAAAACGATGGGATAGTTTATTCCTGGCATTTATTGTCTCGGGAAAACGGTGCACAAAGTTGTAATAAGCACCGATTCTTGTTGACAGGAAAGTCACCGTTCATCAGAACAGCTGGAACTGGATCAGGAATTGATGATGCATCGGGAACAGTTGCAGAAATTGTTTTCTCAGGATGAACCACCAGATGACGGTCTTGTCTCGCCTTTTGCAGGTATTCCATGCAGCGCCCTTGCGGTTAACTTCTACTGATGGCCTAAAGAAGTTTAAGCTGGTGTAAATTTCTGAATGAATAATCCAAATATTATTTAACAGTTATTCTGCGAACTTGAGTCGTATATGAGCTTATTATATACACAAACTTTGTCGCCCTTTCGGTGCATTTTGGTGTGCTATTATCAACTAAAGCTTGGATTTCTATTTCACTCAACTCCCCAAATCTTTCAGCCATTTTGTTTACTTTCTCTACTAGACAGATATCAGCTAATATCTGTCTAGTAGCCAACCAATGAAATTGCAGCATACCTCATATCTGGCGTTTGTGTATATAATAATAACATATATAATCATTGCCTTCTTTGGTAAAAGCAAAAGAACCGACATTAACAATTTTTTGCCTATTTATTCACTAACATACCAACCAAGTTTGAGCTTCTATGTTTGACCAGCGGTAACTCCATTCAGTTTTTTGGGGGGGGGCGTTGGCATTGTGCAAAAACCCAGAAAATCTTTAAATGTTATATTTAAACAAAATGCCGTTATAGAAATGAGTATCTATGTACACCATCCCCTCTTCCATTCTTGAAAACGCGTAGTCACATAATTCAAATTCAACGCTTGTTCATGGGAGCTCGTACACAAATAGCCAAATAGCTGAAACTGCCAAAACACACTTTTACAAGGGCTGTATTTGTTTCATCACGTGTGCAGTCTACTACAGGGTGTCTTAAAAAACCAGGGTGTTTGACATTCCGTAATATACTACATATATAATAAGTCTAAAAATTAAATATCAGGGTTACATTTAGCTCCATTTTGCCATCTCGTAATGACTAGAAATAACCAAATATAATCATTGGTTAAAAATTCAGTTATTCCACCGGTTGGAGTTGAATGGCATACAGACAGTATACTTATTGGCGTATAAGCACGAAGATCACGTGATAAATTCGAATTTCCTTCGCTTCAGTTTGATTCAAAGAACGGATTTTTAATATTTTAAAAGTTTTCGTATAACGTACTGTTGTCAAATCTATAAAGTCCCATCAATAAGCTACTATGGTCTGTTAATTTCGCTATTTTCAGACACCCTGCATGCAGTTCTAGAAAATAAAAACTTGTGGTTTGTTTTAAGAGAACTTTCTATATTTAAATTTCATTTACGTAACTCTATTTTACAGCTTCTTCTGGGTTTAAATTTGACGAATTCAGAAGCGAAAAACCCAGCAACACCAGCGTTTCCACTGAGCAAGCACCGAAACCAAAAGAGAAATCACGACACGATCTTTACGTGAAGCATTTCCCGATAATGAAGGAGGAAAACAGTCACGAGCTAAATCAGCGTCTGGTGATGTTGTACGGTGTGGGAAAACCACGAACAACGGCGATAAAGACGATCAAGGATTTTGGAAAGGAACTCGTGAGCTTTCTTAAGGAACTTGGGGAGTTTGACGGCAGTGATCTCGAGGATGCTAAAATGAAACATTTAGTAGAAAAGAAACATTCGTTATACAGGTACTGTAATGTGCCACGATTTTCCTTGACATGCAGTCAGGGACGAAACTATAGGGGTAGGGAAACGTTTTAACGCTAGTTATTCCCGCGAAAAACAAAAAAATATGGCTCGCAAAAATCAACAAATGTGGCTATCAGAAATATCAACTAAATTTCCACAGAGATTTGAACTTATTTTAAAAAGAATTGACTTGATAAAAAGAAACGACGCAGTATTCTTTCTCTTTAAAAATATACATGAAAGATATTGCTATTTAATAAACGTCATGCTTTTTCAACGAAAAATATCATATATAGCTAATTGAGCGGTCGAAGTTGCATGGTCTCGACTGATAATTTGTCGTGCAATCAATTACGGATATACATTAAATAGTAATCTACTTACTACAATTGATTATCGAGAAAACTGCATGTATAAAATCTGTATGGGGATAGGAACAAGGAGAATCCTCAACATGAACATGTTTGTGCACCGACCAGTCATATAAGGTAATTTGGAGTATACATGTACTCTTATTTTCTAGAAAGTTTCGCTCATTTCCGATATTTGATCAATGCTCATGGGTGGCCAAGTGCACAGGATATTTAAAAGAAATGGCGCACAGTGGCAGTGGAAATTATGGAATGTCGGAGCATTTCCCGACGTATGGCCAGCTTTCCTTCATCGTGGATCTTCATGACATGTGCAACAACATCCCGGACCTATTGGACTTCCTTGTCGAATTTTTAGAAGTAAGAAACGAAGTGTGCTTCAATCCCAACGTCCCGCAGGAGACGTCCGTGTACGGAACACTCCCTACGAAATCTCTTCTCGTGCTGGCTGCATTGCAAAAACACCAGTCAATTCTACTGCTCGATCCTGAGTTAGCGTTGAAGACCTTTTTTGGGTAGGATTATTAATTGAAGAATTCATATTACAGGATAAATCTCTATCATTTACGTAAAAATCACTGTTATTGTATATATATATAGTGATTATTTTATCGATATTTTGGCGATATAGTTTATAACGTATTAAAACCTGTACTTAGGTCAGAAATTGAATGAATTTTATTGTAGCTACCGCTTTAGTATATCATATTACATAAAAGCCATGATTGAAGTCACAGTGTATACATTTTATGACAGGTTACTTCGGACTGTGGAGAATATTTCCGATCCAGCATTTTGTACGTCGACCGAGCGATGTATTCTGACATATCTCTATCACCTATACACAAGTTGTGCATATGTGAAGGTTAGTCTAGGGCCATGCATTACGGGTCTAACCGTACATTGGTGTGGCGTATTACTGTACCTACCATTGACAAAGATATGCATATACATTCCTCGAAATTTTCATCGAAATTTTCCTTTCATTTTTGTATACTTATATAGAAAACCTGCATGTGCATTTTGAAATTATCCCCATTCATTCTCAAGGTACAATTGTGAAATTCGATCAAAGACAAATTATTCCTATTCTTTTAGAGCAAGTCGTTTCTCAGTTTTGATACGGCTTGCAATCGGATCAAGGAAACTATTTGTTATTCCACATCTTCGCTTGTAACTCAGGGAATGACCTGGGATTCTTCATCGTCCTTTCTGGATTCTTTTCTAGAGGACTCGAGGTACAGTAGCTGCACGCACGTTTTTATATCGCAAGTTTAGTTGTCGAGCAAAAACCTTCTACCATTATGTTGTACTGAACAGAACGCCGGAAACATGTACAGTAAAGAATCATCTCATACGTTTATCCTTAAAGTGGAAGTGAAGTCCGTTGTAAACAAACAGTTTGTTTACATTTTGCATGAACTTCTATACATGAAATACGATGTGCTGTCTGAATATCTGACAACATTTACTAGTGATTTTGATGAGAAAAAATCGAAACATGCGAAATTTGGCCAAAATATTTATCCTAGGACCTCACGTTGTTATGAACAGAACGGACTTGACTTTCACTTCAACTATTAAAATGGATTTCCCCTTTGTTATATTTTTAATAGAAGGGAGAAACTGGACATAATTTGGAAGCAAATTATGGTACAAGAAAATGTTGTTCACATGTACAGTTTGGTTTGCAACGCGTTTGTGAATGTTTGCATGTGTCAAGACAGAGAAAGGTTTGCTTTACTTATCAAATGATAGAATTGATAATACCTTGCGGATGTCCTGTGAGAAAGGTGTAAGACAAGAAGTTTAGAATTTTGCGAATTGCGAGTTACATGTAAATTTCTTATTACTAAAACGTTAATTGCCCATTGGACACTGATTACTTAATAACCTGGGGCCGGTGGTTCGAAAGGCGTTTAGCTTTAAGTACTCACAAATCTTGTGAATGAATGAACCTGCATCTTATGCATTTAATATGTGCTTCCATTGAAAATTAAACTATTTACATCGAAATATTTCAGCTCAGTTGTTTAATAAATAGATAATTTTTTTCCCATTTTGAACTTATCCACCGTTTAAGCTAAACGCCTTTCGAACAACCGGCCCCAGGGGAATTTTTTTTCGGAAGAATTCGCATGCACGAAATCGCCTTCAAGTTAGTTGCGCTGACGCACCGTGGGCGTCAGGGATAGTGTTTGAAGTTGCCGTGGACTTATACTCGCAATATCGCTTGATTGTAGATTGTATGACATTGGCGTCCTGTGCGCAGAAATAACGGCTCATTTCAGAGGTTTGTCTTCGCAGTGGATAACAGCCGTGAAAGCATTTTGCTATTCTACGGGCAGCACCGACAAAGGATATGTGGAACTTCTGGAGGAAATTGATGTAAGCATTGTATATGCAACGTTTGAATACACCAGTGCGACGATTTGTTTTTTGAAAATTTATAGGGAAACGGGAACGAGTACAATTAAGGATGAAAATGTATAAAAAAATGTTTTCTGTTTTTATCTATCACTTTGTTTTAAAACTTTTACCGGCTCCAATTTTACCAGAAAAAACCAGAGAATACTTTGTGCAGGTTATTTTCATCCCTGAACCTCGTCAAGTCATTTGCATCGCGAGATTTGGGTATTGTTTACATTAAAGTGCAGTGCATCCACTTAGCAAATTTATGAACTCCTGGATATCTTACACTCGACAGCTGAATGGTAATAATTTCATGTCCTGAATCCACGAATATAATTCTTATTAATTCTAATCCTTTAGTATATAAGTAGTTGGGAAGGGTTAGGGTCAGGTTAGGAATTATATTCGTGGATTCCGGACATGAAATTTTTACCATGCAGCTAATTCATGTTATTCCACAGAGTACATCTCAGCCTGTGTCTCTCAGTTGCGAAACACCAAACGTATAATCACGAAATCAGTCTGGACTCGATCTATTCTCTTTGTTTATATAGATCAGCGAATCCTCTACTCACGAATGTATTTGTCTATTCACATCTCTGCTCCTGTCAAGAAGTTGTTTCTCGCTTGATGATCTTATATGTCATGCATTGCTGCCGGCGTTGCGTGACGCTGTTGATTCAGGTAAATGCACGGCGTTCTGAGGGCGAATTTATTCGCTCTGAGGGCGAAATAAGTTCAGCCAGCATATGAAACTCTTGTGGTACATAAAAAATGTGGCATTTGGTATGAAAAAGATGCAAATTATTATGGTAAACAAAACGGTGTTATCAGGCAGTATTCCCGCCATGCGTGGTACTCGCATGCATTGTGGAAGACACGATTCAACGTTGTCTTTCCTACTAGGTAACAAAGTGATCCCAGAAGCAGAGGCAGGTGCTCAGTTGACGTGTCAGTTACTGTACAGGTTATTAGATCGTTCGCAAGCAGCCTCCATATCGCCGTATGTAAGTGACAAATACTCGTGCGAGACTTCGCCTGATGGAATTCTGCTGTCAGCTGCGAAGGAAAACGTTCAAGTTGGTGTCATCCTTGATGCCTTGAAAGCAATCGTGAAGTTCTCGGACGCTGAAAGCCGTACGTATATGCATGGTCTCAGAATGAACAATAATTGCGAGTGTAATGATTGTCAAATATTTTATACTTTTGCTAGTAATTTCGATGCAAACATGATAGTTTCTTGAAAGAATACAGTCCTGTCAGACTTTTATCCATTATTTTGTACCTATTATTAATTATTAATTGAATAATAATTCAATATTATTAATTGTACTACAGTACAATTGATGAAATATTTGTACTCCTCTCGACCAATCAGCATCCATCCTTAAAACAACAATGCTTATATGACATTATTTTATTGAAGGGATGTCTGAGCCTGAAACAAGCTTAAATAGCAACGATGATTTGTTCCGTAATTTCTTTAATGGCATGGATGATCTCATTGACGTTGTGCCAGGCCAATCGGGAGACGTCTTTTCTTCGTCACTGATGTCAACTAAATCGGGTAAGACACTCACAATGCATTATTCCATCCACATTTGACGAAAAGTGCAAAACTACCGCAAAAATTGCAAGCATATTAAGTACCCTGTATTACAGCGGATATATAGGCCCTTCCGATAGTTATTTAGCTAAATAAAAACTTTATTCTAAGTTTTAACCTCTTGAGCTACTTGACGCAAAGATCTCAAAGGGCTCTTAGGCATGGACTTGCATTGAGCCTTGTTTTCGCCTTAAAACGTCTTTCATGAGGTGGTCATAAGATAAAACAATGAAGTTGTGACGTAATTACTGGAGGTATGCGCATGAGAATTATTGGGTTATTTGCTGACACTCGGGTAATTAATTTATATATTTCCAGTTATCGAGAATACCAATGTGTGTTCGTATGCAAGTAGCATTTTGCAAAAGCTGTGTAGTCAAGACTGGTTGAAAGAAAAATGTCTCCGAGATGACAAATTACTCTTTTCGACAGAAGGTCTTCTCGATCCAAATATGACGGATGTTCAGGTATACAGGCAAACTCGCAGAAGTGTTTAAAAGTGAAAGTTGTAATTGGTAGATTAAAAACATTCATCCTTGCTGCCACTAGTGTGAAACGCGGGCTAGATTGAAAAACCAAGCCTACCTAATCCTAAAATGTCTTGCTCTAGGCTAAAAAACTTCTTCATTTAATGTGCCATCCAAATAACTCGGGTCAGAGTTTCGGCGTCACAGTTGATACATTCCCGTCATCTTCTGCTCTTGAAATGGAGGCCTATAAAGAGACAGCGAATAAAATACTCAAGGTTAGTTAACTTTCCATATCTTTATATTAGCTACATAATTATTAAGTATAATTTTTTCTCCTTTTTTGCACAAAAGTATTATGCATTTATTCGTGCTATATAGAAATAGCATGGAAAAATACTAAAAAGTTATCTGTGATAAAGCTATATCATAAATAATGTAACTACATTTGTTTTGTGTTTCACTTTTTCAGAATCTGGACCAGTGGTCATTCCGCAACTCGTCGTTGGAGCTTTTACTTTTGCTGAGTAAAAGTGAGAAAGAGGTATGGGGCGGATATATTTCATTTGGTTTTCTTCAGTTTAATGTCTCGTTTACGTTAATTAACCTAAACCCGTTTTATTATATCGCGAAACGGCGCATATAATAAACAAATGGGCAATGACCACGTTTGGATTCAGTCCATTTTCAGACGTTTTAGGCTCTTGAATCTTTACAAATGTCTATGCAAATTATCCAGACCGATGAATCATAAAAAAAACACATTAATATTTTATCGCATCATGGAACATTTTGCCTTTTGTCATTTCGTACGAATTTTTTGTTGCAGAAAACGGACGCAATTGTAGACTCAATTTCATCAGTGTCCTTGAATCTGTTCGTCGAACAAGGCGATTGTTCGAAGTTGATTGCAAAGAAAAGCGAGAAAAAGGATGAGTTTGATAATGGTGCCGAGTTCTTGGTTGAACCGATGCTGAAGAAACTGTCGCACGGCTTGCATAGTCGCATTTTAAAGACAGCGTGTAATGTCCTTGGGGTGAAAGGCTGGTGGAAGGACAAAAAAGGTTATGGAGGGTATGTTGGGATTTTTTATTGTAATCGAAGTAAGGACTTCATCCTTGGAACCACATTGGAGACCTGCCTCTACCCCGCCCCCTACCCCTCTTTATCTCACGAAAAGATTCTATCCCCACCCTCCACCGCGACCTTTATTTCCTATTTTTAAAAACTTAAATGATTTAAACCTATTTTAGTTTTCCGAGCAATGATTGTTAACAAAATGCGAGCTTCCTTAGACGATCGTAGCTTACATTCATTTCCACGTTTTGGGATGGTTTTCATTCAATTTAACATTGTTATTAGCAATTCATCGTTTTTTATGATTCAAGCGTGCACATGAGCAAAGCTATTGTTAAGTATCGATGGTGATTTTCGAAATGTCGATAATCTGGGGATACAAGGAGACCTTCCTGTCAATCTCAAAACCAGAGCCCGCTATCGATCGGGGGAACGACTCCTGCCGATCCATCGGGGAATGACATATCAATGCACTTAGGGAAGGTTAAGGCAAACAAAAGGCGTAGAGAACTTGGTCATTTCCGATTTTACTGGCCTCCTCGTGTTCCTATTACAGTCCTACCCAGAATTTGCATGCCCACGTGACTTGCATTATCTTTCTCTCAAATAATGGCGTAAATTTTTCAGGTCGAGTTTAATTCATACGCAACCTTTTCTTCAACTTATATTGTCATGTCTGCAAACTCTGAGCGAACAGCGGGAGACGTTATTGGCATCGCTTCTGCGACAGTTTCAAGATCTTCTTGAAGCACCCGCGAAGGTAACATTTAGGATACGTGTATAAAGCTTGCTTTTCTGGGGCTGTGTTTGAGTATTTTTCATGCTGTGGACTTGCAATTGTTTAATTACATTAATTAATGACAAGCACGGGTGTGCTTACCTGGGGCCGGTTGTATAAAACTACATTTTCATAGTTGAAAGGAAGTTTAGTCAGAAATACACAACTCTGATACGCCAATTCTGTCCTTACCTACAGTTAAAAGTTAACTAGTCTATTATACAACTGGCCCCTGAAGGGCTAGTCTGAATGGGGAAACATGTGCATGTTGACCCCCAGTGCAATCCTATATTACCACGCACCAGCACCCTATATAGCTCCCATACTTGGCAAACTGCATGATGATACGGCCCCAGTATTGACATAGAGACATCTGTTCTTTTCCAGGAAGGCCATCCCGTAGAGAAAAGCGGCAAGTTATTTCTCCAGGAAGCTCTCGATCTAAGACTGAGATTGGTAAAGTATAATTGTAGTTTCTAATTCATTTGCATATTCAGCTAATTTAAGAAAGGGTGTCCTTTATTAACATTGAAAATGCATTTTTCCACAATATTTTTCAATAGTTATTTTAACCAGAATTTCAGTTGTTGATTCCTCGATATTACTTAGAATAAATAGAATAAAATATACACAGCAGCAATCTTTTGGATATCGAATGCAAACTCTATTAATATGGCAACTAACATCGTAACTAACTTCTTTTCGTGTGAAAGATAAGATAAATATAATAGCAATCTATTTGACATTAACATTAACATGTTTGGAAATCTGTATGCTGAAAGCCTGGTTAAAAAGTATAATTTTATTAGACGATGCATTGAATATATAAGAAATCCCTTTAATACATAACAAATGAAAATGCATGCAAATCTGATTAAATAGAGCTATTTTTCGCATAAACCATAAGATATATTCCTTTTGTATACCAAGTCAGGATGTTCTATCTCGTCCAATGCTTAGCTAATGCCTTGGTGAATACCTTGTTCATGATATAATCTTAATCGGCTTTTTACCTTTTCCCAATCAATTTTCGTGTTTAGTACGAATTCAATCGCAAAAACTGTAAATTGTATTTTGTAGGTAGGAGTAATGTTTGACTCCATTGCAAACCCAAAAAACCTACAGATGGCAACCGAATGGAGTGCCGTGCTGTTTCATCTCATCAGTAGTGGCATTTTATCCACAGATTCGAGGTACAATTGATGTTAATGTATTCCATTTCCACGGGTGAAGGGGGTTGACATTATTGGTACAAAGATATTGTTGTAAGAATCCCTTGCCGTGAGAGATGAAATAAACATTGCAAAAATCTATTTCTTTGTATTTTGCATGTGCCCGCTAAGCTTGCCGAGGGCAAGTTCTGCCCCCCAAGGGCAAGTTCTTTTTTGTTAAAAGCCTAATTATTTATGTTAACTTCGTGTAGCAAGCACTATACAAATACTCTTGACATGTTGTCGGTTCTAATCAACGTTATCACATCGACGGAGTCAACAACGAACCAGCTAGCTGATGATGGCAGAAAGTTTAGCACTGGATTATTTAAAAAGATGAAGGTAGAAATTCTTACAACATTCTTGCTTGTCACTGCGAGTAGGCCATATCTATTATAATGCCACAGCTTAATTAATTAACAACCATAAATTTTCAACTGCGATTGAAGATTGTCTGGCCTTAACACTCACTATTGAGAAATAACGAGGCCTTAATTTTTTTTAATATTTACAAAATTTAGCGCATGCTCGTAGAGAATCCTCGTGATATAGAGAATTGCAAGCAGTTGCTGCCGTTTCCTGGCCGCTCTATTGAAGTTGTCACTGTTGAGAAAAGTCAGCAAAATGATTTTTCGATCGTGTCTGAATCCCAGTCGTCCTCATTAGAAAATGAAGAAACAAACGAGGTGAGATTGCTTTTGAACGATGAGCGGCTGAAAGTATTTTTTTCCTATATCGCATTATCTACCTTATACCATGCATCTTAGGGATTGCAAGTGAAAGGACGACAGAAGATTAGCCCGTGGGATTTGATTGAAGGACATAAGAATCCTGCTCCAATGTTGTTCTCATGGTTTGGTGCCGTGCGACTTGAGCGAAAACCTTTACCATACCAAACAGACCTGCCCCGCAGTCAACATCATAATTTTGTGAAACGAAAACCCTTGAGTTACTATCTCAATCCACCAGACGACTCCGATGAGGAGGGCGTGGATTTACCTTCCGGAGTTAACTCACCTGGAAAGCAACAGAACACTCTCGAACCAAAAGGTAGTTAATTTATATAAATTACGTGCTATAGGTAGAATTGCTGGTATCATATATATATATATATATATATATATATATATATATATATATATATATATATATATATATATATATATAAGTTGAAGCGGAGACTGATTCGTTTTATTTCTGGCTATGTCGTGCTTTTGTGTAGGTACGGGGAGACCTTATAACTCGATGACTAATCTGAGCGATGCCGTTAAACGAGAGAGACTGGAACCATGCCAAGTAGGACTCGAATCTCATATCAGTGATGACCAGTCCAAGCCAAAACGAGCAAGAAAAATGGCGAGACCGTTACCACAATTACATTCACAACAACAGCAGCATGTACAACAACCGCATTTACAACAACAACAACAGCAGCAACAACAGCAACAGCAGCAACAACAACAACAGCAGCAACAACAACAACAACAACAACAACAACAGCAGCAACAACAACAGACAACATCAACAACAACAACAACAGCAACAACAACAACAGCAGCAACAACAACAACAACAACAACAACTTATTCAACAGCAACAACAAATACAGCAACCGCAGCAACAACAGAAACAACAACAGGTTATAAACTTGCATCAACAGCAGCAGCAGCAACAGCAATTACAAAGTAAACAGCAGCCAAACCTCGTCAAATTAAATGCTCAAATACTTCCTCAATCGGACCGTCCTTACCCATCGCATAATCCGGTACAATCGCAAATAGACAGTCGAAGGTAAGCTTTTTGGCACCAAGATGTTTTTAGCCCGGACTTAATCGTCGTATCATAGCCAATGTACGCACAGGAAACTTTTTTGAATCAGACACCTGCACTATGGTTAAAACCGGAAAGCATTGTATTTGTACACAGGCTGCCTTATATATCGTATTTCTAACATTAAAATGATTTTTGTGTTGCAATACCAATCACCCGACTCTAATAGTCCTTTTCAGCTTGTATGCAAATTAACCATTTCAAATCACATGGTCCGAAATGGTTAAATTTTATAGGCTATTCCATATTCACAACATCTGAAATGGGTTAATTTGCATGCGAGCTGAAACGGTCTATTGAATATAATGATTTCAATGAATCTTTTTTAGGTCGTTTTTCCACGTACCAAATAGAGCGCTTTAAAACTCGGTACTCGTTAGAAATTGGTGTTTTTGATATATTTTTCTCGAATGATGACAGCATCATAATGATACGAAAAATATATTAAAAACACCAATTAGTAAGAAGCACAAACGGTCCGTTTCGGTGAAACATTATTTTTTTTGCAATATTCTTGTTTTCGCGAAATATTATCGGAACGTTTAATTTTCTGATAGCTGATTTCGTTCCTAATTAACAGTTCGTCTTGCTGAATTGCTTTTGTGAGCACTTAGTTTGCCAATGAGCATGTGACAAACCAGTGGTAAAATCAAGATTTGAGAAAAACGGTGTGTTTATATAATCGTGTATGGAAGGTGACAACTTTATATTTTATACAGGCTTCAAAGACCGCAAGGTGGCCAATTTCCAGTTATATTATTGCCCAAGTCACAAAGCGATTCTCTGCAAGCCCAGCGCCCTGGCGGAGTTCCTACTATATATTCAAACAGAGGCCAGGCGAACAAGCAGATCGCGCCGAATGTAAAACTGGCTCCAAATCGAAGAATTCATGTAAGTCCACCATTTTCTCAAATTGATCATAACAGAAATATGGTGGTTAATTGTTTATTTTATACTGGAATGCATCGCTGTCAGTAATCGTTTAATTAAAGAAGCCGGGTTTTTTGTAGATTGACGAGTCATCGATGCAGCAGTTAATACAACCTGGACAGGGTTTCACATTAAGTCACGCGGGATTGTCGGTTACGTCCAACACAATGGCTGGTACACCGTCGGCCCCGAATACATTCTCCTCTCAACCATTCTCAGGTTGGTCTCGATTAATCAAATTCTGGTTTGTTATTTAGCATAGGTAAAATTTGTATCTCATGCATGCACGAGAAAAAAATAGTTTCAGTAAGCTAGATATATTTAGTCTTTGAATGCCCTGGTTTTAAATTGAAATCGGGGGTTTGTACGTTAAAGAGCAAAATTTGTTCAAACCAAACATCTTTTTTATTGTACGGGTTAATAAACAAACATGCAAACATGCATTCATATGCCTTTCCTAACTCAACTTTTTGGACGAAGGTCTGTACTGTATGTCAGAATCTAGTTTTGCGCATGGTATATTTTAGGTAGAAATTGAACAGATTTTTGCGGACGGTAAGATGCATTAGGTAATGGTAATTCTTCTTGCTGTTTCAGGTACGAACAGTGTTCAAACATCTCAACAGCTGAACCTTCAACAGTCGCAACCACTAGCTCATCAGAAATCTTTAAATCAGGAAACGATGCAACAGTCGTTCATAATGTCACAACTCAACGCTTCCCAAGCCACCACGCCTTTGCAACATCCAATGACGTCCACATCACTACGTCTTAATCCAATGGCTGCCGTCCAGAAACAGTTCACTCAGGCTGCTGGAATAACTCTGATGTCAAATCTTCTTCGACAGAATCCAGGTATGTTATCCAAACGGTGGAAGGGGAAAGCGCATCTCATCTCATCTCATTTCATCTTATCTCATCTTATTTCATCTCATCTTATTTCATCTCATCTTATCTTATTTTATTGCTTGGAGTTTGAGGAGCTTTGGAGTTCCGATAAATATTTGTTTACAAAATTGTTCTATTAGAAGATATATATTCCATGGACCTCCTATAATTTTCGGTGGAAATGAATTTGGAGACACTTCTTATCTAAATCCTTCTCTTCCATTCTTTGTCATTCAGAGTAAATTTCAATTGTTTCTATCCTCGGTAAAAAAATTTTACACGAAAACACAACTTTCACTGACTTCCATTTTCAGCCGCTGGTGCGAGTCCTGCCACCTCACAAGTAAATCTTCAGCGCCAGATGTCGGCGCCTGCAAAAATGACTTTACCAGTACAGCATACGAGCGAAATAACGTTACAAGGACAAATTTCACAATCTCAGAACATAAACCAACCCGCACAGAATCAACAGTATTCTAACTTTCAACCACCGTTCCAGTAAACCAGCTTTCTATTATGATAACAATAACTGAGGGTCCTGTTGTATCAAGCCCCTTTAGCTTAAACGGTGAATAAGTCAAAATTAAATAACACTTTTACAACTCTCTTGAATGAGTTAACTTGAATATTATGCACGGAATATGTAGTTGTAAACAGTAGCTTGATATTAAGTTCAAAAACGTTTTGTAAAATATAACGGCAGACTTGCTTTCTATTTTGAATTTATCCACCGTTTAAGCTAAACGGGCTTGATACAACCGGCCCCTGCTGTGCAGGTACTCGTGAAATTCCGCCAAGTGCAAATAGTGCAAAACAGGCTTTTGGGCGCTTTTTCGCCACGAGGAATTTTTCGTTGCTTGTTGTGAAAAATCTACCGAAGCTGCTTCAGTTGACCGTGAAAAAAATCCTTCGAAGCTCGATCAAAAAATTCCATGGGAAAATGTAAAAATCTTCTTAAAGAAAGTGTTGTAAAATATAGTAGCGCGTTCAGGTAAGATATATCCAATGATTTCCTGCCAATGGAAAACTGGAACAGTATGAAATTATAGCCGGCACACTAATTTTGTGCAACAAATTCAGGGGCTAGTTGTTCGGTATATGAGTGAAGCTATCAATTGGATAGTTTTTTTTTCATCCGTTGTAAAAATCCTTTAAAAAGCGATAAAGCTAAATATATCAAATTTATAATATTTTCACTTTAAAATTGTAAAGTTCAATCAGTGGGTCGTGCTAAGGCCCTTAGTTTATCCACATCACTCCAAAAATTATGCTCCGGACCGGACCGAACGGTATGGTTTCTTTTGTGTTGGTGTCTTAAAACAATTAGTTTTGGTTGAGAACACATGGATAAATGAAACTTTTCTGTTCGATACGGTCGGCGTTAGATCATATCGAACTAACGTACATGACGTCATAAATTTTGCAATAACGGAAGTATAATAACAGAAGTCTTAAATGAAGTCTTTCTAGAGCTGGTTCATAAAAATGATAAAATAAATATGGCGATGAATGATGATACATTTATAAATTTATAAATGTACACGAAAGTGTAAATGTCTGTTACCCTCATACCCAGTATAGGAGTGATCATATACTTATGTAATAGTATCTCTGGCTTTACCTTAATTATAGTTAGGGTTAGGTTTATTGAAAATTTTATGACGTCATGTACGTTAGTTCGATATGATCTAACGCCGACCGTTCGATACGGTCCGAAAAATAATTTTCCTGAGTGGAATCCAACAACCTGGGCGGTTGTGCAAATTTTGTATTCAGTCACACAAAATATGTAATATCAGGATGAAATTGTTCGAGTAGAGGTTACAGAAATATTTTTAATATATATGATTATTCATCTTAACGACAGTGTGTATATTTCCTGATAAAATGTACATGTGTCCGAAAACGTTTAGAAATTATTTGTGCATAAACCTTTTCAAATGAAATTGAAAGTCCACTTATACACTTGAGTGCGAATACATCATGGAATAAATCCCAGGATTTCTCATTACAACACATTTGATTCCCTGGGTTTAGTTCCCTTGTAGAAAACGCCTTTATGGGGGGTTCGTTCGATCTGAAAATTCCGCGGAAGTGAAAAAACGTTTTGTACACACTGTACAGCTTGTATAAAAAAAGGAACCACACTTAATATTCATATTGTTATGAAGTAGTGACACAGTATGTATAGTAAAATAGTTTAATTGTGTAAGCTCACAAAGAATTTTCGAATTATAAGTGTTGCCTTTTCGAATTATAAGTGTTGAATTATAAGTGTTGCCTTTTTTGGTACGCCCTGTTTGACTCTGTAACTACAAAAATATCGAATTCAAGTAAATGGTTCAACTCTAAGCACTGAAGAAATATTGGTACGACAACTTCTGGACAAATTGCCACTCATGCCACATGTGTTTGTGCACCCGAATAGAAGGAAGCAGTTAAACATTAAAATAGCAACGATGGTGGATGAGATACCTGATTAATTATTCGCACGTGCTATGACAAAGCTTTAAAGGCCGTTTTCCACTTCAATCGTAGCGAAACGTAGCGTATCTCATTGTTTTAAAGTCATTAGTTCTGGTCGAATATCTCGGAAACAAAGAAATACGTTACGTTACGTTACGATACGGTTGAAGTGGAAAACAGGCCTAAGATGGCGGAATGGCCATTTTCTTACTCCCGTTTAGACTACATTCCGACACTGGGTTAGGGGTTATTTAACACTTGCTGGCAGCTGTGTTTCATGTTCCAGAAGATGGTCGCTGTTATCGTTCAAGCCATGATGTTTTATTCCAGCAGCAATGCCACGGGCAACGTGGGCTGCAGAAGATATAGCATTCACTTGGGCATTTTAGTATATCATCAGGTAAACAACATAACGCCGTGCATGAAGGAAAACAATAATGAGGTTTCTTGCAATGTGAAGTGCACGAGTCTTTATCAATGCGAACTGTAATGAAGAAGTTGGAATTAAATATTGTAGTTGTTGAGTATTTGAGCAAAGGCCAAAGGGCCATTATACTATTGCAGACCGCGCTTCATATTTACTGCAAGCAGAAAAATAAAGTTTGGTTTATTAACTGTGTCAACTCTTAAGCCAATCGCTTAGCAGCAGGAAGAATTATAGGTAGTTAGCGTTTGGTTAAATCGTACAGGAGAGCGTCATATCAGACAAATACATGCACTTCTTTAACGAAGCGTGCGATAAGACGAAACTAGACGATAAGTTATAATTAGCGTTTGATTTGATACATGCATGGTACTAAGCTGCTGGCCTGGTTGACCAAACTGAATCGTTCATTTGGAACCATAGTGTGGATTAAAATGCTTGAAAGAACAGACTAAAATTCTATAAATATTTGGTTCAATTTCATCGATAGGAATTAGGGTCAAGGTCTAAGGTGCTATATTTCGCCAATTTGAATTAATCTTGCTTTCATTATAACAATTTTTATTATAAATTTACAAAATTAGTAAATTTCTTAATAAAAGTTCACCACATTGAACCCACCTATAAATTAAAGTTAAAATCACTGTGCTATAAAGGACCCATCGGAATCACCATTGGCATTGCTTTCACCATTATTATAAATTTAGACTTGCTATATAAATTTGCTTGGGGGAATATTGTATACGGATTACGGCCTTCAACCAAGATCGTAACTGATTGGTCAATTCTAGTTTTCCTTAGCAGCGGGGTAGCAACGGAACCGGCAATGAAAATTGAGTATCACTTATCGTTGTCGTGTTGTTTAAAAAGCCGCTTTTGAGCATCCTTCAAAGTTTTCTGCTTGTTAGCGCACGTTTTTATTGCACCAAGAACAAAGTATTATATTTCCAATGTTTTATGCGGAACAAATTGTGAAACTAAAATGATTTAAATTTATAAATAGTATAAAATTTTCATTGCCGGTTCTGTTGCTACCCCGTTGCTAAGGAACGCTAGAATTGACCAATCAGCTGCGATTTTGGTTGAAGGCCGCATTAACGGCCATTCGATATATAAGAACAAATAATGTTAAAAATTCTGTATCTCTACCTGCGAATAGAGTTCTTTTAACGAAAACACTGCCAAGTATTCCACTCTCTAATTGCCTATTCAGGAGCCGGAGATGGCCTTTCATTACCTCTTTGAAATTTAACTTCAGAATGGCAACAGTGACAAGCTCGCTATAGCTTATTGTAGGACGCCCAGAAATAGCTGACCGGCCAGTGAAATCTTTGTTAATTGCACTGGGGAAAAAACAAATGGAAAAAAAATAATTGGTTGAAAATTAGCGGATTTTCAATTATTTATTTTCGATAGAACGGTAAAGTAATTTTGTTGATTTGGTTTTTTTTGAAATAACTGTACTCCTCTCGATCTATCAACATCAAGTAATTTTCTAATGGGCACTTTGATCAGTTAATTGCACTAATTGGGTCGAGTTTGATACGGTGTCGCACCTTCTCCAAGCAATGTGTTTTTCGTTCCAGTTCGTTTTCGACGCTGATATTTTAACATTTCGCAATATGTTTTTTCTTATGCAGTTCAATGAAGATCAGCATAAACTTACCGAAATTCTGTCACTTGGACACCAAGAAAGAATGAATTGTCGGCGTAAAGATTGCGGATCTGCAAATGCGGTGTATCACGTGAGTAATGCGCAGTAATCTTGACTATCAAATGTAGCATTTGAGCATGAGATTCAATCGACACATCGCATACATACCGCTTGTTCCAAGGCGCTTTTAATTTGGTAAAAAATAATGCTGTTCCTATGTAGCAGGTCAGCTCGGAACGGTTGTTGTAAGAGCACAATGGTAACGTTGAAACGTCTACCTAAGTTAGAATATGTATAGTAGTAAGCAGCGTACAATGTTTTGCCCCTAATGGCTACAGAAAGCCAAATTCAGATAAAACCTTTCAAGGTTGGAGAGGGTATGAGAACCTTTGATTTAATATTTCACATCATCAAGCCATGCACTTACCGATGATATCTGGTGCTGTTTGGTTTTGTGGCAAATGAAAAATCGGAATTGTGAAACTAGGTTGATAATTTATTCTTGAAGCAGGCTTGAACGATGTGTTTACTGAAGTTATTTCTTCAACCACGTCCGGCAGTGTACTAATTATACTACCACCAGAACTACTGGGCCGACCTCCAAAGTTACTAGAACTACCAGGCGGGCCTTCGATGATGCCAGAACTACCAGATGGGCCTTCGATAATGCCAGAACTACCAGGCGGGCCTTCGGTTTTACCAGAACTTCCAGGTGGACCTTTTGTATTACCTGAACTGCCTGGCACGCCTCCAGAATTGCTAGAACTACCTGGTGGGCCTTCGATCATATGAGAACTACTTGGTGGATCCTCACTATTACCAGAACTTCCAGGTGGACCTTCAGATTTATCTGAACTACTAGGCGAACCTCCAGATGTACTAGAACTACCAGGTGGGCCTTCGATGATACCAGAACTAATAGGTGGACCCTCCGTATTACCAGAACTTCCAGGCGGACCTTTAGGTGTACCTGAACTACCAGGCGGAGCTCCAGAATTATTAGAACTACCAGATGGACCTTCTGAATGACCAGAACCACTAGATGGAGCTGCGGAATTACCAGAACTACCAGAAGCAGCTTCAGAAGTACCAGGAGGACCGTTAGTTGAAGTTGTTCTGCCGGGCGGGCCCCCAGATGTTGTTTTGCTATTACCAAATGGGCCTTTGGATAAGGTAGTACCAACAGCTGGGCCTCCAGCGGTGGTAGCACTACCAGGTGGACCACCAGAGGAAGTCATACTACCAGGTGGACCTGCAGAGGAAGTTGTACTTCCAGGTGGGCCACTAGAGGAAGGCGTACTGCCAGTTGAACCGCCAGAAGAGTTAGTACTGGTAGACACGCCTACAGCGAAGGTGGTACTTTCAGGTGGACCACTAGAGGAAGGCGTACTGCCAGTTGAACCGCTAGAAGAGTTGTTAGTACTGGTAGACACGCCTACAGCGAAGGTAGTACTTCCATTTGGGCCACTAGAGGAAGTCGTGCTACCCGTTAAACCTCCAGAAGAATTAGTGCTAGTAGATAGGCCTGCAGCGGAGGTAGCACCACCAGGTGGGCCACTAGAGGAAGTCATACTACCAGGTGGACCTGCGGAGGAAGTTGTACTACCAGGTGGACCTCCAGCGAAGGTAGTACTTCCAGGTGGGCCACTAGAGGAAGGCGTACTGCCAGTTGAACTTCCAGAAGAGTTAGTACTAGTATACACGCCTACAGCGGAGGTAGCCCTACCAGGTGGGCCACTAGAGGAAGTCATACTACCAGGTGGACCTGCGGAGGAAGTTGTACTACCAGGTGGACCTCCAGCGAAGGTAGTACTTCCAGGTGGGTCACTAGAGGAAGGCGTACTGCCAGTTGAACTTCCAGAAGAGTTAGTACTAGTAGACACGCCTACAGCGGAGGTAGCACTACCAGCTGGGCCACTAGAGGAAGTCATACTACCAGGTGGACCTCCGGAGAAATTATTACTACTAGGTCGGCCATTAGAGGAAGTAGTGCTCCCAGGTGGTTCTCCAAAAGAAGTAGTGCTAGTAGCTGGGCCTCCTGCCTTAGCAGTACTTCCAGGTGGACCTTTAGCAGAGGTAGTACTAGCAGGTGGGCCTCCAGAGTAAGTTGTGCTACCAGGTGGACCTGCGGAAGAAGTTGTACTACCAGGTGGACCTCCACCGAAGGTATTAGTACTGCCAGGTGGGCCTCCAGAGTAAGTTGTGCTACCAGGTGGACCTGCGGAAGAAGTTGTACTACCAGGTGGACCTGCGGAAGAAGTTGTACTACCAGGTGGACCTCCAGCGAAGGTATTAGTACTGCCAGGTGGGCCTCCAGAGTAAGTTGTACTACCTGGTGGACCTGCGGAGGAAGTTGTACTAGCAGGTGGACCTCCAACGAAGGTAGTAGTACTTCCAGGTGGGCCTCTAGAGAAAGTCGTTCTACCAGTCAGTGAACCTCCAGACGAATTAGTAGAAGATAGGCCTACAGCGGAGGTAGCACTACCAGGTGGGCCACTAGAGGAGGTCATAATACCAGGTGGACCTCCTGAGAAAGAATTATCACCAGGTGGACCACTAGAGGAAGTAGTTCTAACAGGGATTCCTCCAAATGAGGTAGAACTAGTAGATAGGCTTCCAAACGTAGAAGTACTACCAGGTGGACTTTCAGCCGATGTAGTGCTACCAGGTGGACCTCCAGGTGTGGTAGTATTGCTAGAGGAAATTGCATTTCCAGGTGGACCTTTCGAGGTAGACATATTACCAGGTGGTGCAAGAGATTGATTATTGCCACCAGTTGGATCTCTGGAATTACCCAAATCACTAAGATTATTAGGTGCATTAGCCGACGAATAATTAGAAATAATGCGTGCATTTAATGAATCACTAGAGACTCCACGGGAACTACCAGGCAGAGATGACGAGGTTTTAAATTTTCTAAGTGCTGAACCTGATAAATCTCTTTCCATACTAGCTAAGTCTGGGAAATTAAACTCTAAGTCTGCGGCTGGCACAACAGTATCAGGACCAGACGTTACTCTTTCATCCATGTGGTTGATGGAACAAGCTGTTTCTACGTTTAAACTGTTCTCTGGAAAAGAAAATTAATTTACTAAAGCTTCTACATTATACGCAGCATGCGCATTCTGTAGACATCGGGAGATTACTAACAGTAAAATCTACTGCAACTTACATTACGTCAATGAACAAGCTAATCAGAATCAAGCAACAACATTTATGCATTTGTTACTATAAATTGATTGTGTTACTATGAATGTAAACAAATGTGCTGATTGTTCTAAAACTGAAAATTACCACTTCTACCTCACGGTGGATTTTATTAGCCAGGGGCCAGGGCTCTTTAAGTTTAATACGTAATACAAGAATACGTAATGCTGAAGGTTGGGCTGTATATGAAATCGAAATTATATAAAACAACAATTACCACCTAACACGTCCTGTGTAGTTTCTGGAAGTACGAAATCGATTCTCACAGTTTACATTTGTTAACACTCACCCGAAATAGTCTTTTTTACGTTTGCTTTAAACTTCCCTTGTACATTCCCAATAGGTCGATATTTCGCCACCACGATTACGTTTCCTGACGAAGAGATGGCGCGACCAACACCAAGGGTTGATGACGACGGCCAAAGAAAGCGGGTGAAGTGTTCTAAAAGGTCAGAGTTTAAAATATTTTTTACATTTACGGCAGGCAGCTTACTCTTCTCGTATTACATGGTCCGATTATACGATTGGATTATGCGATTGTGAAGATTCTTCTTAAATTTTACCAGCACTTTTGCATTCGAGATAATTTGTTGGTATGCACTGGGCATCGGTTGTAGGAAGGCCTGATAGTGGGGCATATCAACAATAGACAGAAGCGACAGTAAAATTTTGTACCAAGGGCATTGATTCCTAACATGCTAGAAGAATGTTGCATAATTTTTGCGATGAATAGCAAAGCCATGCAATTGTTAAAGTTATCAATGCGTTTCATCTGAATTCACTTTCTTCTGCTCAGTCGAAGGGTTCAGAAGGAATTAGCTTAAAGAAGGTTGGATAGCGCTATCATGCAATATCCATCGGATAGTGCATGATGTCGTTCGCTTGATATAGCCTGAGTTGTTATCAAACACATTTTTTGCATTGTTCGTTCTTCAGGAGTTATATATGAAATCATTTATGGAGCACACCTTTTTCCCTTGCTCTTTTAATCAATACAATGTCAATGCTAATTCTTGCTTAACGAACAGTACCGTTCGATTAATGCACTTCTCTATCCTTTTCCTACCGGTGCTCCTTGGATATCATAATAGTTAAGTAATTAGGGTTGGGGTTTACGATAATCAACAAAACAACTGATATCCAAAGGTATTTATCCCCATAGATCGAGTACAAATCATCTTTTCCTTTATAGCCTTGTAAGGCTTTCTCGCAAACCTTATCCCTACTCCACGTCAAACGAGCAGCGAACTGAAATTTTAAACTTTTAACTATTATACTTGACAAACCTGCATCGCTAGAAAGATCGTTTTGTGTGTGGTTATATTTGTCGCTTTTCTTGTACCAGAATTCCACTGCGCGAGGACAGGATCTTGAAAGATCAACAATCTTTTCAACATATATATTTTCGTTTTCGTTCACTCTCAGTTTTGAAATACTAGTGCTGTTCATCAACGCCAGCTCATCTGCTCGACGTTGAGCCACCTTTGTCAACTTCGCCGACCATCGTAGGCTTGGTATGCCGTGAAGCCATCGCTTATAATTATGGGCGCATAAACATTCGCGTAAGAATGTGTTCGGCGTGTTTATGTATCCATTTCTCACGTGACGTTGGCTTTTGTGTCCCAGTGTTTCATTTTTATGTTTCTCTCCTCCTCTGGAAGATCCATTTACCAAATTAGCAGTCCTTTTGTGTTTTGCAACTTCGTTCGATTCCTCGAAACCATTCTTCAGCCATGTGCGGGATTTTGATATGTATTTTCGCCATATCACATTATTTCTTTGGGGCAATACTGTTTTGACATTATAACGCGGTATTATAGACAGTCTGGCATGGGCGATAGCTTAGAGATGATATAGACGAATGACATAGAAATATTCATTAACTCGCCATATAGTGAGTTGATAGAATCACGATCTTTCGAATGTAATCATGAATTGTATACGCGATTGGTAAATATGAAGATTCGATATATGATTTTAAACTTGATGAGATCATTTATACCCGCATACTATTTAGATATATAGCGAAGATAATAAGATGAATTCAAAAATCTTTACAGTTCATTCAAAAGTATAGATATTATAAATGTATTCAGTTACCTGTTGTTAGAATTAAGGTGAGATATAACAGGCAATGAAACATTGTCGGGTTTTATAAATGTGGTTAAGCCATCCATAAGACATTTTTCAATTTACTCTGCCATAAAAATTACCTGAAGAGCACAGCCTAATTTTTTTTCGTCACTGTATAGAGTACATGAACAGAGTACAAGGGCAAATCGAGAGGCCCGACAAATCAGTTAGGATTTTCGGGTGGCTTGTTTCACAAAACAGGTTTTTTATTCGACTATGAAAAAGAGTGTTAGTGGCAGTCACTCTTTTAAAAGGATATCAGTTTCTGGTGGATAAAATAAGATGTTTTGGTCTTTTGGAGTTGCATACAAAAGTTTACATGTCGTTTATCAAGGTATAGTTTATCAAATGACGGTGGTAATTCCCATTTCCGGCAATGAAATGTGGAAGGTAAACCTAATGTGTCTGATTTACGCCAGGCATCTACTCAACGAACCGTACGACCACACAGGGCTGTCAGGGCACGAATTATACAACGGAGATTCCCGTACCCGGCCAATTTCAAAACGCTCCTATTGGCGATTAAAACACCAGGCGAAAAGCGTAATTTCATATACAAATAAGAACTAAAGCACAGCAAATGACTTTGAAACAAGACATAACAAAATTAATTGGCTATCCGGTTTCGTTGTATTCATCACAACATCTTCAGAGCAATTAGCATATTTACACTGACGATAGGTTCTATATGGTGTATATAGTGTATAAATAGTTTAAGAAACGGTTACAATAATCAAATAAGGCCTTGGTTATTAACGTTGCATTTTAGTCGCGTCGAGTGCAATTCAAACAATAGACAATGACATCTCATTTTATCTATTGTTAAAATTGCATTCGGCACGACCAAAATGCAACGTTTAAACCAAGGCCAAAGCGAAAAAGAGAAAAGGATTAACACAACACTGATATATCATGCACTGACACGTTGTAATGTCCGCATGTTAACAAACAGTTGGTTTATTAATTTTGAAGTTTAATTATAAAAATACGATGTGCCGTCTGCTATCGCTATAAAGATTTGCTAAGCCCTGGCCCCTGAATGAATCTAAATTTTGAACTAGAATTCGACCCATGCGAAATTTAGGCACAATTTTATAATAGTACATGAACCTTCTCATTGTTTTCAGCAGAACCTCCGCGTGCATTATGATAAACATTGTCACACTGGTTAAATGTTCGCCGAGTGTTAAGAGAACTTCCCTTTAAAGACAGCTTCAGTGACTTTATATCCGACGTCATTAACATATATGGGTTCAACCTAGCCCTCCATCTCACGTGAGGAACTCGTGCGTGCATATGTATCTTCATTGGATTAGTCATTGTAGAAAACGAAATTCCGTTCCGTTCAAGATATTGATCATGCGTAAGGTGCAGTATTTTGAACGTCCACATCGAGTTTAGACCCTCGACAAAAGCTTCGGTTGTTTCCTTTGTGCACCCGGGGAAATTATCCCTCTTTCGGCTTAAGAGCTGTTGCCCTGCAGTCTTTAAGAAAGCTCTAGTAAATCATCTGCGGTTTTTTTAACTCAGCTACATTTCTTAAAATAGGAACTGAAACACTTTCTCCATATTCGACGTAGGCCTATACACTATATAAAAGCGGTTTCCACCGCAATACATTCGATGTGGATTCGTCACATGCTTTGAAAATTTGAGTAATTTTTAGTCGTCAGGCTTCCTGTTGTCAAACGCAGATTTTAGGTAGAAACTGCTAACACCCTCATCCCTCCATATGATATTTTTAACTTGACCTCCGGCTCTCGTGTCGAAAAAAATCGTTTGATATCGTGCCGAAAGTGATACGTCGACGTTTATCGTTTATTCGCGCTAAAGCCTGTTAATTCCGCTTTCTTATTTTTTGTTTCCGCTTACACGACCCTTAATTTCCCTAATGGCAAGCAACAAAAAGACCTTGAAGGCTTGAAGCGTTTTCGTTTGCACCATCTCTTTTTCAGTTTCGCCATCGTAAACAGCAAAAATAGCCGCAAGTAAGAAATATACCAAACAAATTTGCCTTTCTTTGTGTTGGTCATAAGGTGTCATTCTCTTTATTATAATTAATGGACACAGGAAGAGTTTTGCATGCTAACATATATTAATACTAATTTAATTTACAATCAAAAATTCCGAATTTATTTATTTAAGACGTGTCCACAGATATTTATACCCTTTCGTGTATTTCAAGTTTATTGGCCCGTTCCAGATTGCTTACACGGGATGCATGCCAATTTCGTAATCTTTCGTAATCTTCTATTATGATATAATGGTGTATTGTTCGATGTCGCAATATTAATGTTATTCCGCCTTCTATGCTCTCAATATATTACTCCAAGGAACCGAGGAACTCAAGGCACACCAAATCTTTATCGCCGGATTTGAATTCCATTTTAGCGACTAAATTTACTTTAGGTGCATAACTTGGGACATCCATTTCAATATTCACAGTATACTCTGTATCAGCTTTCAGCGGGCAAACAACACCGTGGTCCTTGCACAAATCCTTCTCAGGGAAGGGGAATGGCAGGGTTGCTCCTCCAATAATAGCATGAAGGACGATGGTTGAATTGTTGATTAAAGTGTTCGGTGTAACTTTAACGCTGCCGGTGTACTTTTTACCATCAGAGAGCATGCACTTTTCTGGACTCGACCCATCCTCGCAGTTAATTTCGAAGTTCGAAAACTTGCCCAGCACACTGCCGCAGTCTTTAGTATTGATCGTTATTCCAGTTGATTTTTCGACGGCTATGGCGAACATTAACAGCAGGAGAATTTTCGAAGCCATTTTTGAAAAATGTTTCAAGATCGACCTGTTATCATCAAATAATTTCTCCTAACACTGCTACCGCGAACTACAGCGACTTTCAAATGTGAGCCGAGGCAAAGCACGGGATCATGTGGTTTTAGTGGGCGTCACAGTCCGAACTTCCGATTGCATAACAATAAAAATCGTACGATCGCATGATCGCGCGAAGATTGGCAAGGGGCAAAGGTTAATATCTTGAACAATGAGGTAATTTGTTCAAGAAATGGCACGATATGCCTGGCTCTCACATGTTTCGAACATAATATGTGTCGCGTTCTCAACACATCACGAGGTTGCTGATGCGTCAAGTTCGCATGTTTTAACCACTCAGTTATGCACAACACTCCATTTTTAACATTGATTTATTCAACAAAGGTACACGTAAACAGAGCGGTAAAAACTATGAATAATACAAAAAAATATGTAAATAAGAGCTAAAACTGCGACTAAAATTGTATGAAAAAGGTGCGCAAATGATCATGACGTAACTTACTTCTGATATCGACGATAAACTTAGGCTATAAGGTAGAAACTTGTGACTTAAATCAAATTTAAACTTGCTGTATTTTCTCGATCAAAGACAAAACGTGTTCGCAACGTTTCTTATTTTGTTCCGCGCGTCCGCAGAACTCTGACCAGCGGCAGTTACTGCGTACTTTATTTAACTAAAAAATATAAACTTTAATAAACGTCACAATATGGTTTGTAGACTGTAGCCGGTGACAAAAGATTTTTTTTCAAAACAAGACGCCGACTCAGTCGGTAACCTCGGGTCGTTGAAGCGCTGTAGTGTAGGGCGAATAAAGTCAACACATGACTGGGTACTATATTTTTTATGTTTCAGATCTGGAGGCTTGTAAAATAAACAATCATATTGTCCAAAACGACTTTCGGTCTCCAAGCGGCAACAGAGCAATTTAATCCACTTCAACAATCGACATAATATTTTTACTGCAAAATTGCTATAGCCGCGCGGTAGGATGTGACGTTGCCAACCCGTCGGTGCACGAGTGTGGTAAACGGATGTCACGTGGCATGAGCTCCACACGGAAAAGGATCACTGACAATGACCAGTGCAGACTATCGATGACATATGAAACTACGCTTTTCGCCCCAAAGAAATATGCAAAACGTGGAGTGACTTTGGGGCTGTTTACATGAGCCCGGTTACCCGAGATTCAACGAAGCGTGAGAGGACTTTGAGGTATTGAAATAAGTCTTTATAACACCAAACAAGCACATGCTATTGTTATGGTGATTATACGACTCCCAGGATCATGTTATCTGCTCATTTCAATATCTTAAAATCATCTCACGCTTCGTTGAATCTCGGGTAACCGAGCTCATGTAAACAGCCCCTTAAAGTACATTAAGAGGGTGATTTTATGCACGTTCTTGCCCGGCAACCCAGCCCAGCTTGAGTGAGTCAACAATATCATGCATGCACTGCATATATACCAATGCCTCAATGTCAAATACCAATATACCAATATACCAATGCCTTGATGTCAAATGGATACCCAAAGAAATTTCTGGATGACTTGAACGCAAACGAAATATGGAGCAAGAAAAAAATACCATCGCCTGAAGAATTGGTAAAATCATTTTTGTGGGTAGCCCGTTCGCGGGCTAACCACTATGCTACACGCAAAAAACGATGAGCGATGATGCATGTCTGTCCGCTGAGTTTGTTTGTCTACGAAAGAGACTGGGCAGAGGCGAAATTTTGTCAGCCTGATCGATGTAAACTGGCCTAAACTTTCAGAAAAATTAATCGCAGAAATAGTATTTCATTGGTATTTCATTGATTATTCTTATGTCTACTTTGTTATAACTGTATCCAACTAGCAAACTAGCCCATTTTTGCCTTTGCGTATGGCATTAGAACGTAAAACTAAGCATCATGCAGTTGATTTCCCCGCCATTATTGCGGCCTGTTACTTAACATTGAACAAAACTTGAAAATCTTTGCCAATGCTTTGGAGGCTACCCACATGTATGCATTGCATACCTATTTTTTTAATATTGTAGAGCCAAAGCTTGGATAATGATTACGCTGTTCTTCCCTACATGCATCAAAGGTCTAACATTACAAAGCCCCTAAAGCGACTCCTAAAGCTTTACGATATTCACTGAGTTACCACAAAACCCCTCCGCACACTACAACAACTATTCCCATCGGTTAAAGACGGGCCACCCCCCGAAGA